ATGAGGTCTCCGAGTCTACATATCTCACAGGTGCCGTTGGATCAAGTTGTGGACGGTTGAGATCGCACGTTGGATCGTCCTAACCAAGCCGTCAGTCGCGTGTGGTCAAGATCGGGGTTACATTATACTGCCAGTGCAGCAAAAAGGTCAAAGCACTGCACTCGGAAAGTGTTAACAGGCCGGTGGCAGCTGTGTGTTTGCACTCCCACGAGTGTTATGCCCGGCACAAACTTTCCATATTCGTATGAGCTGACGCGCTATGCATCGACCGCCGCGTGGCGTCTCTGAAGTATCTCGACGGCTCACCTCTCCCGACACTCGCGGCCGCGGCTGGTTCAGGTAGCCCAGGAAAATGTAGGGGCCCGGGGCACGGGTAGGGTTGATTTGGTAGTTCCGATTGTAAGGGGTGCGAAACCCGTAAACTCGCCGGTTTATGTACTGGTTCTGTCCTACCCGGGGACTGTTTGCTCTCGTAAGAGTTACCCTCACCCAAACCATAGCCGCCAATGTACCGGGGACCCAAAATAATATCGAAGAGTAGCATTGATGGTTGTCAGACCGCCCGGACTGCTCGTGTTATTTGTCAGAAAAATTGCGGTAGAGAATGACGGCCTTGTTACACTAGTGTGTTAACACTTTCCAAGTGCAGTGCTATGTACTACTTGCGCCAGTGCAGGATCTTCTTGCCAGCCCGAAAACGTGCGCTCGTCTAACCTCGCTTTGCAGCTAACCGTTTCGAGGTCTAATTCTCAGAAGCTCCCGACTTGTCACATGTAGATGCCCACCATTTGGCGCAGGAGAACCTCTCAAGTCCAACAAGGAGACTGCCAACTTCTGTCAACAGCTCCTCCCTCGTCACCAGTGTGTCCAGTTCACCCAAAGAACTTGAAGTTGAAGTTGAAGGCTCAGCACCTTTTTGCATGTGCGCGCTTTGCTCGGACGTGGTCTCCCACGAGTTGAGGAGCGAACAAGTGTAAAGGGCGGAGGGAAGAAACCAATCAAAAGTAGTCAAGCTGCCAAAGTCTGCAACTCGTACAAATTGAGGGACGCGAAAAAGTAGTCAACGTAGATTGCCCGACTTTAACGATGGCGGACGCTGTGGACGATGAGATTCGTCGCGTACAGGAGGAGCGGAAGAAAAGGGAGCAGGACCTTGCGGCGATGAGCCTTGAGAAGAGCAGTTTTGATCAGGATCTGTATGGGGGGCTCGGCAGGGCAGATGGCTATGTTGCATCGATCCCCGCTGATGAGGGGGAGGACGAAGAAGGGGACACCGAGAGGGAGGTTGCAAAGTAAGCTGATTCTCTGTTGCGGTTTCTTTGCATATGTGTTCCAACAAGCCCGGACACAGAGTCTTTGTTGCAACGCTCAAGTCCATACGATTTATGACCGGGCTCCTCTTGGGGCCGTTCAATTGACGCCAATTGTTGGTAATGGTGGTTAGGGTTTATGATCTACTCTATTTCAGGTGCTTTGCCTGTAATGATCTTTGGGTGCAAGGACGTGTGGCCTCACAAATGCTTGAGAAAGTTGCCTGTCGTTAAGTACAAAAACAACGGCGAGCTGCCGTTTGCGCCCGCACGGGGTTATTCAATGGGCTTTCTCCTTTCGCAAAGGGTTTTTAGGTTTCTAAGGTGACTCTGCCCATCAACAGGATTTTGAAGTGGGCACCGTGGCTTATGCAACTCTGCTCAGAAAAGTTCAATGATGCGTTGCTCCTCACTGATTCAATTGGTCCGTGTCCTTGTTTGAGAGTTGTACCGGGCCCCCTCAAAGTGGTTGTGGCTCCTGTCTGTACAAGTTTTCATTCTCCTCTTGCAGGAAACTGGCGTCATACACCGCGCCAAAGTCCCTGCTGGGCGTGCTTCCAGGGCGCAACGAAGATGGAGTGGAGGAAGACGTAAGTTCAATGATCTTCCCCTTACCTCTGTCTGCATCATGTTTGCTTGCGTATCCAACGTTATGGGTCCTGACGACATTGTTTGGCTTTGTGAGTCCAGCATTGCTGTGAGCACTGCAGTCGCGCCCGATGCTGGATGTCGGATCTAACAAGCAATGACTTTTCTCAAGGGCAATCGAAACTCAACTCTTGTCCCCCGCGCTGCAGCCCGGCTTCAACCGCCCGTCGCGCATCATCGACCGCGAGGACGACTACCGCAAGCGGCGCCTGAACCGCATCATCTCCCCCGAGCGCGTGGACCCCTTCGCGATGGGCGACAAAACGCCGGACCCCTCGGTGCGCACGTACGCCGACATCATGCGCGAGGAGGCGCACAAGCGCGAGAAGGAGGAGACGCTGCGTGTGATTGCCAAAAAGAAGCAGGAGGAAGCGGAGCGCAGGGCCAAGGAGCAGAGCGAGGCCCCCACCAGGGTGCAGCAAGCGGCGGCGCCGCAGCCGGCGGCAGCCAATGGGAAGCGGCGGAACCGGTGGGACAAGTCGGGGGGGGAGGAGGAGCCGGCAAAGTGAGTCACCTCTTCTCAATGCTCAAAAGCGGATTGTCTTAGTACAGACGATTGAGGCGGGTAATGCTCAAAAGCGGATTGTCTTAGTACAGACGATTGAGGCGGGTTGCGCCATCTCTGCAGCTTGTATGGCTTGACATGTTCACCACTTTGTGGGTGCATCTTGTTTTGTTTGTCCACAGTAGCAGGTGACCTGTGCTCATGCAAGGTGATTTTGAGGATTCCGTTGGAGATAAGCATCCACTCACGAGGACTTCGTTTCATGCTGCAGGAAAGCAAAGACGTCGGACTGGGATGCCCCTGATGCTGGCCCAGCTGCAAGGTAAGCGCTTCTTCTTCCTCTCTTGCTGCATGGCTTTTCTGAAACTACCTTCAAGGGTGCTTGCAATCGAGTTTCCTGAACTGGTGGTGAAATTTCAGTGGTTTCTAAGAAACGTTTCTGATTGTTGCAAGCTCAGGGGCTGGCCGGCTGCCTAAGCCTTCGCCATTGCTTTAACTAGTCTGACTTGCATGTTCATGTACGAAGCATACCGTTGTATTTCCTGCAGCCGATGGGACGCCCCAACCCCCGGCCGCCCTGGCGCCGACGCCACCCCCGCTGCGCGCCGCAACCGCTGGGACGCGACCCCCACCCCCGGCCGCCCAGCCGACGACGACGCCACTCCTTCCGGGGGGGTGACTCCGGGGGCCACTCCTGCCGGAACTATGTGGGACGCTACCCCCAAGAACATGGCCACGCCCACACCGAAAAAGCAGCGCTCGCGCTGGGACGAAACCCCGGCCACGATGGGGAGCGCCACTCCTATGGGGGGTCAGACGCCAGGGGCGTTCACCCCGGGGGTGACCCCTATGGGGGGGCTGGGGATGGAAACGCCGACCCCCAGCCAGATCGCGCTGCGCGTGCCGCAGACGCCTGAGCAGTACAACGCGATGAAGTGGGAGCGCGACATCGAGGAGCGCAACCGGCCGCTCTCGGACGAGGAGCTCGATGCGATGTTCCCGATGGAGGGGTACAAGATTCTGGACCCCCCCGCGAGCTACGTCCCGATCCGGACCCCCGCTAGGAAGCTGCTGGCCACGCCGACGCCGATGGCGGGGGCGACGCCCGGGTATATGATCCCCGAGGAGGACCGGGGCCAGCAGTTTGACCTGCCGAAGGAGGGGCCCGCGGGGCTGCCGGAGATCAAGCCGGAGGACTACCAGTACTTCGGGGCGTTGCTGCAGGTGAGGATCTGCGGAGGCTTGCGTTTGTTGGGCTGTCAGGGTCTCTTCGTTTTGGGAAGCGCTTTGATGCGCTTGGTCTCCTGGGCGAATATTGAGTTGTGGCGTCACGTGCCTCGTCTTGTATGCTTGCGTGGAGCTTGATGTTGCACTCGACTTGGAAGTGCACATACGTCTCGTTGCCATATCTGGCCCCTTAGAAACTAGCGCTTCTTGCAGGGGCGCTTGCTTGTGCTGAGGGTGTTCCCCCCTCCTTGTTTACCTTCATTGACCCCTAAAGTTGCTGACCGCCCCAGCGCACTTCTGGAGTTTGGCTCTCCACCTCCAGGCCCTCTGGGAAATTCGCTCACGAGCTTCGCTGCCCTTGAAGTATGATTGACACTATTGGTTTCTCTCAAAGCTTTGCTCGCCACTTATGCTGCCCTCAGAACTCTGCTCACCATGTTCGCCCGCCCTGGAAATGGTCGCTCACCACTTTCGCTTGCCTCCCTGGAATTCTGCTGACAACGTCTACATTTTGCTCCCCCTGCAGGAGAAGGACGAGGAGGCGCTGACCCCTGAGGAGGCCAAGGAGCGCAAGATCATGAAGCTGCTGCTCAAGGTCAAGAACGGGACGCCCCCCCAGCGCAAGACCGCGCTGCGCCAGCTCACCGACAAGGCGCGCGAGTTCGGCGCGGGGCCGCTCTTCAACCAGATCCTGCCCCTGCTGATGTCACCCACGCTGGAGGACCAGGAGCGTCATTTGCTGGTCAAGGTCATCGACCGCGTGCTGTACAAACTGGACGAGCTGGTGCGGCCGTACGTGCACAAGATCCTGGTCGTCATCGAGCCGCTGCTCATCGACGAGGACTACTACGCGCGCGTCGAGGGGCGCGAGATCATCTCCAACCTGAGCAAGGCCGCCGGGCTGGCCACCATGATCGCCGCGATGCGCCCCGACATCGACAACATCGACGAGTACGTGCGCAACACGACGGCGCGCGCGTTCTCGGTCGTCGCGTCCGCGCTCGGCATCCCCGCGCTGCTGCCGTTCCTCAAGGCGGTGTGCAAGAGCAAGAAGTCGTGGCAGGCGCGGCACACGGGGATCAAGATCGTGCAGCAGGTGGCCATCCTGCTCGGGGTGGCCATCCTGCCGCACCTGCGCTCGCTCGTGGAGATCATCGAGGAGGGCCTTGGGGACGAGAACCAAAAGGTGAGGCGCGTGGGCGAATTTGAGAATCCGAGGACCGAGGGTGATGATTTGTGTGGTTGATTGCAGAAGAGGAGAAGTTTTGTGTAGGCCGCTTTTGCTCCTGTTCCTTCACTGCACGGTCTGTCCCCTTGCTTTAGCGCTGACTGGAGGTACATACAGAGCGTCAGATGATTGTTTCTTGATTCGCTTCCTGGCATTTGGTACTTCGTTGAATCCTGTACTGCCTGCTCCCTTTGTCGGCAACTTCTCCGTCTGCTCGAAAGCGTTTGATCAAGCACCTCGTCTGCTCCAAACCCTCTCTATAGTCGCCTTCTCTCTGAAAACATTTCTCTCTGAAAACATCTGAGCGAAGATCCCTCAATGTCGGCCATCGCTATTCGCCCATGTTCATCCAACAAGTGAAGCACTGGCCAGGACGGTTTGTAAATCTTTCCTCCCCCGCTCCGCAGGTGCGCACGATCACGGCGCTGTCTCTGGCCGCCCTCGCCGAGGCCGCCGCGCCGTACGGCATCGAGAGCTTCGACAGCGTGCTCAAGCCGCTCTGGAAGGGCATCCGCAGCCACCGCGGCAAGGTCCTCGCGGCCTTCCTCAAATCCATCGGGTTCATCATCCCGCTTATGGACGCAATGTACGCGTCTTACTACACCAAGGAAGTCATGGTGATCTTGATCCGGGAGTTTCAGTCGCCCGACGAGGAGATGAAGAAGATCGTGCTGAAGGTGGTGAAGCAGTGCGCGGGCACCGACGGCGTCGAGGCGGACTACATCCGCGCGGAGATCCTGCCGGAGTTCTTCAAGAACTTCTGGGTGCGGCGCATGGCGCTCGACCGGCGCAACTACAAGCAGCTGGTGGAGACGACCGTGGAGATCGCCAACAAGGTGAGGGGCACTCAAGGGCTGCGGGAAAGTTGGATGGGTGTGCCAAGTGCGACCTTGGTCAGGCCCCGCTTCCTGTTGTTGTTGTACCTGGGGCTACGATCACGTCAAACGAGCTCCTCACGACAAATGCAGAGTGGTCGATGCTTCTACCCTGCGGCTACTGAAGCAAGGCTATTTTCTCAAGCCATCCAGTGGGCAACTCTTCTAATGACGGAATGCTGATCAAGATTTGGACAGGCGCTTCAGTTTTTGAAGCAATTGATCTGTACTGATTGTGCGGCCACTTTTGGCCGACCGCGGTTTCCTCTCCAAAACCCCCAAACGATTATGATGCTTCACAAGGTTGCAGTATCATGAGTCGCTGTCAGTCCGCGGTTTCATCTGCTGATCCCTTTCATCCCTCCGCCCGTCAACATGTGCTGACCCCTGTTTGCCCCGGCCCGGCCATTTGCCGACACTTGCCTTTCCCCGCCCGTTCTCATCTGCTTCCCTGCCTTCCCCCGCCGCTTCACGTTTGCTGACCCTTTTCTCATCTCCGCTGCGTAGGTGGGCGTGTCCGACATCGTGGGCCGCATCGTGGAGGACCTGAAGGACGAGAGCGAGCCGTACCGGCGCATGGTCATGGAGACGATCGACAAGGTCGTCTCCGCGCTCGGCAGTGCCGACATCGACGCGCGCCTTGAGGAGCTGCTCATCGACGGCATCCTGTACGCCTTCCAGGAGCAGGTGAGCCGCGCCTTCAGCCTTCGCTTTTGTTTGGACGGTTGCCAGTCGTTTGCAAAAGTGTGCCGCACTCTGTGAAGTCCTCTTGTGATTGTTCAGATTTGCGAGGGTTTTGCGGCCTCACTTCAGGAGTCAGTTCACACTTGGTCTGCTTTTTTCCTGTCTGGGGTAGTTTCACCATGTGATTGTTCACTTGGTTTCTTGTTGGGTTGCATCAAAGGAAGCTAGCCTCGCTCCCTCTCCATAACCTGCTTTCTACGCGCTGGTTGTCCCTGTTTGGCCAGCTACAGAGATGCAGAAAGCGGTTTTGCGCTCTAGTGCTTTCGGGGGTTCTGAGAAAGACTCGCAGTTGACTGTTTCGTTCCTTCTGCAGACGAGCGACGACACGAACGTGATGCTCAACGGCTTCGGCACGGTGGTGAACAGCCTGGGTCAGCGTGTCAAGCCGTACCTGCCTCAGATCTGCGGGACCATCAAGTGGCGCCTCAACAACAAGAGCGCCAAGGTGCGGCAGCAGGCCGCTGACCTCATCGCGCGCATCGCCGTCGTCATGAAGGCCTGCCACGAGGAGCAGCTCATGGGCCATCTCGGAGTGGTGAGTACGCTGTACTGCAACTTGGATTTATTGCAACTTGGGATCGGACGGACTGCTGCTGCGGGGTTCTGTTTCCGGTGCTCGAGTGTTATTGGCTGACGTTTTCGATTTTGGCTTCATTTTAGGAAGGGGTGTAGATCTCTGATGGACAGACTGCCTCGAATAATGCAGCTTTGTCGCAGTTCGCCCTCTCCGAATGCAATTCTCATTGAGACGGGCCTTGCCTACCACCAGCACAGTCGTCTCAGTGGGCTCTCGGTGTCCAGGCCTCCCCCGCCTGTTCAAGAGCTGAAGAATCCTCGCCTTTCCGCTTCGTTTCCGACCAACCCTTCTTCCTTCCTCGCAGGTGCTGTACGAGTACCTGGGCGAGGAGTACCCCGAGGTGCTGGGCTCCATCCTGGGCGCCCTCAAGGCGATCGTAAACGTCATCGGCATGACCAAGATGACGCCACCCATCAAGGACCTCCTCCCGCGCCTGACGCCCATCCTCAAGAATCGCCACGAGAAGGTCCAAGAGAACTGCATCGACCTCGTCGGGCGCATCGCGGACCGCGGCGCGGAGTTCGTCCCCGCCCGCGAGTGGATGCGCATCTGCTTCGAGCTGCTTGACATGCTGAAAGCGCACAAGAAGGGCATCCGGCGTGCGACGGTGAACACGTTCGGGTACATCGCCAAGGCGGTCGGGCCGCAGGACGTGCTCGCGACGCTGCTGAACAACCTGAAGGTGCAGGAGCGCCAGAACCGCGTGTGCACCACTGTGGCGATTGCGATCGTGGCCGAGACGTGCTCGCCGTTCACGGTGCTGCCCGCGCTCATGAACGAGTACAAGGTGCCCGAGCTTAATGTGCAGGTGAGGGTCTAGAGATCCCGTGTTGGGTTCTGTAGTTATGCGCTTGTGTTTCGAGGGGTGTATTCCACCTGGCGAACGAGTCAACGCACAGGTGACGATTTCGAACTTCTCTGGTTTGCACAGGTGTTGAAGGCTCCTTCTTCCATCTGCTGGATATGTTTTGGCATGACGCTCTGACTGCTAAGACGGGAGGTCGTTCGTTCAAGGCTCCGAGTTGGACACAACCACCGGAATATGTTGGCGCCTTTTGAGTCTTTTTCAACACCAGAGATTCGCGTCAGAGTTTCTGTGCGACTCGATTTCTGGAACGCGTCGCTACAATATTTCGAAAAGGCAAGTCTCGACTGCTCTGCACCTCGGCTTCTGATGTTTGCCCCACGCTCGGGTATCGACGTCTCTGACCCTCTTCTCCGTCTCCCCGTGCAGAACGGCGTGCTCAAGTCGCTCTCGTTCCTCTTCGAGTACATCGGCGAGATGGGCAAGGACTACATCTACGCGGTCACGCCGCTCCTAGAGGACGCGCTCATGGACCGCGACCTGGTGCACCGGCAGACGGCCGCTTCCGCAGTGATGCACATGGCGCTCGGCGTGGCGGGCCTCGGCTGCGAGGACGCGCTGATCCACCTGCTCAACTTCATCTGGCCCAACATCTTCGAGACGTCGCCGCACGTCATCAACGCCGTCATGGGCGCGGTCGACGGGATGCGCGTGTCGTGCGGGCCGGCGGTCATCCTCAACTACTGCCTGCAGGTGAGGGGGCCAGGGGAGGTTTGGTTTGTGTCCCGTCGGAGGAGAGGTTGATCTTAGGGATGCGTGTAATTCGAAATTTGTCTGTAGCGGACTTCTCAATCCATCAGCATCGTCTGCCTGTGGGGTGCTCTTCCTTCCGTGGACTGACGCTTGAACAGGCTTTGCTCGGTTCCTGTCCTCTGCGTCTCCTTATTCTGCCTGGTCGTCATTTTCGTTCAATTCTGCAACTAGCCATATGTTATTTGGTGCATAGCGTGCGTTCAGGTCATATGAAGCTTGATTTGAAGTGCGTGCTTGCTTTCCTTGCAGGGCCTGTTCCATCCTGCCAGGAAAGTACGCGAGGTGTACTGGCGGATCTACAACAACCTGTACATTGGCTCTCAAGACGGATTGATAGCAGCGTACCCGGTACTGGAGGACGAGGGGCAGAATACGTTCAGCCGACCAGAGCTGAACATGTTTGTTTGAGTGAACCTGGCCTGGTTGCCATGAAGTTTGTACATTAAACTAAAGTGTCGTTGTCTGGGGTGGCCTTGTAAAGAGACGGAAAAAAGTGCCTATGAATCGGCAGGCATTGCGACATTGTTGACTCGCTGCACTGGTGAGAATCTGTTGGCTTTCCTGCTGTCATGTTGGAAGCTCGCTCTCAACTTGCCATCACGAGGAAAACAATCCATGGCCGCTGCGAAGCCCGTTTCCGGAATGTTAGAGTTGCCATGTGTTTCGGTCTTGCTTAGGCATGTGACGTACGAATGTGCTTGCTAGATGGACGCGTATAGGCCGCACATTCCTTGTTCGGAATATCCGATATGGAAGCCAAAAAAGTCTATCATGGCCGGCGGCCGCGGCATATACGTTGTTTCAGGTCCAATATAAAGTTGCAACAGGCTAGCTAGTGTGCTCAGACCACAAATATTCACTCATCATAATAGCTAGCTTGAAGCTTTTGGACAGACCGTCAGAGCCGCGCAGTCACATGCATGCCAGAGATGCAGCTAGCATGAGCATGTACACACTGCAGTATATACCATGTGCGCTCAAATCATCAGAATTAAATTATGATGGCGCACCAGCCTGAGTTATTGACTTGATAACACGGACTTATATATATAAACTTGCACGTGTTCAAGCACACTCGCGTGGTGCACGTTGGCACTGACCGGGGCCATGCATGCCCGGAATGCATGCCAGCATGCATAACTTTGCCTCATGAGCCTGAGTATGCAACAATTATATCTGGCCACGCCGGGCCAGGCTGCATGCCAGGCGGCCTCGCTTTGCACACGTTTAATTGCAAGCTCGATGGATGGGACTATAAGCGTAATTAAATCAGTGGCCGTTACAAAAAATTCAGACTTTCCTTAACTTGTAGGCAGGATCGACCATGCATCGGATCACATGTGATGATGCAAGGTCTCCGATTCTATCAGCATGAGCTGCAGTGCAACGCGATTCGAATCGATGATTATCTGTCATGCGGAACGGAATCCACTTGTTCTAAGAAACAATTGTCAGTCGACTGACTTCAGGCAAGCCCGGCCGTCAATAAACTCAAGAAAAAAAATAGTAAGCCCAGATAGTAGTAAGGTAACCGCACTGTGACGCGTAGGGTTAGTATGGTGGTTAGGGTGGGTACGGGTGCGGAGCGGGTGTTTCATTTAAGGTTAGGATTTTTAGTTTTAGTCGGAGCTTACTATTATCTTGGCTCACTATTATCTTTCTTGAAAGTTATAGCCCATCTCATGAACGATTGCGCAGGTCATGTAGCTGAACAGCAGCCGACCTCCCATGCACTCGTTGCATATCAAAGTGGAGACCAGCGATTCCTGCCAGTGCCCGTTCTTAGAGCCTGTGCGCTTCAGACGTACCGAAAAGCCGCTTGGCTGGTCAGTTGATCGAGTTCGGCTTTTACTAGCTTCGCATCCAAGGCGCCTTCTTTGGACGGACCCTCACTGGTGCCATTTTAGCCGACGACCACCAGTTGAAAGATAGCTTCCACAAAAAGTGGGACAGGCAAGAAAACAACCAAAGACATCTGTTGCCAAGAGTATGCTGAACAAGATGGTCATACGAGCTTAATCACATTAACATCTTTGAAATCTGTATGACCACAGTACTCTTCCACTGAATGGAGCAGAGTCATTGAGAATAATCATTTTCCTACTGAGAATCTCGGTGAACAAGCTCAAACAAAGCTAGTCTGAACAGTTGACAGAATTCCGGCAGGCGTCAGAGTACGTCAGAGAGTACGTCAACTCCTTTGGGGCCCTCTCTCCAATGACGATGAATAAGGAACCAGATGTCTTGGCAACTCTCGATAAGGTTGGTTCTCAGCTCAGGTCGCCGTTAAGGAGCCATGCTTTCCTCTTCGCTCAATTTGGTACGATCTGTGAACTCAATCGCGCTGATAAATGCACCATCGCATACAACCTACTTAACGTTGTCACAAATCTAAAGTTCTCATTGGTGTCTGCCAAAGGAGCTGAACTTCAACGCCTGTGAAGAAATCTGCTCATTTTGTCGCCTCCAGATTATGGCACTTTCGATTCGGTCCTGCCAGTCACCAACTCTGCTTGACGGAACACCGAGGATCACAGTCACTGCAGAGAGGCAGGCTGTGAAAGGTGGACACCCATGCACAGAAGTTGAGGAAGGAGCCGAGCCAGACAAGCTCCATCTGCGAGGTACAAGGTCGCGCTGTTTGAATCCATGATAGAGAATGGAACTCATGAAGCGAATTGCACCTTGATTTTGGTTGGCGCCTCGAGAAGGAGCTTGCCCTCATGCTGAGCAGATTGACTTTCATACCCATAAGATTCTCAATCTGCAGTATCTGACACTGGAGTCGGGATAGCAAGTGGAGCAGTCGAATCTGCGTTCAGAGTATCCGGAGCAAGTGCTGCTGACACGACGCGAAGTTCGACCTCTTGCGTATGGGGTGAGCAAGACAGCTACTGATCGCTCCCCCACGCTTCCGTGTTCGCCCTTCCAGTGTAAGGTCTGATGGAGTTTGAAGGACAAGTTCAGACTAAGTACTTATGAAGAATTCCTTGTGGCGAAATTTAGAATCTTCTCAGAGGCGGTTGCACTTCCTCTTCTGCTGACATTCTCTTGTATTTTCCCTGCAGATGGGATCCTAACGTTTCTGACGACAAGTGAGGCTTTCTGTTACAGATGGCATGCCAATCAAAATTCCTTTCCTATGTTAGCCACTGCAGCAGACTTCTTTGGAAAGGTTGGGTTCTGATCAACTTCCAAAGTTTGCTGAAATTCGGCTTCCCTGGCTCCCGCGTCTTTTTCACAAGCCTCTAAGCTTGTTTTATGTTTGTCGCTTTGCAGCTGCTGAGGACGCGGAAGTTCGGTCGTACCAAATGAAGCTTGGCGGTCAACAACCAGAGTTTCTCCAGCTTGCCAGCATAGACAAGCCTTTGGGCATGTTCAGGTATGGCATAGTTCTCAACCCCGGGACCTATGCTCAGAAGTACGATCACGCCGGAAAAGACATCCACTGATATTTCTCCTTGCTAACCGTCTTCGTCCAAACCATATCGTCTCTTCGGTGATCTGGACTGAATCTGTCTACCAAGCAACGAAAGTAACCATTATTTAAGCGAACATTCACTGTCTGCAGTGGTACAGAAGTTTCATTGGAAGTCAGCGGAGATTGTGACCTGCTCGTTCGCCATGTCCAAACCTACCTGGACCGGCTTGCCATTCTATCCCCGAAGGTGAGCCAAGCAACTCTCAACAATAGTTCCTTTCAGGCACCATAGTGATCGCTTAGAATCGATATAAATGGATTCTTCTGCGCAAAATGAACAGCTCACACTGGTGCTTCAGCTTGAGCTCGCTTGAAAACAGATCAGAAGGCAAGACAGATTTTGCAATAAATTGTGCGCTTCCAAACCTTCAAACATTCTCGTTCTGCATCGTGTAATCCTTGCGCAGACTCTCATCGAGGTGCATCTCGTTGGGTTCGATCAGACGCCGGACGACGAAGATGACATGAACGCAAATTCCTTCGATAATGATGATTCAGCGGTCGAGAAAATCTGCTACGATCAAGCTGCGCACCTCCCCATCCAAGCATCTAACGTGGAGCGCTTAACTTTTGGCGTCGGGTGGAGCCGAAGGATGGAATATGAAAGAGGGGACTCGAGGGTTCCCGAAAGCATGATGCGCGATGGAGAAGGCAGAATGAAGTGAGAAGTCTTGCTCGCCTCCTGCAAATCAGTGGCCAATTCTAACTCCCTAGCCGTGTGCCGCTCTAAGAAGGACCACAGGTTGTTAGAAGCACTTTAGGTTCTCTTATGCGACATTGCAGATTCGTCAGCACTTCTAAGAGAATTGAATTTCTCTGATTCTTACGAAGCGTTCTCTCAGCAATTCCAGGTCCCATGGCAGCAAAACACCATCTTGATCTTGCAGCTCTCTGGATCGCGATCTTCTGTTTGGTACTGCTGAAGCGACTTCAACGCGGAGCCAGAGCAGACTTCCATGGAAAATAGATTCGTGTGTGACAGTCGAGAAGGAAAGTATTGAATTTCAAATAGAAAACCGTTCAATTGGTGAACAAGTGAAGGTGAGTCCTGGAGGCTACTGGGAGCTCTTCGACTCGAAGCTCTCGAAGTACAGAACATCTGAACGGTCATGTCCGCATTTTGACTTTCCAGTGCTTCAATTCTGCAAGATGATGGTAATGTCAGCAGTTCATATTCTGCCAGTCCAGAAAAATGCTTCTTACCTGCAAATTCTTAAAACTTGACTATCATGCGCATCCCGTAATCCAGGTCCTCTACTTCCACGACTTTGCACCGGACGAGATCCCTCCCTCCATTTTCAAGGGCTTTGAGAAGGTCGAGTGGTCCAAGTACGGATGCGTACTCGCCGGTTTTGCACAATTGGGCCCGGGAGAAGCGGTGCTGGAGATCAAGGGGCCCTCGAAAGTAACTTTTCAGATCGTCGTGCACTGTTACCTGACCAATATCCTCAGAGACTTTGAGACTTGTCTTCCGCGTCCTTTGCTTACATCTACATTGAAAGGTTTGAGCTGATTTGCGCAATCATCCAACTGGATGACTTCTGAACGATTCGTGAATTCAGGAAAGTACGATCTGCGGACGCAGCAGAGCTAGCTGAACCTCTTCAATATATCAAAACAATCCTCGTCACAAGATCTGATTCTAAAGGTTGAACACGAATCCTAATCAGAGCCTATCCAGCGGATGTTGCTTCTTCGGCTTCCTTGACATTTGATGCACGTGGCCACCAAGCGGGCAAGCAACCGCACGCGAGCCTGGCGAGCCGTCTGGTTAAGGAGTCTGTGAGCCGTGCCCTCGACCAACTCAAGGAGAAAGCTCCCCAGGTCTTCTCGAGCTTCTATCAAACGAAGGTGAGAAGACTCTCGCCACCTCAACCTCGTAAGAAGGCAACATCCTTACCCTTCGTAACTCCAGGCGAGTCGTAGAAACCAGCTTATGACAATCTAATTTTGAACAACGTTCACTTAGTTGGTTACTTGGAAGAACCCAAAAGCAAAGTAGTTCACTCTTAAATTCCTGCCGCTTCATCAATTTCACAAGGGATCAGATTTTTTTGGGTTTACACAAGTGCGAAAGACGCAGACTACCACATCGCCCCGTTGTGATAATCTGGCGATGAGGTTTTTCTGAACCAGATACAAGGTTGCCATCTTCTGTGCAGATTCGTGCTTCCATCCCCGATCTGGCTACTTCCGTCTTCTCCATGGTCAAGGGGTCTTCAAACGGTGACTTCCGGTTGGAGTGCATCAGAATTATGGGACTGAACGGCGTAGAAGACCTGACAGAGATCTTCGAGGCCACTCTTACCTCTCGCTTGAACGACATCGTGGGTCGCCTCGGTCACAGAGCGCCAGCAGCAAGCAGGAGGCAGATGCACCGAAGTGGCGCTCGGCGAGGGTCGTCGCCTGGTGACGAACACGTGGATGATGAAGGCCAGGATAACAGCAGTGAGACTCAGAACGAGGAGGTTACGATGGAGACAGAGGAGGAAGGTAACGCACAGATGGAGGCTGATAGGAGTGGCACGATATGGGACTTTCTTTAGACTTCGTTGAGCACTTTTGAAAGCGCAGTCACGTGTCATGAGAAAAAAAAATTCAGTCGCATGGATGCAGGTTAGTACTGCTTAGTGCTAGAAAAATCGAGGATGGGGCTGATACCACCAAACAGATTTGGAGTCGCTGACGGCCAGACCCAACTCTTAAGTGAGTCATTTGCCCTAAAAGCATGCACAAAATGGCAACCCTGCGTACCGCTGTACTTGGTCAATATGTGTGCAAAGATCGGTTCGCCGAAGCCTGAAGAAGTTTCCTAAACTGGAGAAGAGCAGGAGCACATGCAACTTTTAATCGTCGGACCTTTAATGGGTGCAAATTATTGGCTCTCTACTCCCACGAGCTATGGCCAGACAATCGTCTCCGAGGATGCCTTTTGATCCCTCGTAGTGTCAATAAGTGCGGTAAAGGATGTGCGATTCTAGGTTCATTCACTTGCTTATCGAGGGGCGCTAGTGGTCAATCGTGTCGCGGCCTGGGCTTACTGGTTCTCTGGTAGAACACCGTGAATCGAGGCCGAGTGGACTTGAAAACTTCTCCATCTTCCCTGCATGAATATGTGACGTGTGTGCTTTGACTTGTCCACCGCATCAGCCGGCTTTCCTGGTGCAGAATGACGGTTCTCACCGACATGACCTCCCTGCACCGGTGATTTCGTCCTTTTCATGGCTTGTCTCCGCAACTTGCGTGTCCGAGTCCCATGGTTCCTTTTATGCCACCAACGACTGACTTACGTAAACAAAGATAGAACATGCGATGATAAGGCGATGCGGCGTCATGCAGGCCGGATAGGTACAAGCAAGTAATTTTACCAAGTTCTTTTGTCTGTTCCAGAAATCCGACGTGACAAGGCCAGTGATATAATTTGAATGCCCCACGCTCAGTGTTATCAGCAGCTTTCGTCAAGCACTAAGTGGATTGCTCAAGCAAACTTGCACTGAAGGCGTGGTCAGGACCAAGCAGGAACAAATCAATATCTTAATACCTCCGTTGAATCCAGATAGCTAGCTACATGATTGCGGGCACCCGCGTACGTAGCCCCGCGCGGGCCTGCTGTATACGGTTCTGCGATTGTGAGCGGAAATGAATCGAATACCTGATTAGCAGCAAGCCTCCTTTGCTTAGCGGCCATGCTTTGAGGAGTTTCATCCGACAATCCTGCCACGTGTACATAAAGAAGGACCGGCCAGAGGTGACGGTCGTCAGCTTTTCGAAGATTACAATTTGTCATTTAAATATGCAGACAAAGTGCGTTGTATTCGAAATACCTGGCATTCTTCATGGCCATGCCAAGTCACACAGTCAGCACACATCATGGCATGAATGCAGTGTGCCCGGCCAGCCTGCTGTACAGCATGAACGTCCAAGCTTGTACTTATCTATATAGTTGCTAATACGAGTCCGACCAAATCATTTTCAAGCTCAGGCCTTCCTCAAATGAGAGTCACCGCTGATCACATCGTCCGAGTGACAGTCGACGAATGCAGAGAAGCATGAACAAATCGAGCCACAGGAGACTGCCGTAACTTAAACGTTTGCGCTTTGGCAACGTACCTAACCTCGTTGCAGAGGAAAAATGGCCACAGGCTCCCGAGAAGCTGGATGACTTCAGCTGTGTCAATCGTAGCTCTTATGTAGTGCCTATGACGTTACATCTACCTTACTTTGACCGTTAGCTTCGTACCTCTCGTTCTACTTTTGAGTTACATGTTCTTTAGTTTCTCCCTCTTCCTACTCTGAGTCCAAGGACCTTAAGGCGCAGTGGTAATAAATCACATGTTTGTCCCTGCCCTATTTGACTCGGCCCATTCGCGTCTCCGCATCTTTCTTCAAAATGACATTTGTTCAATCTATTTGAGGTTAGTATTTCCTACTATACGGTTGCTGAGGTGGCAACCAAAGAATCGAGGGACCTAGTACTTCCTACTTATACGGTTGCTGAGGTAGCAACCAAAGAATCGAGGACTACCCTACCAACTCTTACTGATCATACACTACAAAAATTGTGTCACTTGAAGGGTAAACGTACCCCAAGCTCGACTCCTACATTGCTAGCATGGCCAATGCTATAAATACAACGCTCAGCGCAACGGACCGTGGCAGACGATCCGCAGCGCTGACAATCGGAGGGGTCCCCGTCACAAGAGGCGGCGCAACACCCTGCGCCTGCAACGCCGCGGCCTGCACCGGAGCCGCTGCCGCCAACCCGTCGGCGGTTACCGCAGACACAGTCGCTTCCGTTGAGAGGGGTTCCGTTACCACTGGAGCGGACGGCGTCGCTGCAGGCTCGGTAACTAGAGGTGCCGCGGTCGCCATGGAGAGTAGTTCGGCGGGGACTACGCTGGCCATTGGGGTGGGGGTCTGCTGGATTGACGTGGGGCCGGGTGTGTTTATCGAAAGGGCCTTCACACTGTTCACAGTGGGGACTGGGGTGCTCGGGGCCTGTGTCGGCGAGGCCGTGGGGTTCTGAGTCGGGCTCCCGGTTTGGGGGGCTGAATTCGGCTGAGTCGGAGGGGGGGTCGGGACGGACGTGGGAGGTGGGTTTGTGGGCGGGGGGGGTGTCGGGGACGGGGTTTGAGGGGGGTTTGTGGGAGGGGGATCCGTAGGGGAGGGCGTCTGGGGCGGTTCTGTGGGAGGAGGGTTAGTCGGAGAAGGAGTTTGAGGGGGGTTAGTGGGCGGAGGGTTAGTCGGAGAAGGAGTTTGAGGGGGGTTCGTGGGGGGAGGGTTAGTCGGAGAAGGAGTTTGAGGGGGTTCGTGGGAGGAGGATTAGTTGGGGAGGCGTTTGAGGGGGTTCTGTGGGAGGGGGTTCGTAGGGGAGGGGGTTTGTGGGGGATTCGTGGGAGGGGGGTTCGTCGGGGAGGGGGTTTGTGGAGGATTCGTAGGAGGGGGGTTCGTAGGCGAAGGGGTTTGCGGAGGGTTTGTGGGTGGAGGAGTGTCAGGAGGGTTTGTGGGGGGAGGGGCCGTAGGACTGGGAGTTGCAGCCGGCGGGGAAGGCGTTACGGAGGGGGAATCTTGTGCGCTCTTGGACGAGGTTGAGACGGACCCCGCGGAGCCGGAGATCGGGTTCTTGTTTTTGTCGACCTGGCCACACCTGTACAACGCCATGGCAACAATGAGTATACAAGAAAAGAGTCTTGAAACAATTCTATAAGAGGACTAGGTTGCAAATGAGCGATTAGGGATAGGAAAAGGATGCTGATTGGAACATTGCTCCCGGAATAAGCAGGTGTATGTCTATATTTTCGTCCCTCAACCACCACCAGATGAAGAGGTCCGTCTGCTCAAAGCAATCAGGATCAGATGGGATTCACACGGGGTTCACAAGCATCGAACAAGTACAAATCCGAAGCTTATTGTTGCGGCCCTGATTGAAGTCGAAGAAGCTCCCAACACTAGGTCATGAAGGATCTGGAGAACCTTCAGACCCTCTGAGTAGCACAGGACAAGAGTTGGAGCAACTAATACTTGGTGATTCGCAGATGTGCAACTCACGGCGTCATGGTGATGGGAATGATGCCTGCGCGCTGCTCGGCAATCGAGAGGAATACCGGCATGCTCAAGTCGATATGGTTTGCATCACACTCGGGGCAGAGGTTTGTCACGTACACCCGTATGCTTCCAGCTGCATTCAAAATGAGAAACACAATGTCAACGTCCCAACATCAGCATGCAGTGGTGGTCTATTAACCCTTGCTGGTTCTGTATCTCACAAAAGGACTCCTGGAAAGCTCCACCACTCTTTCTTGTTTGACATGAAAAGTTTGGAGGGGCCAGTTTATGTCTTTATCCTTGCCTGTCATCTCCAAAATGGGACGAGGTCTGTCAAGCAGCACAGTAAGTTAAGTGAAGTTAAGACCAGATGAAAGGCAATCATCTCTCCCCCACAGCAGCTCTTTACCCAAGAGGGCAATTAGTGCCAGCTTTCAAGCTGGCAGCTATCAAGCGCCGCCTTACCGATGCAATCAGGTCCTGGCTGCTGCTGCTCCTTCCAAGAATCCCGAGACGAATCGCAGGAGACGTCAAAGCAGAGCCCGCACCCCTCGCGGTTGTTGAAGATTGCCGGCCCAGCTGCCACCACGTTTGTACCAAACGCCGGCTGGACGTTGCCCCAGAGACAGGCACCATCTGAGAAATGCACAGGGGAGATTAGTCAGGAAGGACAAGTTCCGCAACAAACTGATGATGCTTCACTTCAGTCCTCAATCATCAAGGCTTGCGAATGGTTGCAGTAAAAGGAATTAGGTGATCATAATCATGGTCTATGAAACTGCATCATTCTCATCTGTGCTTCTGAAAGTGAAAGGTGTGACTGGGGGTCACTCTAGAAATGTTGGTTGCTGGTTTGGAAGTCCGTGCTGAGAACCGAATGACTGCATAATCATTGATAGCTACTGCATTAATCATAAGGATTGGTGGCAGTACCAATCTGGTCAACTGCATCAACAGAAGCATGAGCAGCTATGTATCATCATACGCTTGGAGGCGTTCACCTGCAGGCGGAAAGCAAGCTTCCTAGCGAAATGCACTTCAAAGCGACTGTTCAATCTGAGCTCAGCACATGTCACCACTTTCATGATTTCAGTCATCCGCTTACCATTGGTTGCTCCAGCTCCCAAGGGATCACCGTAGTACGTTGCCTTGAGCCCGCTGCCGAGGTAGGTAGCCTCTGCGTGCTGCATTGCACTCAGGCCTGTCAGCACGAAGCACAGCACATGCCGCATTGTGTGCAGGAGCGACACCGGCTGTAGATCTGGCCTTGCCATCCTTGTATAGCAGGTAGAATGTCAGTGAGTGTGTATTTTGGGTGCCAGGTGCAGATTGTGGCATCAACTTACGACAGAGAGGAGCTTGACCTGCTGGTAGATGGATAGGAGAGAGTGAGGCAGCTGTTGCTCCCAACTTTCTAGTGAAGTGCTTTAAGTGCTTACCGATTTGTGCAACTGCTGTCTTGAGATTCCAGACTCGGAGCTGTCTTCAACAGCCTGAGGCTGCATTCAAATTAGTTTAGGTCATGCGGCGGCCTCCGACTCATGCCTGTTCTGTCCAACTCCAAGTTGCTTTCGGTCTCAACCTTTGAGAGATGTGGTTGATCCATGCAACCGCGAGTCAGCCGTTGCAACATGGAGCTGCCACCTGGTGCTACACTACACATTGCACAAGCCTTTGAAGCGTGCGGTAGCAAGCAAGTCTTCCAGGGCGCCCGGCGCTTTGTATCAGCTCCGAACTCCTCGTTTCGAGATACAGAATGATGGTCGAAAAGCCAAGCAACCTGGCGTCATTTTGAAGCAAGTAGTAGTACCTTTTACTAGGTTGATACCTCGCGGCGTTTGCAACTGAAGGTCACTCCAATTTTGTACTGACCTCTAGTCCCGAGTCCAGACCTCCGGTGGACTACCTGGTGTAAATCAGTTAGTCTGTCGCAGACGTGAAGCCAGAGTCGGACAGACGCAATGAAATTGACAGAGAAAATTGCAGGTTTCTCGGAAGATGGTGTCCCGGCTCCCGGGCACCCACCCACAACTTGGGGGAACACGGTACAGTACGGTACCGTAGTAGGCACTCAGTGCACATTGCAGAGTCCAGAAACAGTACCTACCGAGTCCCTACCGACGGCTACCGTAACCACCGCACTGCGCATACGGTAGTAACGGTACCTACCTATACCCACCATTGTGTGCTCACTTGCAGGTTACCCTACATTGAGTACCTATTTACCGGTAGGTAACAGTAAATTGTACATGCAGGCCCCCGGGAAATCTGCGGCCTGGAAATGGGATTGCACCCCTCGGCTTGATCGTACGTGCGACCCGCTTCAACTACCGAATAAGACAAAAGCCGAGCCGACTGAGCCGGCCTAATGACGACAAAGCCGCCTGTCGGAGCAATAACTGTCGATAAGTCTGTCGTACTGTACGGTCTTCTCAACCGCAACTGTCTGCGATGGCGCGGCGCGGACTGGGGCGGCCGCCCGGCCCACCACGCGGGCGCGGCAAGTTCAAGCCTGTCACGGTTCAATGCTCTAAAACGGGCGGCGCGGCCGCATGTTGAGCAGCACTGCGCGAGTACCCGCGCAGTGTATTGAAGCAAGGCTAGCACGGCGGCCGCCGGCCGAGCGCCCTCATGGGGAACCGTAGGACTAATCGGACGGTTTTGAAATGAACTTTCGAGATTGCGACTTGAAGTGTTCGCAACCGTCGATAGGTGTCTGGTCAGGCTTCTGGACCGTCCAGTTCTGGAACCTTCCAGAACCATAATGCACCATAGATGGATGATACCTTGACAGCGTAACGGCAGAGGCAAGCTAAGTACCAGCTAGCAGGCCTTGCAAAGGCAATGCTGCCGGTCATGCATCTTCATAAGGGTTACTTGACCACCCGTCGGTTGCAAGAGCAGCATTTGGACAAAGCTTCCTTCCTGCAGGCGCTCAAGCAACCCCTCTGGTAGCCCGGCAAACAGGACAGCTCATTCAGCACGCGCTAAAAGATACATCTTCTAAGGGCAGGTGATTGAGGACAGCATGGCCACGACGACGGAAGACGTGCGGATGGAGAGCGGGGAGAGTCAGGAAGTGGAAACCTTTGCTTTCCAGGCGGAAATTAACCAGCTGCTGAGTCTGATCATCAATACGTTCTACAGCAACAAAGAAATCTTCCTCAGGGAATTGATCAGCAACTCCAGTGATGTGAGTCTATTTTCCGTGTTTTCTTTTGTTTCTCACCTGACAACGTCATGTGGACCTGACGTACTTTCTTATCATTTGAATGTACGCTGTTGGTCATGTGCACTGACCCTGGTGGTGGTACAAAGTTTTGAAAAATCAACAAGAAGTTCTGGAGCTTTCTGCACTCTTTTTTTTGGAGAGCCCTCAAGAGACCTGCAGGAACTTCTTGCGGATACAATGTTGCAAACTTTGAAACTGAGAGGTCCGGTTGTTGTTAGATGTGCAAAGAAGCACGAGCAAGTCTTGACAGTTGGTGTAAGGTTGAAACGTTTTGGTCATGCACGGCGAACTGCCAAACAAACTGCATCCTTGTGGAAGCATGCCAGGCTATCAAGCGAGCCTTGCTCAGTTCCCTCTAGGTTTTGAGACCTGTCAAGTTGAGACTCTTGAGTATGAGATAAAAGAATAATCCTTGCTTTCTCAAACATCTGGGCCTTGACCACCATACAGATGCTTAGTGTTGGTCTTGATGTAGCTAATGTATCCAGTTTTGCCAGAAGTTTGTGTTGCCTAGCTGGCATTTCTGACTCTAAATAAGTTTCAACGTCACATTGTGATTAGATAGCCTGAACCCTGCATGACAGAGCCAGGTCAGATGGTTCGCGCATGACCTGCTTTGTGATGCTGCAGGGGCTGGTTTGTGGCCTAATGTTTATATCAATACGTGAACAAGTCATTGGCCTTTCTATTGCAGGCTTTGGATAAGATCCGATTTGAGGGTCTGACAGACAAGAGCAAGCTCGATGCGCAGCCTGAGCTGTTCATCCACATTGTCCCTGACAAGACCTCAAACACCCTCAGCATCATTGACAGTGGCATTGGAATGACAAAAGCAGGTGAGTGCGGGATTATCATCCTGACAAGAGTAGATTTTTTGATTGAGATACAACTTGTAGACAGTTCTTTGGCAAGCTCAAGAGTGGCCGGAAATGTAGCTGGAAAGCTGGGGAAAGAGTGCTCCAAACTAAGCATGTAAAGCCATTGGAACTCTCATCTGAGCTGACCAGATACAGAGAGACCAAGGTAAAATACAGTCAATATGGAACTTTGCCATATCCCATTGATACATTGACGACTAATTGACGAGTTCCAATTGGACTGCTTTATGTATCACCATGTTCCGCCTCATCAAACTGAACAAAACTTTTGCCATTGCAGACTTGGTGAACAACCTCGGCACCATCGCCCGCTCGGGCACTAAGGATTTCATGGAGGCGCTGACACAGGGTGCGGGTGACATCAGCATGATTGGGCAGTTCGGTGTCGGCTTCTACAGTGCGTACCTAGTGGCAGAGCGGGTGGTGGTGACTACCAAGCACAACGACGATGAGCAGTACATCTGGGAGTCACAGGCAGGGGGCTCGTTCACTGTGAAGAGGGATACCAGCGGAGAGGATTTGGGGAGGGGGACAAAGATTACGCTGTTCCTGAAAGAGGACCAGGTATGTGGTGTGTGGTGGTTGGTGGTTTCTGCAGGAGCATGAGCCAAGTTTTGGCCAGCTTAGGGTTTTGGTCGAACTGGGTTTGCAAGAATCCATCGGTGCTTTTGTTGGTCGGATGAGAGTACAATACGCCATTAAGGATGTCGTATCTCTGTTGAAGCATTTGCACTTCCGTCCCTTGATTAGGTATTTTGTTCATTACGCATGCGGTGTGACCTTTGAAACCTTATTCACCAGCTTCTGAAACATTCATTTACAGAACGCTCTCTGTATCTTCGACGCCGGTTGCCAACCTGGCTCCTTTGCAACTGTCGAAGAACCATTCCGAGTTTTTCTGATTCCAAGTCGGTCGCAGCTGGGATAGGTCAGATCAGAGTATTTACTTGTTCTCCTTGCTCCACTAGACTGAGTACCTGGAGGAGCGGCGCCTCAAGGATCTGATCAAGAAGCACTCCGAGTTCATCAGCTACCCCATCAGCCTGTGGAAGGAGAAGACCAGTGAGCGGGAGGAGTCTGACGATGAGGAAGACCAGGAAAAAATGAAGGAGGACAAGGACAAGGAGGAGGAGGGCAAGGTCGAAGAGGTAAGCGTTCATGATCAGCTTGTCTCAATTGACAATGCGGATAGAGTCCTGTGGTCAGTCGTTTCCTGAAGAACTTCCGGAGACGACCTTTCAACGATGATTGGCCGCTGAACGCCTGCCCACTACTTCTGACTTACGATTCTATGAGAGTGCTTTGCTGAGGGTCCATTCTTCCGGTCAAACTGATTGCTGGCACTCTACATGTCTCCAGTCCTTGACCGCAGTATGGCACCTATAGCTTGCATCTATGCGTAACTGTTTTCAGAGGGCACAAACGAAGGGAGATTCATTGAGTTCCTGATTCGATCGCAAAGTTTGTGTCTGGTTGCATCTGCTTTCGTTTCTCACCACTGAGGCCCTCACGACACAAAGTACTTGGTCTTTCCCCTTTTCTGTCTTGTCTCGTGAGTTCTTCAGACCCGTTTCCCGTCAGTTTGGAAGTTTGCTACAAGAGAGGCTGTACGCGTTCCTGTCCGGCACTGACCAGGAGCTCTCTCGTTCTTGCGCAGGCCGACGACGAGGAGGAGAAGAAGGAGAAGAAGAAGAAGAAGGTGAAGGAGGTGACGCACGAGTGGGAGCTGGTGAACAAGCAGAAGCCGATCTGGATGCGCAACCCGGACGAGATCACGCGCGAGGAGTACGCGGCCTTCTACAAGTCGCTCACCAACGACTGGGAGGAGCACCTGGCCGTGAAGCACTTCTCGGTGGAGGGCCAGCTGGAGTTCAAGAGCATCCTGTTCGTGCCCAAGCGCGCGCCGTTCGACCTGTTCGACCAGAAGAAGAAGCCGAACAACATCAAGCTGTACGTGCGGCGCGTGTTCATCATGGACAACTGCGAGGAGCTCATCCCCGAGTACCTCAGCTTCGTCAAGGGCGTCGTCGACAGCGAGGACCTGCCGCTCAACATCTCCCGCGAGATGCTGCAGCAGAACAAGATCCTCAAGGTGAGTGTAACGCAATAGTGGACGGGCGTTTTTGATAGGTTCAACGAAAAGCGGTTCTTTTGAAAGCAAGGTGTTGATCGCGTCGACGTGCTTGCGTCACACGAACGGAAACTCTGGTCACATTTTTGGACGCTTGATGCCTGTATTTTCTGAACTCCTCTGTTTCCGTTTTCCCTGCCCGTCTGCGGTTCCTCAATCTTGTGCACTCTGCATACGTAACCTGATGACCACTAGACCCTGCTAAGTAACACCTATTTTGAATTTGGAGGTCCTTCAACGTTGGTCTTCTTTTGTTTTCCTTGATACTTGAATGTTGATACTCTGTTCAAACCTCGGCAAGATTGCTTAGGTCAGCTTGTATTTGCCGGTTTCGAATTGTCAACTGCTTGTTTAGCCTTTTCGCACTAGGACGAGCTCTTACTCCTTCTAGAAGCAACGTCTGACGCACCGTCATGTGCGGTTGCAGGTGATCCGCAAGAACCTGGTGAAGAAGAGCCTGGAGATGTTCAACGACTTGGCGGAAAACAAGGAGGACTACAAGAAGTTCTACGAGGCCTTCAGCAAGAACCTGAAGCTGGGCATTCACGAGGACAGCCAGAACCGGGCCAAGCTCGCCGATCTCCTGCGCTACTATACCACCAAGTCGCTCGACGAGGTACGCTGCGTTCAAAGATCTAGCTTCGTTCTCCTGCAACTTGGGTATCTGCAGCTTGACGGTGTCCTTGGCGAAGTGAGTTCTGATCATGTTCCTGCAACACTGGACGTGAGGCCTGAAGTTGCGAGCGGAGTTTGCGGTGACTGTATGGTTCTCCCCTACCGTAGAGTGTGCTGTACCGTCAACTGTCCTTTAATGCACGTTCTCTGGAGAATATGTTGTAAGAGTGTGCTGTACCGTCAACTGTCTTCTAATGCTGTTCTCTGGAGAATTTTGCCAAGACAACATGTGGATACTCTTTTAAAACGTGGAGTTGATTCATGAAGCACGAAGGTCATCTGGCCCCCTGGTAGTAAACATCCTGATGCGATTTCTAAAGGAACGGAAGGCCTTCAGTTGAAAGCCCACGAGGCCCCTCAGAACGCTCTTTTCCAGCTGCTACTGACCTGCTCCTTCACACTGGTGGCCGCAGATGACGAGCCTGAAGGACTACGTGACGCGCATGAAGGAGGGCCAGAAGAACATCTACTACATCACGGGAGAGAGCCTGAAGGCGGTGCAGAACTCGCCGTTCCTGGAGCGGCTCAAGAAGAAGGGCTTCGAGGTCATCTTCATGACGGACCCCATCGACGAGTTTGCCGTGCAGCAGCTCAAGGAGTACGACGGCCACAAGCTCGTCTCCGCCACCAAGGAGGTAAGCCTTAGCATAAGTGGAGCCGATCATTGTGTTGCGTTTCCCGACATTGAACCGCAAGTGAAGGCTGTGTTCGAAAATCGGAGCTGGACGTTTCTGCGGCAGGTCAATGGGTCTCGCTTGTTGTCTGGCCTCGGATCTGCCACCATTCTAGCGCGACGCAGAAAAGGTTGCGAAGCATCGTTCAGTTTGAAGGAGCACGGTACCTATTGTCCGTCTCTGGTCCTTGTGTCCAACCAGAGATTTTGTTTTACCTTTGTTCCAGCAGCCCCCAAAACATTCCAGCAGCCCCCAAAACATTCCGCGCTTCAAAGCCCGCTCCCGTATACTCCTTTTCCGCCGCCCTCGTTCCGTCGCTCACGCTTGCTTCTGTCCGCAGGGCCTGGTGCTGGAGGAGACGGAGGAGGAGAAGAAGAAGTTCGAGGAGCTGAAGGCGCAGTTCGAGCCGCTGTGCAAGGTGATCAAGGACATTCTGGGCGACCGCGTGGAGAAGGTCGTCGTCTCCGACCGCGTCGTCGAGTCGCCCTGCGTGCTCGTCACCGGCGAGTACGGCTGGTCCGCCAACATGGAGCGCATCATGAAGGCGCAGGTGAGGGCCGAGCTGCTCCTCTTGAGAGGTTGATCTTCCTGGACGAAGACGCGCGCGCTTAAGCCGAACGTTTTAAGAGGGTCGTCGATACCAGCGGGGTCTCTCTTTGTTGTCTGCGCTCTTTCCTGGTGCTGGTGCCACGTGGCCCACATTTGATGACGCGTTCGTCTCAGAGTTTCTATTCGATGTTAAGACTTACTGATTCGTTGACAATCTGGATTCGTTGGCCTTGCTGAGCCCACCGGCAGATGCATTCTGACGGCCGTCTCTTAAATATCCAGTGGTTTGTTGCATCTGGGAAAGCGGCACCTGCGCCAGTTCGTTGCATCTCTGAGATCGACACATGCGCTAGCTCAAGACCAAGATATGCCAAAACCGTTTTAAGTTTGAAACACTCCGCCGAACGCTTTACTTGATCAGTTCTTGGTAACCTGCATGTGAAAAGCTAACGCCAGTCGCTCCCTTGTTGCAGGCGCTGCGCGACAGCAGCCAGTCGCAGTACATGGCGTCCAAGAAGACAATGGAGATCAACCCGACGAACCCGATCATGAACGAGCTGCGCAAGCGCGCGGAGGCGGACAAGGGCGACAAGACCGTCAAGGACCTCGTCCTGCTGCTCTACGAGACGGCGCTGCTGACGTCAGGCTTCAGCCTGGATGACCCCACCACGTTCGGGAAGCGCATCTACCGCATGGTGCAGCTGGGGCTGTCGATTGACGAGCCGGAAGAAGCGGAGGGCGGGGGGGATGAGGACATGCCGCCCCTTGAGGAGCAGGGGGCGGACGAGGGCAGCAAGATGGAGGAGGTCGATTAGGTTGGGCTCGAATGGAGTTCCGGAAATAAAGGGGGTTAGTGAGCAGGAAGCGAGTTAGTGGGGTCGGGAAGGCGGTAGTTCATCCGCTGTGATCTGAGGGTCCGTTAGACGGGTTAGTCGGGTTAAATCGCTTAGCGGTGTGCGTGTAGATATGATCAAGTATAAGAGACCCGCAAGCGGCAAGCCATGGAAGGGATCAGCGCCATCATAAGATCAGCGCTTTGCTGAGAGAGCATAGTCGAGACCTTTGACATTTTGAACGTTCTGGTTATCAGTCCTAACATAGTGTTTACAAAACACTAAGAGCATGCGGAGAAGGGCTTTCATAAGAGGACATAGAAGGCGTTCTTGACCTACGAAATGTGATACATTATTTGTATAGCATAGTTTGAGTGATGACCTTATAGTGTTCTCTTCTGAATGTCAAAAATACTGTAGGACTTGTGCAGTTTCGAGACCAATTTCGCAGCAAAATCTCCAGGTCATGCATTATGGCTGAATACCGCGCACAAGGACTGTGGCAAATTGACTTTATCGTGGTTACTGTGACCCCTCTACCTTCCAAGCCGCATGCTTTGACATTACGTGGTTCACGGCCTTTCAAGCAAAAACTCGCTTACGTACGAGCATATTGGGGATTGTAGTGTGTTAGGTTCTTCGCATGCACATTTAGAGTAACCGTGCGCGGTGACAGAAAAAAGGAATTGTCTACACTCTAAAGTAGGATACTCAACAGCGTCTTTTCACCCGTTGGATATATCGGGAAAGTGTTTGTTAATACTACGAAACCATCACATGTGGAAGTATTGCGATCGGATCGAAAACCCGAGGTGCCTGATTCTCAAAGGTGACCGTTTTCAAAGGCCGTCATGCAGCGTCTTCACCAGGACCAGCCTCCATGTCAAAGGTGTGAATATGTGTCTTACGTAGCTTCTTGAATTTATACACGCAGAGCTGAATACCTCTTATAGTATGTTTATGTGTGTATGGTTTATAGTATGACTACTCGGTGACCGAGGTCTCCCTTTGAGTCGGCGTGCCAGCTTGTACAAGAGCGTGGTAATGATCTTTGCCTAATCCTCGACGCGGCTGTCGAAATGCGCACCCTGCCTGTTATTCCCGCAATAAAGAGTACCTGTTTAGGTGAGCAAACCCATCATTTCCTAGTCGCCCTATCCCGTGGCCCACGAAGCCAAGAGGATTTCGCTTGGTTATATACACTAGGTTTACACAAATATGTTTGCAGACTTTCGATCAGACCCCTAGAAAAACCAAAGCCTCCTGGTTAGGTGCTTGAAACCCTAGAAAAACCAAAGCCTCCTGGTTAGGTGCTTGATACCTAGGTACACGATGTGGTCGAGGTTATCTCCGAGCCTCACAGGGTCCCGGGCCACCTTCCTCCCTGGCGTTCCGTTGGTCAGCATTGACGTCATGCCTTGGGGTGCTTCAACCGAATCCCTACGACCCGGTGCACGCATCCCCCCCGCTCTCAGCTGCCCCTCGTTGGGCTCGCCAATGCCCCCCCCGAGCGCATCTTGGATAATTTTGGTCGGGGCGTTGTCATCGCCGAGCAGGACAGTGCGCAGCAGGGGGTCCAGCAGCTCTGGCGCCAAGAGACGGTAATAGGCTATGAGCCCGTACCATACGGGATGGATGACGTCCGGCTTCCTCCGGCGGGTTGCGTCAACCGCCGCCTTTGCGATTGCGCTCGTTGGCATGAGCGGCACCAGACCGAACCCGTTTTGCTGCAAGAGTGAACAACGGGCTTTGGGGATGCGACAACACAGCAACCAAACGCGGAGAGATTTAGAGGTAGCATGCCGTGTCTCTGCCTTGAGACGCCCTCAGAAACCATAAGCAGGCCGCTTTCAACGTCACTCTCTTTGGGGAATGCTAAAGAGTCTGGTAACAAAGCATAAAAGGTCTACTCCCACTTGAGCACAGCCGGAAGCAAGAAAGCCAACGTACGACGGGACGTCTGCAAGATTCGTGCCCACTATCCGCGTCCTTAAGAAGGTCTTTTCCCTGAACAATCAGAATTCGGACGGGCAAGAGAATATCGAGATTCGGAAGCAGGATCCAGTCTCCCAATCTAGCGCGTCTGCAGAATGTTCAAGTTCATGAAACGTCACGGATTTGATACGTTCCAAATGAATCAACCACGTTGTAAGTTTCACCAATTGGCTCCACACTGGGGTACTAAAAACTCCAAAAGGCCCTGCTTACCCTGCGCAGTCTGATTCCCTCTTCGTAGTCCGCAACACTGCCGTCCGGTTGAACGAACTTGCCGTCCGTCATTTCGGACTTGGCGAGGCCCGGAGAGAAGATGGTGATAGGGACCTCGTGGCCGAGCTCAATGCGCAGCGTGTGGTAAAAGCTCGCCACCGCAGACTTGGAGGCCTGGATTCAGAGAAACACAGGGAAGTTTGGCGGTTAACCATAGTCGGTTACGGGCCGGTTCGAAGCTGGTTGAATGTCCAATAACCAGACTCGAGCAGTAACCACATTTTTAGCATGGCTATAATGTGGATATTGGTCAAAGAACCATATAAGATTCTGGTTCTCAAACCTGGTTAGCAGCCAAACCTTCCTGTGAAAGAGGTTGAGCTTTATGGCTTCCACAAAAGCTCAATCTCTTTCGTATGTGGACCCTTACCGGAAGAAGCACACTTGTCAGACTGTCTTGCACCTCCTCGTACGCTCTAGGAAAGGTGCTTCTTAAAAACAGCATGCTTACTTCTTATAGATATTCACCTGATCGCATTAGTTACACTTCGGCACCCCTGCCTGAGTTGCAAGAAGATGCTCATCAACCCTATAACCTACACGTCGGTCTCAAACAAGCAACGTCTTGGTAGTGCACTGCTATACAGGGCGATGTAATTGAACCAAACGAAGCGAGGCGCCCCGCCTCTTCACCGGAAGCCCTACTGGTGCACAGTTCTTTCGACCTTCCTGAACCTACGTAAACATGGACACAGGAGATCCTGAAACCCTACACCCCTAAAATCGAAATACCAGGGAGAATGGTCGCGCAAAGAAGCAACAGTGGGTCACGTCTCGTACAATTTCACAGCAAGTTTTGGCTTCTAACCAGGCGGACCACTCAGTCTTTTTTCTTTTCATCAGACTTAGTCTCAGGTTATTGGACATCTGACCCGGCTTTAGCCTTTTGCCGGGGCTGGTTAAAGCGAGGTCTGAATGCTGGACATAAAACCATTCTCTGACCAGCCATAAACAGCCCCTAACCATCCAAGCTTAACAGCCAAAGAAGTCCCGTTGAAATGCACATCCGTTATAGAAATGCGCATACGTCATAGAAATGCACATACGTTATGCAAATGCACGTACATTATAGAAGGAGTTCATCGGCACTGGGGCGATGGAGGAGACGGATGCCGTGACGTAGATGTTGCCCTGGCTGGCCCGCAGGTGGGGGAGGGCATGGTACGTCATGTACACGTAACTCCAAAAGTTGGTGTCCTGCAGATAACCCAGGGTTAAGGGTATTGCAGATCAAGGTTTGATTCTCGGCAAAGTGAGCTTCTCGTGAGGTGGGGAAGGGCATGGTACGTCATGTAGACGTAACTCCAGAAGTTGGTGTCCTGCGGATAATCCAGGGTTAAGGGTATTGCAGATCAGGGTTTGAATCTCGGCAAAGTGAGCTTCTCATAGAGATACATCACCAAGAGATTCACCGAGCAACTCTTGAACACATCCAACGAGAACATGGTAGGTCAATAAAGTACCCGAAGCTGTTGGAAAGGACAAAAGCTCGATGCACTCCCATCGACAACTCGAGTCATAATCGTCGTCAGTTCCTTGATCAATTGACCAAGCAACCCTTGAAGCAAGGTCTTACCATGATAGAGTCGAATCCAGCCGTCGAGTCAGCTGACTCAAAGTAGAAGCTGGGGAAGAGTCCAGCGTTGTTCACAAGCGTGTCCACTGCAAAGTGAACCGGGGTGTTGTCAGAAGCAGGCTGCATATTTATGAGTACAAAAGCCGGCGAGAGCATCATAGGATACGGTACATCGGCGCATTAGGAAAACCTCTCACCTCGCAAACATTCATCTGATCAGCATCATAGGATATGGTGCCTCGGCGCCATTGGGGAACCCTTTTCACTTCGCAAACAATCATCTGATCAAAGATAGATCGGAGAACTGATGCAGAGCCCACCATTATGCGCTGCCGAATACTGCCAATGTCATTGAGATCAAGGCTTGCAGGCTTCAACCGTTTATTGATATTCAACCCTTTATTAACCCTTTATTTTAAAAAAAAAAAGCAGATTTAAAGTGTTGACAACCATTGAGGTTGACATGCGCACACGAGGCCTCAGTGACACTTCCCCAGAAATCTGCTGCAAAATCATTGGGCAATTGGCTCCGGAGCTTCTTAAGCTCAGGATTAGTCTTCCCTTCCAGGCATACGTCGGTTGCAAAGCATTAAAGAGCAGCCTTAGCCCAAGCTTCAGGATTCCATGGTTTCAAAAAACCTGTTCGGTACCACCATTGAACCACTAACTCACTCACATCTCCTGTAGTGGCCGAGGGTCCTGGAAAGTGCGTCCTTGCACCCATCCTCATTCCCGAGATCGGCATCCACCACCAGAACGTCATGAGCACCCAAAGCCCTGCACAGTCCTTCAAACATTCTTACTCTGACTCCATTTAAGCTGTGGCCTTCCAAAACCAACTATGCTGGCACAAACCCAGCCTTGCCAGAATCACTAAAGCTCGGCAATCTCACACTGCGCGTCTGCCACTTATGAAACGATCTGGGAGAGTCTCATTGTGCAGTAATAGATACCCTATACGGCTGGCAGAGGCATGGGCTGCCGATTGCTAGTGATATATTTGGGTCCCATTAAAAGCAACCCCTATACCCAGGCCAAGGTGCCGTGAGCTGATACTGGCAATGTATGATGGCTTGATTGAGATCCCTTTAAGCATAAACCATCATTTACGAAAAAGCAACAAACGAAAACCGTCTGCACCGACTGCACCCTCTCCGTTTGCTCTGCATCAACAAAAGCAGAATGGAGCAGGTAGACACACCAGGCATTTGCTGCGACGTCTTTGAGCTTCTCCTTTCTCCGCGCAACGAGAGCCAACCGGGCGCCAAGCCTGGCGTACTCATATGCCATGTCCTGCAGGGCAAACAAAACTGCTTTACTTGTCAGAGAAGTTAACTAGTTAAATAGTTAGTTAGAAGTTAGTTAGTTAGTAGGCTCTGCAGAGTCTGCTCCAGATGATGTTGTGGAGTAGAATGTGAGAAGCAGTCCTGATTAAGCCTGTGGCGGCGTGCCACGATCAAGAAGGGAGACTCCTTAAGAAGACTAAACAGCTATATCCACAACGTACTGCTCAAAGAACGATGATAAAATCAAGGCAGGCTCAAAACTTTCCTCTACCACATGACAAAAAGCGCTCCTCGATGCCAATACTTCAATAGGAACTCATTGTGGTGCAAGGTACTCAACCGAAACCGACATGCTCACAAGGATCCGTGGTCCTTGAACTAAGTAAGCTTGAGATGTAGCCCATTGATGGGCTCGTCACCAGCTCACTTTGAAGATCTCCTTGCAGCTTATCAAGAAACCTTCTGAGACTTTCTCTAAGCTACTCTCCAAAACATCCTCTGCACGGCTTTCTCCCAGTTGACCTTCCCTTACATTCTCCATAACAAATCCTCTATTTCAGCTTACCTCCCCGAGGCCCGAGCTAGCTCCGGTGATCAGGACCACCTTGTCCGTCATGTCTGCTGGCTGCGAAAGTGCGTCCGAGACCAGCCTGTAAGTCCAAATGGCAGGCAGCGAGGCTGCTAAAACTCCAAGCCCGATCGGATAAGCCAACACGTTCAGAAACTCATTTGTTGCGTCCAATAGCTGGTCCTCGAACGGCGTAGGCTTATTCAGCTTCCTCCTCCGTTCCGCAGCCTCAGCGTATGGGATCCCCTTCGTCAGACGTCCATTGCTTTCTTTGCCGTAAGAGATGCTGGCATTGCTCTCTTTGCGGTCAGAGATGCGGGCCATCTTCACATTCAGGCTTCGTCTGCTAGGAGGGGAGGGAGGAACAACTAGGAACTGCTGACAAGTCCACGTCCGCGTCGGTGAAACCCTCTGGCCTCCCAAGAGAAGCCAAGAGCACCCCGCCTGGGGCACGGCGAGCGATGCGGCCACCATGACGAGCTGCTGACGTGATGGGAGATGCAAGATGCAGGCTGCAGATAAGCAGGCACTCGAAGCTGACGTGCTCCCTTGCAAACCCGGATCCAACAGGAGCCTGCTTTCTTTCTTCCCGACAGTAGGAACTCACAGATCCCTCCTCCACCCTCCCACTGGCAGCAGAAACCTTGGTACGGTAGGTCATTGTGCCCGGCAGAGAAAGCTTTCCTCTGAAACGAATGCCCTGCGTTTTGCATGCACGGCCGTCATGCATCTCACCACGTTAGCGGGCTCCTAGCTCCGGAACTTGTGACTCAATGTGAGCAGCTCGTTGCAAGTTTGCGAGCAGACCAAGAGGGATCCCTTAGGCTTCAGGCTGCAGTCGGACAAATCTAACTAGAGCCTGGCTGACCGGCATTTCACGTGCGGTACAACTATGTACCACAAGCCGGATCATGCCATGATGTTGAGGTCCTGCGTCCACGTCTAGTTCCTAGCTCGCAGCTCAGCTCGCTCTCTGCTCTTCAGAAGGGAGGTTCATCTGATTCATTTCCTCCTTGCTCAGAAAATGTTGGTCAGCTTTCGGCATCCAGGGACATAAGCATAATATATAGCATGGACTTCGCGCTCGGGTTTAGGAACTTGAGCTTTTCGTGGCAATCAGCGGACGCTTCTGCCGCTGGGAATCCAAATGGCCGCTCGGCCTTTGGCTGCGTTTGACCTGTATGCAATATTTTAGCGCGGCAAGATGAATCAACTCCCTCGTAACATCCTGAACGTTCGAAAAGCTGTGCAGAAATATCTTAGTTCTTCCGAAGCATCTTGTCTTCGCAAACTCCAACCATCAGAGCGCTGCTATGCAGGGGCAGCAAGCAGGGGGTTTCCGCCTCCCCCTCTGTCTCCTCAGCGCAGGGTCGTTGTAACAGGTATGCTTTGCAACCCATGATTGTGCTGAGATTGTGAAACAGGACCATTGACAAGGAATCAAAATTCTCTGTCTGGGACATCCGGGTGCAGCTTTGATGGAGTCGTTTGGGTGGCATTGGCAGAAAGCGAGTCAATGCATCCCAAATGCATCCAAAGTATCATGTGGAAGAAAATAATCTTTTGGCTGTTAGGTTGGGGCATCAATGTCCTAGAATCCAACGATCAGCCGCTTGCGCCCTGGCCAAGAAGCATTGCGGAACATCGAAAATTAAGCCCAGAGTATCTCCTGCACATTTTTGAGTTTCACAGAATGTGCTGCCATTCATTAAAGATCCTCTTTTATGCATCAAATGACCAATTTGAGTGGGAATTGACGATGAAACAAGACTATTGGGCTTGACAATCAACCTTTGACCATCTCACTTGTCTCCCCAAACCCCAGGTCTAGGGCTAGTGACTCCCTTAGCCCGCGGTGTTATTGCCACCTGGCAGCGCCTTGTTGATGGAGAATGCGGCGTCAGGAAAGTGACGGCCCATGACATCGCGCTGAGCTGGCAGTCCCCTGAGGAAGCACAGGAGCTCTGGCGCCAGCTGCCGTCCAAAGTGGCGGCGTTCGTGCCCCGGGGAACAGGGCCAACAGAGTTTGACGAGGATAAGATCCTGGGGCGAAAAGTGAGATTGCCTTTTGTTTGGGACTTTCCTTATATATCTGTCATGTTATTTTGTGCTTTTGTAAGTCAAGGAAGAGGCACACTCGGCAGAAGGCCTGTACATACGCTCCAATTTATCAGGGGTGGCAGTGGTCACATCTCAACGTCTGCAGTAGGATGTCCAGAATGAGGAAGGACTACCGTAGAGTTTCACCCCCCGCTCCTCTCTTTGTGAGTGACTGGTTCTGGATCCAGTAAGGCCAAGGTTGTTCTGCAGGAGCAGCGCCGCATCGCCCTCTTCATCGCCTTTGCCCAGCTGGCCGCCAAGGAGGCCCTCGAGGATGCCAAGTGGACGGCGGATACGCATCAGAGAGCTGAACGAACGGTGAGGCTCCCGCGCGTTGAAACATGCGAGAGCAGTAGCTTACAAATCCCAGGGCAGGGACCGCATTGATCAGATTACTCTTGGTAGGTGAGTTTCGAGTATCCTCACAACCCAGTTATTTCACCATCTTCAGGAAAGTGTTCGATGTGCCAACGCGACTTGATCAGAATCAAGGAAGTCCTTCTCCTTTCTGTCTGTCAGAATCTTTCAAGTCGTCTCTGATCCACCTCAATCTGTACTACCCCTCCACCAAATAGCTCTGCGCATCTCGAGGCAGAAGCAGTTCTTAGCAGATGCACCCGCGTTGGCCCCTTTCATCCATGCAATCTTCTGCCAAGCGCCTGTGTTCAATAGGTGTTGATTCAAAGAACTGAGCTGACTAGCCCACTGAATGGCGCCGATGGGGTTGTCAAGATCGCACCCCCGGTGCACAACTCCAAGACAAGCTTCCATCAGCACGGGCGGCAGCTTCACATGTCTCGTGTGAGTGCAGGGTGTGGCGATCGGGGGCGGCATTGGCTGCATCGGCGAGATCGTGGACGCAGCCAAGCTTGTTATAGACCAAGTGAGCGGCCCAAACCGCTCAGGCCCGCTCCTTAAAAGGGACTGCTCTTCATTTAATCCCGACCACGAGCTTAGTACACGTCACTCTTCTGATATGGCATCCCTCCTCGACTCACAGCGCGCTCTCACTGAGGGATGCCAAACCTTGTCCTTCTTCTGTGATTTGAGAGCCACCATTTTCTGGATCTTTAGGCCACGTCATCAAGAACAGTCCGTGTAAACTTCCATTCTCTTCACAAACTATTGTTACCAGCGCTCTGTGCAAATAGGCATTCAAGCCCGTCTGTGGACCCCGACCCTTGCGTTTAGTAAGTGGCCCTCATTGCATGTCAAATGAAAGTCAGACCCCGTTCTAGAAAGACTTTCTTCCAAAAGAGCGGAGATGTTGTATAAGTGCAGGCTTCCCTGACAAAAGTAGAGCTTCGATTGAAACAGCAGCCTTTTGTTTACCTAGAACTCAAGTACTTAGAATCTTCCTATTTCGATAACGATCTTAGAAGTGTCTGCGGTCCTTTTCATTGCAGAAGATCCGGCGGTTGAGCCCCTTCTTCGTGCCCAAGATCCTAATCAACATGGCGTCAGGATACGTCAGCATTGACAACAATTGCCAGGTAAGAGACAGAAAAGGCTGATCGCACGCTGCCACGGCCTTGAGACGTAAGTAACCTGTAGAGAAGTGTTGCCTGGTTGCCAGAAGGATCAATCATTTTGTTCCTCGTTCAGGTCATGCCAACCTCACAGCCCTGCTGTGTTGTTCCCAGATCTCTGAGCACTTCAGGAAAAGGGAGAGCGGAAACACAGGTGCTTATACGCACCCAAAAAGCGTGGATCCGGGACGCGAGGGTGCAGTGTTGCAAAACTGGGACCGTGACCTTTAGTCCGGTCTTACTTCCTCCACTCTTGTCTACTGTCTAACAGCAAATTACCTATATGAACGAACCTTATATCCACGTGTCCTCCGTATAGCATACGTGCTTATCATCCACTGCCGCAGGGCCCGAACCACGCGGCGGTCACAGCGTGCGCGAGCGGCGCGCACTCGGTGGGCGACGCGGCGCGTATGATCAAGTACGGCGATGCTGACGTCATGCTGGCGGGGGGCAGCGAGTCGTGCATCGATGCGCTGTCTATTGCGGGGTTCTGCAGGTAGCAAGCCCTTTACTTGTCCCCAACTTTCTTCGAGTCCCATTCGAGCATTGCGGGGTTTCGCAGCTTGTATTTGGGTTTGCTTGACGTAGGCAGCACCGAGACAGTCTGTACCATCCAATCAGCAGGGACTCTGTTTTCTGGGTGCTGCATCTTAAACCGATGAAGTACTGGGTGAAGCGACCATCGCGGTCGAAAGCTTAGAGTGCTTCTTGTTACTGGGTTGTCGACACCGATAAGGTTTCCAGTCTAGCCAAATCATGCAGGTTGGTGGACGACAGGCTTTGATGATAGAGGTTCAGGCACACCTCGCCGAAAGCCATGCAGCAAGGTGCCCGTTGTGAAATAAATGTAGCTTGGAGCATCCCAAGTCGTTGCAGACGTATAAAGTGTCATCACGATTGCCAGCTTGAAACGGGCGTCAAGCGATTGTCTGGACCGTTGATTCGGATCCCTTCTACCTCGTGGCAGGTTGAGGGCCCTCTCCACGAGCTTCAACGACAGCCCTTGCGCGGCGTCGAGGCCGTTCGATCATGACCGTGACGGCTTCGTGTAAGTGCCCCAGGCCTGTCCTATAGAAGCAGCGAACTTGCAAGGGGCCTTTTGTTTTAGGTTTGATCATAAGAGTGCCCGACTGATTGCGGAACGGAGAATTGGATAAACGACTAATGACCCCTTTCCCGTTAGCGTCAATTCACAGCCTCTTCCATGATCAGGGGGCAGTGCTTCCGCTCGTTGATAGTTTTAGAAGATAACAACAATCGGGCCACAGTTCGAGAATTTCAATTGGCTTTGGTGGTGCCCGGGTATCAGCGCTCTTGTGCCGGACCTTTGTGAAAAGCAAAGCACAGGTTTTGAACCTGGTTCTTGAGCTTCTTGTCTGTCACGTCTCAGCCCCAGCTCGTGTGTCGCTCGTCCTGTCAATCGATGTGCACCAGTCTGGAAGCGCTACAGGACTTTGGGATTCGTCGCATGCGCCTTTCTTCTCCCCAGCAATCCCCCTGAAATGTCTGCTCATCAAGTGATTGTCTATTTAACAGGATTGGCGAGGGAGCGGGCGTTCTGGTCCTTGAGGTAAGAGTACTTTGCCAAACTTTGATTTGCGAAGCACAATGGGCCCAGATTTCGCCAGAAGCCTTCTCCAAAGTTGACTGAGAGGACTCACTGAAGCTCTACTTTGATACGTATCACATGCTGGTGCTTTTTAAGACTAGGTCGAAGAAACATTTTTTTTTAAGGGACCTTTGCTTACTTTCCGAGTTATTTGAGGCACATCACAGTGCAAGCTACCGCCTGACTTAGTTTGAGATTTCGCTGAATGCTTCGCCGATTGACTCGAAAAGAAACGTACTACAAGCATCTTGCCAACGACGGCCAGAACTTTCCTCGACGTGACAGGAGCTGGAGCACGCGCGGGCACGGGGCGCGAAGATGTACGCCGAGGTGCGCGGTTACGGCATGTCGGGTGAGCGCGGAGAACAAAGGACCTCTAGAAATGCTGGACAGCTCCAAGAGATTTTATATCGGGATCTCTTTCCCGACGCCCAGTTGCAAGCACGTCCTTTTATCAGTGTTCTCTCCTTACTCTCCTTTCTGCCCGAGACTCCTATCACAAGATGTTCCTGCTCGGGCGATGATATATGTGGTCCTGGTCAGCTGAGTGCCTGATCCGTGCAGGCGACGCGTACCACATAACGCAGCCGTCTGCGGAGGGGCGGGGGGCGTATTTGGCAATGGAGAGCGCCCTTCGGAATGTGAGCTGCCCTTCTCTCTGGCCCCCTCCTTTGCAGCATCTGCTCAGAAGCTCATTGGTTCACAAGCCTTCCGCTGCTTGAGACTTGTGCACTCTGCGCATAAACCCGGTTTAAGCCCTCGATTCGATCGCGGTGTTGGCAGGCGTGACTTTTTGCCGAGGACAGCACGCGCGGCTGTCGCTCGCAAGCTTTCTGTCTCGCGAACTTTAAGAAGGCCTTGAAAGGGTCCGTACGGGTTTCACCTATCCGACCCACTCTCTGGATGTGCGCTCGACAAGAAACCACGCCGTCTTAGCTGGTTTGATGGATTCTTGCTGGTGGGCACTGGATTCGACTGATCTGATTGCCTCCGTCTGGCAGAGCGGCCTGACTCCGGAAGACATCGACTACGTGAATGCGCACGCCACGTCGACCCCCTTAGGTGAGCGCGCGCGCAGGTCTTGATATCTCCGGTCTTCCACACCGGAGATATCAAAAAGAGTAGGCGTCAAAGAAGCAGCTCGAAGCGTCTCAACATTTCCTATCACAGAACCTTGAGCGTACTTGAGAAGGTCTTCCGCAGTCCGTTGGAACCACAGTAAATGACCTCCAATTTGGTACGTGGAAACAGAAGCTTGTTTAGAGTGGTGCAGAAGAATGTCCAAAAGGGGCCATGAGAGATGAGAATAGCAATTTTATGTCGACAAGATCTCAATCTCATTTACCGCATGCGCTTGCGCGCCCCCCAGTCGCTGCTGCGCTGCGGCTCCGCATCTCACAGCCAGTCCCTCGCTGCCTTCAGGTGACGACATCGAGGCTCGTGCCATCCTGCGGCTCTTCGGCGCCCATGCGGAGTCGGGCAACATGGCGCTCTCCTCGACCAAGGTACGGACAGAAGACCGCACTCTGCCGCACGGCTGCCGTCTCTTCTGTTCACAGTAGATTCAGTTTGCACTCTACGAAGTAGTTAAAAAGAGATCCAGATTCGGTTGGGGTGGAAAGTGGCTCTTCAAAGTGGCTCTTCGCTCCCCTACGAGAAGAGCGCCTCTTGTTGTGAGATTTTCAGCCGACCGCCGCGTCTCCTTCCTGCGACGTCGTACCCCGCCTATTGCTTGGCCAGAAAGGGGGGGAATTAAGCCTGGGGATGTGCATTTATCGAGGATCCGTGAGACGTACTGAGACCGAAGGTGGTGCTTGCGCAGGGCGCAACGGGCCATCTTCTCGGGGCGGCGGGGGCTGTGGAAGCGGTGTTCACGGTCCTGGCCGTGGCCCACGTAAGTTCCGGTGTATTCGCTCAGATACAGAATGAGCACTTTAAGCTTGTTTGATGCTGGGATTGCTTTCTGCGCCTCGTGTAAGAGGTGTGACTAACCAGGCGTCATGTTGGCTGCTGTGGAAAAGGCATGTTCAAGGAGCTGCAGTGCCAGATAATATTGGGAGTGCGCAGACTTTTTTCAGCGTTTTCCCGCCTGATCGGAGTACGTCAGCTTCTTCGCGAAGAGTGGGGCCCGCAGCTCTTCTCAACTATCTCAAAACCTCATCTGACAACCCAAGCGCTCCTCTTTCTTATCAACTTGTTTGAAACGTCCGGATTCGCTTGGAAGGCAACTTTGTTGTGACTGCGAAGCTTACTACCGATCACTCCATACGTCCTTTGCAAAGCTCAATGCTTCAACTCTTGTCGTTCATTTCCTTGTGCAGGCAAAAGTGCCACCAACGATAAACCTGGAACGGCCGGACTTGATATTCACGGATGCCTTCAGACCAACGGCATCCACGCTAGACAAACCCATAAGAGCTGCGCTGACAAACTCATTTGGTTTCGGAGGAACAAACGCTTCTCTAATCTTTACCCAGCCGCCGGACTAAAGTGACGAACAAGATTAGTCAGGCGTTTCCGACGTCCTTTTTAGACTTTCTTACATAAGAAGGTGTTCACGAGCGTCACTTTCTCAGGCACGCGCTAGATGCAAGTCGACTGTTCACCTCTTTACTGTATAGGAGATTGACCTGCTTCTCCAAACGACAAAGTTGGAAGAGCCGGTGATGCGCAGGGATGAAGCCGCTTTGCTCGCAACTTTTATCGGGTCAAAGAAGTGCATGGATCAAGGGAGTTTGGACGATAAACGCGATCGTGTGGGCCCGTCGAGAACCGCACATGAATTGGAACAACATGGGGGCGCCAGCCTGGCGCTGTCAGGAGCTGTACTTTGCGCCATACCTGGGTGTACGTTTGCACTTAACCCTATTCGACGTTTACAATCAGAGTGCTCTCAAACGCGCTATTTGCCGCCGACAAGTACAATCAGTGGCCAAGCCAGCTCAAAATTGCATGCCCGTGAGTTTGGCTGAGGGCCACGGTCCCCAAATCTTACTCTTGGCCATCCCTCTGATTCTGGGGGCGTTCGTCGACGTAGATCCCTCGTAGATCCGAAGAGCTGGCGCGGCTCAGAACAGGGATCGGCTCAGTCCGGCGCGGAAATGCTTCTAGCGGAAGCGCGGAACTGCCACTGCCGCAACTGGCGTCAGCTTGAACTCGGGCTAATTTTCTGAATTGATAATTAGCTTGTTGAAAGGCTCTGGTGGTGTTGTTTGGGCGCCAATTGCATCCTAGCTTTGAAATGGCGCAGAGAACAGGAGCCAGCTTTGATTCGCTTGGTGCGGAGCTGATTGAATGCATTCTAGAAAAGGTTGTGACTGACAGTTGTGGGACACCCCGTTTGACGCAGCTTGCAATGCTAAGCAGAGCCTTGCAGGAGGCCGTGCGGCGGTGTACTCGGACCCTGGTTCTGCAGAGCCACAGAAAAAGCAGGAAGAATGCGCTTCCTGGGGATGCGCGTGATCCCCTTTCTATTCTTTCTGAGGAGCTGATGCTGCGTCCAAGGACTGCAAAGCTGGTCGTGACATCCCGTGCACCGATGGCTCTTGTGGAGACTGCGGCGAATATGAAGTGGGAAAGTGCATCAGTGGCATGTAGGGCTCAGCTGAGGGCTCTGAGGTGGGGACAGCTTCTTTCCAGATCACGCCTCTCCTTGAAGAGCTTGGATCTAGAAAGTGGTGGTCAACTTGTGCTAGGAAGGGACCTCCCTCACATTGTCTCTTCCTTTGAGAACCTCAAGGAGCTGGCGCTGCATGGGGAGTTCCATGATAAGCACGATCCCAGCCCGCAGGCCCTTGAGGTACTTCAAGGCTGTGGTTTGACCAAACTAGATCTTTTGGGCTTAGAGCGCTCAGTAATTGGCGCATGGTGTGTCATCCCCGAAGTGCTTGGGCACCTTACAGCCCTCCGCAGCATGAGGTTGCAAGTGCCAGTGAGTAACTGGTCTGGCCGCTGGACGGCTGCCCTGGCTCATGGCTTGGAAACGCTGAACTTAGAGCTTCTCAGAGGTGCGGTCTTTGTTGGGTTTGTTGACCGTATTGTGCACACAATCACGAAGCAGTGCCCCTCCCTGCGACGTCTCATTTTCTACAGCCACCCGGCCGACATAAACTTGGGAGCCTTCCCTAACATCAATCAACCAGCCTGGGATATCCAAAGCTTCCTCGAGAGGTGCCCAGGGTTAGAAACACTCATGATCAGCTACAGCATCGTACAATTGGTAGAAGTCTTCGCGAAAACTGTACAGAAAAGCGGCATGGTTGAAGGAATGAGCAGTCATTGGCGGAAGCGATTGAGCAACGAGAGTTTTGTATGTGACAAGCTTCTGGTTTCACAAGTCAGAACACTAGAAGATCTTGTCAAATCTGACGATCTTGGCACTTCTCTAAAAGAGTTTGGACTTTTCCAAGTCATAGTTCCAATCAGTAGAAGAACCAGCTATAATCATCCGAACGAATCTAACATAAGAAGCCGGATCATAGGAGAAGTCGGAGCCGTTCAAATTTGGTTTGATGCTTTTCGTAACGCACAGGTGTAAAGTGGTGTAGAACAACAAGAATCGATTGTTATGGTCAGAATGGCCCGGGGTATGTAACCTTCAGTTGCATTGCTCGTCCCCTGGTTATCCTTATGAACGGGTCAGACATGAGCCTAATTCCCTTGCCCAAGGGATCCGTGCATATTACTTTTCCACGCATACAACCGTATACAAAGATTGACAATGGATGATGATGCGTATTCTTCTCCAAGCTGCAACACACATGCAGCAGGCTTGTGTTTTATTTACTAAGCTCTATACGATCGCGATCTGCAACTAAATGATCGATGCCACATATGTTAGATGACCAAATGCATGGGATCATGATATAAGCATGGTTGACTGGCACGCATATGAAATCCTAATTGTCCAGTGACGGTCATGTGTCAGGAGCCACGCGCTTGTGCCATGTATGCCAAACAATTTTGATTTGAACTTCAATCCGACAACATTACATATAAGTTCAGCTGTAACTTAATGCGGTGTACATGAGCTGCATAGCTTGGCATGTGAGGAAACATGATTCCATTGATCATGTGTGGATCGCCACCGTCATGTGGCAATGCCAGGTTTGGTCCGTCAACACGCATCGATCTAATATAATCTAATCATCTGCAGCTTCGTACGTGTCACTGTTTGAGTCGAGGCAATGCGCGTGCCATTGAATGATGGAACTTTCGGGATTATGCAATGGCCGCACAGAATGATGCGTCGATTAACGAGACTGGCATTGATGCACATCATATATATGGTATAGACTCTCGCCAATAAGAGAATAAGCGATCTTTCAACTTACATTAGCTTGACCCCTTCATTGTTAACATGGCACCGGCAAAACGAAACATGGTTAAGGCCAGGAAACGGACTGCAGTTTGCAGTCCCGAACCCCCACACCGCTTAGTATTATATGCGCGAGCACGCTGTCTTATAATGCCACCACCGGCGAGGTTTGACATGTGCCAACTTGATAGCAACCTATAGCACAGCGGCTTTCAGCTGAGATTGGCCGTGCAAGTCGCAATGGTGGGTCAGACCGCCGTTGAGTCATTGATGCGTCCTTGACAAGATATGTACCGTTCGCGCGTGTATTAAGTACCAGGGCAGCAGGGTGGGGGTCTGGACTTGCTGCAGGTGGCAGTCCACAGTCTCCTTCCACGGGTCGATCTGTCAATATAGCGCTTCTGAACGAATAACAGCCCCTTAAATCTCCTCGCATGACCACTTGAATCAGAGTTGAAAGAGCTGCTGCTACAGAAAGCCCAGCATGTCTGAGCTGATGAAAGGATTAAGAGCATTAGTCAAGTAGCATGATGGCCTCATCCTGTCCTCAGTGTCGTTGACTTCTGCCTATCTTCAGACAGTAACATGTGAAGCAATCGAAGCAATTTTCCACGTAGCTATCAACCCCTCTCGTTCAGAACCTGCACAACATAGTAATCGAGATCTACATGGCGTTTCTCGGTGAGAACATCTGGACTCGCGATTGCTGTGTTCGATAGGCCCGTGCCTCTGCAGCTTTTGAGGAGATTCTCCGCTAGATACATTGTTATCAATGCTACCATGACGACGATCCTATGAATCATACAACATGGACATCAACAGGGTTGCCACCAGGATTTTGTAAACCTATTCTCTTCAATCCGTACTTTCACTACTTATACGCGTTCAGCCGTCGCTCTTTCGTGAACGAGGTAGCTTTGATACTCGTCCAAGGTTACCACCATGTATTTTCTCATTGAAGTTTGCGCCAACGAAGAGCTCAAACCCGGGTGTAGATATCATTTGGCAAGCGCTGATTGGAACACTTTGCTTTCAGCGCCTCAACACACTCAAACATATTCACACTTTCAAGCGAGCCTTATCGAGACCCAAAATGACTCGGTACGAACCTTCATGGTGAGCAGCACGAGCTGAGTGACGGGGATCCACTGCGGAGCGACCACCCTCCGCTCAGAGGTCGCGCCACCGGAAGCTCCTGCTGTGCTGAGCGCCCGGTCGAATTTTACGAGGCTCTGCAGAAGGACGGAACGAAGGTCTGAACAGTGTCCTCGAGACTGGAGTTTTGATTTTCCAAATCGTTCCGTTGACAATTGACCGCCGCAAAAGTTCTCACCGACTCTTAGAGGTGCAATTCCGACTCACATTCTTCAGGAGGCGTTATTCAATGGATCCTCGCCCTTGACTACATTTCTGGATAATCGGCTCGTGTGGGCTTACCTGCTCTTCTCCCGTCCGTTGCCCTTCCAGAACTCTCTGCAAAGCGCACGTGCGGTTGTGAGGCCACTATTTCACCCCGTCCTAGCTTAAAGATCGTTTTCGGTGAATCTGTAATGAGGCGAACAAACTCAACTGGATCCAAGCGTGAAAGCAAGAAGCAACAAGTGGAAGACACGAAAAGGAAGGGGTGCGAGCACCAGGTAAGGGGGCCCTTGGTGTTCTGTGACGTGAATGAAAAGCACCGGCGCCTGTCTCGTGCATCGCGAATCCAAGCCAGTCGCTTGCGCATTCAATTGCACAACCCCTGCTACAACAGCCTGAGTTTTGGATCACCTTCGCTGAATGAGATAGGTGCACTCACATGAATGATAGCAATGAGGCTCTCGTCCTGAGTGGCTGGCTGCTGCCGCCACTCCTCCGACCCTTGTTTCAAGAGCTGGAGCGTCGTGTATATCTGCACAGAAGGAGCCTGGCTTCAGCTAAACTTTGACGAAGCACGTATAGAGGCAGAGCAGCTAAAGACCGGATCTCAAGTTTGAGCTCGGAGAGCTTCGGCATCCTGTCTGCTCTGAATTCCTGAAAGACTGTCTTTATGTCACCATCGAAACTCGCCAGTTTGGTCCTCTTACAAACGAATGGCTGCTTTCAACCGTCACATCTCAAGCTCAATTCCAAGGCTCAACATACACAGTTTGGCAGCCCTCGAAAAGCCTGGTTCCGAAAGGCACAAACGACAGTCGTATAAGCTGCTCTTTCTCATGAACAATCCCGTGAAAACACTCAACTTAAGAGCCTTTCCGTTAGCAGACCCTCTCAACTCACCACGTCAAGCCATTGCGACCTGTACCTTTCTTCACTCCCCGTCAGTCGGTACCCTGCAACGTCCCTCTCTATCCTGTATGCTTCTTTGGAACCATACTGCAAGTAAGGTGACGCGTGTTCTCAAGTAGGTCTATCCTTGCTATTTGTTGATAGTGAAGATGGTGATTCCAGGATGTGCTTTGCCTGATCAAGGATATGAGTGGACCTCAGCGTCATAGTGCAAGCCTTTGCTGTTCATTCATTTTTAAAACTATGAAGCAATGTGTACGCTTTCTTACCTGAAGCTGTATCGTCACCTTGTCCCTGGATGCTCCTAGCATGTACGCCTCAACCGTTGCTGCGACGAAGTCAAATCTGTGTGTCGCTGGTGTTAGCAACATATACCAAACAGAGATTGTCTGGTCACCCAAATTGTCTCCATCAATACAACCGTCAAGAAGCAGGTAGATCCCAGCCCTTAAGACAAGAACAGGAACGGGGCTTACAAAGCAGCAGCAGCTGGGCGCCCAAGGTTCTCCACACAAACCTGACATGAGGAGGCAGAGACTGCGTTCAATTCAGCAGAGAGCAGCTCAAACGTCAGCGTGAAGAGAGTGCAGACAGGCCAGAGACTGGAATTGTCTACAAGGCATCTCAGTACTGACATTCAATGCCAGCGAAGACCTGTGAACACTCTTTTGGTGAGATTGATGCAACTGCGCTTCTACTGCGCCACAGCTCAAGATTTCAACTGGTGCCGCTCCTGTGGGGGGCAAATAAGGGTCATCAAGAAACCACTTCCCCCAAGCCCATTCTGCAAACTTGCCAAGCAGCAGACAGTTGACTGGCCTACCTCAGAGAATGCCTTTTCAATGTCTTGGCAAACATCGTCTAAGGATCTGCATCCTTGTGGCTGTGAGTTGGTACCATCACTGGCTGCTCTGCAGCAAACGCTGTGCCGCCTGAGCTTCCTCAACCAACACAAAGCCCCCTGTCTTTCTTGCAATTGGCATGGATTGGAACCAGCTTCTTGCCAGCTGCACCTGATGGACCTTCGACATCGTAAACCCTTGCACGAAGAATGGTCTGCAGCGGCGCAGGCATGCCCCATACTTAGTGCTTGCAATTTTTTGGAACCGATTGTACCACTTTCTGAACAGAGTAGTGGTGCATTGAGCTGGCAGTTATTCAATTGGAAGACGTTTTGACTTAGACGCATCCACTTGCGATAGCCTATTGGCTGGTTGCTGCGGACAAGATGCACAGCTGTGCCACAACAAGCCATGATTCTGCTCAAATCAGGCCCATCCTATTTTGCCACGTTCGGCTGCCTCAGGAGATATGCCTGGCGCCAGCACCAAAAGCAACCTTGCTGCTTGGACCTTGTGCAGGCCCTTCAGGCAGCATTAAGAAGAAGCTGGCAAGCAATGCGGTCCTCCTACACTGGCTGCCGCTACAGCCTTAGGCCAAAATAGGGCGGCTACAGCTGGCTACAGCTCCCAATTTCAATCTTGTACGAGACCCTAGCTGCGCAAATCGCCATCACTGCGGGCGCACATTTTGATCATACACATGCATGATGCGCACTGGGCGCGGCGCCGGTGGGCGCCGGGGCGCGGCCGCAAATCGCAACCGGCCGTGCTCTCCGATGGTTCCGCATATGGCTAGTATGGTGCATGCAAGTCTAGTTTCTCAGTGAAGGAAGGACCGTCACAAAACATGCATGAGCATCACCTTTGCCAGGCTTTGGCATGATTCCATGATGTGGTTCGAACTTCGTACAGAGTCCAAGGACGGTGTCAACAGTACTGCAGAGGTGTGTTATAAGATACAGGTAACTCAAGAGTGACTTAGGTATAACATGTGCATGAGTGACTTAAGATTCACGAACCCCGACCAAACAAACTAAAAGCCCTAACCCAAAAAATCATCCGCTCCGCATGGCCGAACCCACCCTAACTACCATGCCAACGGGCCCCACCCGTCCCCCGGACGCCTATCTTGACTCACTTGCCGGTTAAGTCACTCTATAGTTACCAGAGTTGTTATATGGATGTATGCAAATCCCCGAAAGAATTATAATGTCATAGATTATAACCCATTGACCATGTCTTTTTGCGGGGCAGGCCCCTTGAACACAGACCGCGATAGAGACGGCCCATCGCTTAATCCCAGGAGTTTCAATGCATGTATCGATCCAACAACATGAGATCTCTGATCATCTTATGCAGTACAAGCTTGCGGGGCGTCACGTTTGCCTGCGCAACATGTCCCACCATACGTCCTCCCTTACCCGCCTGCGGTACGTGCATCAGATCCGCGTTCAGATCTTGAGCAGGCGCGCCTGGATCACTACGTCAGCGTGGACAATATTACAACATGCATCTCAAATGCATGTGCGAGTCCATCAGTGCGGGTACACTGTCCAAAGTGTATTCGTTTACAAGCGACGCGATCAGACAACTAAGCATGCGCTGCTTGCCTGCTTGCGGCGACTTGCATCAATCATGCCAGATATCAATCGATTTTTCGTGAAATCAACGTGACAGACATGTAAGAGTCCACTGAGAACGTTCATGACGTGGGTTTTTGAACTCAGCTGTTGCGGATCCAAAAGAAGTGCAGACGTTGTCGAGTCGCGATGATGACACAATCCAAAACAGGGTGACAGAAAGTGGATTGAGAAATGCGCCTTGTCCAACTCGACAGCATTTGGAAGAAGAAAGAATCTACAATAAGCGAAGTCAGGTCCGGGTTCGTTGCAACCTTCTCTTTCTGTGAAACAAGACAAAATCGTCATCTGAGGAGGGTTCCCCTTGCGCGGCCTGGTTAGCACGATTGCCCTCCCCACTGGCCGCTTCACCAGACGAGTCGTCCAGGTCAATTACAGCGCTTGGATCCGCCAGTTTTCGCTTCCCGTGCGGCGGGCCCACCTTGCTTGGTCTAGTCACCTTCTCTTTCCCCTTTTTGCTTGCTATTTTCGACGTTGAAGGTTCGCTTGCAAAATCTGCACCACACAAGATTGAAAGCCGGTTGGTATGCCTCAGCCTAGAATATTTCGTCAGAGGTAACCAGCATCGCATTCCCTATGTCCTCAAAGACTGGTCACCAGTCTTTATCGACAGTGTCGTTTCTCGTCTTCGCAGAGCTGCACGGCTTTCAACTGAGTTCCTCCGCACGAGCAGCTCAGGCTCACTTTCGTCTTCTCTCCTCTGCCGAGACGCCTCCACTCGGCCTGATTGGGGCGCTGCCGAGGGGCCCGCTCCACTTTCCGGCGCAACCTTTGCTGGTCCCGAGCGATTTGACGGTGGCAGCGCGTCTGGTTGCTGGTTCGGATTGCGCAAGACCGCCAGGATCTGGTCCCCGTAGGCGCCCGCAATACGCGCACCGACGAGCTGGCGAAGCTGCAGAAAGAAGGTCGGGTGTCGGACCTCAGTCACGATTATCCTGAGAGTGCAAGCTTGCAAGATTCAGCAGAGGTGCCAGCAAGTGAGTCGCGGGGGTCTCATTTTTAAAAGAACGATAAAAAGGCAGGATGGCAGCTACCTCAAGGATGTGCAAACGGACTCCGGTCACGAGTCACGGCCGTGGGGAAGCGCTTTGAGAGGGTCAATCTACTCATTCTTGCACTTCGCAGAGATATAAACATAAACCTCTGCTTTTTGAAATAACATCTGGATTCCGTCCTGCTCAAGGAAGCGCGGTCTTAGCGGCAACTAAAAGCGGCTGTGCACGACGTGCCAGAAAGGCTCCTGATATATTAAGAATAAGGCCTGCGCACCTCTGCCAGGTGAGCCGGCCGCTCCTTGCAGATAAGCGCGATCTGCGCCGTCGAGAGGACGGAGTGCGGGAAGATTCCGCCGTGCTGCCGGGCAACGTTCCGCCGGAGACCGTCCAGAGCGGACTCCAGGACGGAGTCGCCACCTGCCGCTGCGGAGGTCGAAGTGTCAGGGCCGCGCCCGGCGCACGTCTTCTCGGAAGAGTCGGACACTTCCAGAAACACCTTGAGGTGGCCTGCATGAGAAATTGATGCGGGTGAGGTCAGGGGCAGAAACTCCGGGTTGTCCTTTCCGGCGTGCCGCAGTGCAACAATGCTCCTCACTTACCTTCAAGATGAAGTAATTACTTCCGTAAGAGGTCTCAAGAACGGACTCGCTCGCGTTAATCCACTTCTGTCAAGAGTGCACCCCTCAAGGACCGCCCCCGCCCCCTCAGAACTCTTGAACCGCAGGGACCACAGTGGCCCATAAATGCTGGAAACACGAACCCCGAAAGCCGCACAAACCCCCGAATCAATAAACCCACCGTGCTCGAGGAGCGGCAGGCTGGGCCCCCGGGTGATGTAGGAGTTGGTGGCGAACGCGGTGTGGCCGAACTCCTCGGCGAGGACGCCGTCCAGCAGCAGCTGCACCACCGCGCGCTCCTTGTCCTCCTTGCCCACCGCCTTGTCCTTCCACTGCTCGCACAGCTGCAGCAGCGTCGCGCGCTTCTCCTTGCCGGCCAGCGCGCGCAGCAGGGCCACCAGCGCCTCTGCCTTGTCTGGAGGGGGGGAGCGGAATCCGATTAAACGGAACGGACCAGCGCAACGCTTCTTGTCTTTTTAGAAACTCGGTTGAGAGTCGTTGAAAGTAGTCGGAACGTGATTTGGACTTTCTTTGAAAACAGGCTCATAAGCTAGGCTATGAAGCCAGAGCCTTGGTAACGACATTGAGAAGCAGGCCCAAACTTAAGACTCTCTCTGATCATCCGGATCATCGGCATCCTGTGAGATTCCAACCCGAAAACAGCCGGTCCCTTCCGCCCACCCGTGATGTCGAGCTTGCGTACGGTCCCCGCATCCCCGCAGTTGTCGCACATGCCGTTGCACGGCTGCAGCGGCTCGCCGAAGTGGCGGAAGATGGCCTCCCGCCGGCACTTCTGGCGGCTCTGGCAGTAGGCCACCATAGCGTATAGGTTCTCCAGCCCGGACGCCTCCGCGAACACCATGCAGCTCTGGCGAGTCACGTCTGTCGGCCGGTAGTACAGCACGCACCGGGAGGGGAGGCCGTCGCGGCCCGCGCGACCGCTCTCCTGCAGGAGAAGTGACGTCAGCAGCAAGGGAAACGGGCTGGTCGCAAGTGACGTCGGTCCAAAGAGGCGCAGATGCTTGGGGCGATGTGCTGGATCTGTTTTCTGGAGTAAGGGGACTAGAGTTGCTAAGCTTCGATATGCAGGTCAAAACGAACTCCTGACAAGTTCGCACACGGAGTCTAGCAAGCGGAGCAGAGCCGTTAGAAGGGAGACACGACAGTATAGTATCATTGCACTTCGCGGAAGTGCGGACTGTAAAGGTAGTCCTCCTGACAAAATGCAATCAATCGAAGAGCGGGAGCGACCCAAACACTTGGTCGCCAGTTGAGGCGCGCTAACTTGGTAGTACGTCTCGACCGACTTGCTGAGCGAGTGGTGCAGGACAAAGCGGACGTCCGGCTTGTTGATGCCCATGCCGAAGGCGACTGTCGCTACCACCACCTGCAGCAATAAGTCGAGACGCGTGTGCATAGCATTTTGGAAACTTACAGTCGAAGTGTTACATAACACGATGTCTGCTGATCTTAGAATTGGTACCGTAACAGCAAGCAGTCACGAAACGGAAAATGTAAGGGTTTTGGAAATCGGCTTTCGAAGATCGTCTGATTTGGAGTTGTGAGCATCTTTTAGGTCGTGTCCCTTGCTTAAGTGACCAAGAACTTGCGAGCACCTTCTGAGTCGGAAACCATTTCATTTCTTATCACACCACAAGTCGCAGAAAGTCGAAGAAAGTCGAGGTCGTCCCGACCTCGCATCAGGACGTCGAAATGCTATATTGTCTACGACTATGCGAGAAATCAGTCGATAGATTGACAAGCACTCCCTTAACCCATGTCAGGCCCGCTACGCAAAGCTCGAGAAGGCCCGCCGAAGGCGCACCTGCAGGTAGTTGCAGCTCCAGTTCTGGTGCACTTCGTGCCGTTGGCGGGGGTTCATGTCGGCATGGTAGTAGCCCGCGGAGATGCCCCGCTGAGACAGCTCGCTCGCCACCTGAAATGGGTAACAGACCGTCGTGAGAAACGCAACGTTCTCGTTAACACCTGCACGCGCCTGTTCTCGAGGGCTGCTATCATTGTCCCTCGAAATTCAGTCTCACATTTCTGCTTGTTGTCCGGAGACTCGAAACGCGAGCAGGGATGATTCGAGCCGGTATCCACTCAGGGTGTCATGTTCCACCATTTGCACGAGGATAAACCCGAACCTCCGATCCACGAATCAGCAGCTCGCACTCGTTGCGAGCCAAGCGCTTCGTGAGTTATTCTGAGAGAGAGAAGCCATGTTCGATCCGACCCACCTGCTCGCACTCCTTCCTGGAGAAGCAGTAGACGATGCCCGAGTCCTGCTGGCTGGGGTAGTGCTCTTGGATGAACGCCACCATGTCGTCCACTACCGCCGTCGCGCCCGCCAGCTTCTCGCGGACCTCGTAGTACAGGTTGGGCCGGTTCACACTGCTCACCTGCGCGCGGGGCGAGAAAGAATGCTAAAAAACGAGAGGAGAGGAGCGGGAAGAGAGGTTGACGAATTTCAAACACCACAGGGCTCTTTGGAAGACTAAAAGGAACGGCAAAGGATGGTAAATACAGTAATGACGAAATTGTGTAATGATGTGGTGACGTGTTGGATCGACTATATCTGCCGAGTATGATGGACACGATCCTAAAGTGTTGCGTCACGTTCTTGACAAGGGTCGTTTCAAGCTGGCGGGGGGGGCTACCATCTGGCTGAAAGCACAGTACATTAGTCATTTCGAGAGAAGACGCTCACGAATTTAGGGCAGCCCTGGATTCCCAGCATCTCCTGAACGTCGTCCTGCACAGCGGATCACGGAGTAAGGAAACATTCGATGGCCCAAACGCTACAAAACAGAAGCCCCAGGTTCAGAGCAGCCACCCTACACCTACGACTCGATTCTTGTCACGTCTTTCGTACTTTCTTCAGGAGAAGTAGAAGACGACTTGGGTTGAGGCAAAAACTAACTTCTTTTGACCGAAGCGACGCGATACTTGCAAGCCTTGGTGCTCCTTACCTGCACTCGCTGGGTGGCCGTTGCTGTGAGGGCCATCATTGGGACCTTCGGAAATTGTTTCTTCAGGATGCCGAGGTGGTGGTAGTCGGGCCTGCAAGAAAGTAACTAACTTCTGAGCTGAATCTCGTGAACTGCCCTATCGATCCTCCGGATGTTGCGTTGATCAATATCGAAGCTTCGGCAGGAGATAAATGACCCTGTTCGCCCCATGTTCAGCAGCTGCACCGAATTGTTCGCGTGTGTTCGAACAATCTGGGCGCCTTGTACTCGTGCCAAGAGGGAGGACTTGCCTGAAGTCGTGACCCCACTGGCTGCAGCAGTGTGCTTCGTCGATTGCGATGAGGGCCAGGCGCCCCGCCTTGTCGCACTTCTCCAGCTTGGACATGAAGCGCTTGCTCTTGGCGACCTGGCGAAACGGCGCAAGTCGGGCGCCTGGTGAGATCATAGTCGTGTCCAAGCGTTACGGAAGCACGTCGTGCATGAAGGGATCCTTTGGCGACTTAGAACTAGATGAGGAAAACGAGCTTGCTCGAGAAGACGAGTGGGGTGCCATGGGCAGTCGCCTCGAGGGCAGGCCTTCATTATGCAGACAATGCCTCGGCGACTACATGGTCTTCCAAGGACACAGCAACTTTACTTGGCAGTTAATTCTGCAACTTCGCCTCCCGCTCACGGAAAGCTGAAAACGGGTGCCCAAGAAGCATTTCAAGAAGGTGTTCCATGCCTTTCGCCTCTTTTCATTGAACGAGCCACGATCACACAGTGAGACACGTGATATGGTCCATCCAGAAAAAATATCCGAAGGACAAGGTTTTAGCCAAGTTGACGTACTCACCTTTTCTGGGGTAACATAGACGAATCGCAGGTCTTGGCCGCCATGCTCCAAGGCCTTGTAAACCCTGGTCTCTTCTTCCTTGTCGATTTGGGACGTGAGCATGGCAGCTTCAATCCCCATGACTGACAACCCCATGACTTGATCCTGCAGTGTCGGGGCAAAAGCTTCTTGGGGTCACCATACAGTACTTGGTCCAGAAATCAGCAGTTTTGATTGCGCCTGCCTGCGAGGAACTTCAACATTCACGTCGCGGACTCACTTTTGAATGTGCTGCAGCTTTTAGCTTTGATAAAAAACGACCATCGGTCTCAGAACTGTCTTCATCCTGGTTGTTTGCTGAAGTAAATCGGAGGTCAGCTGGTTCTTTCAATCTGTAAGGGCCAGCCAGTCGTGACTTTGGTCTTAAGTGGATTCTAGTCTACAATTGCAAGCCGAAATAGAAGTCGGAGTAAGCATGCCGTACCTGAATCAGTGAGAGGAGAGGAGAGACGACCAGAGTAACACCCGCCTGCAACACCATTGTAGGCAATTGATAGCATAAGGACTTTCCTGCACCAGGGAGAATGCGCACTTGTAAGCAGAGTATAAGCAGCTGTCAGGAAAAAGGAACCATGGTGATTATAAGATCGAGGTTTTCCTCATCACATCATTATAGAAAAGACTGGTGACAATCAAGACGGCAACAAATTGGTCAGCATTTGAGAGGGGTGAAAAACACACCTCCCCCAGATGGCATGATCACGAAGCAGTCGCTGCCTGATAGGACGCAGTTGATTGTTTCCCTCTGCACACAAAAGGTTTGCTTTGAAGCGATAACACAAAACGTTAAAAGAAGTGAAGCAAAGCCTGCCTCGAATTGGACGATGAAGGATGCACGGCACTCAATAGTCTTTGCATCACACTACTTTTTCTATTCTAAGTTGCCCGAACATGCTTAGACCCCAGGTAGGGCCTATGCTAAGTGATCAGGGCCGCCCTAATAATTAGATGTAGGAGTGAGTGGGTGAAAGAAAGGACCAAGCCCCCTGCTCACCTGGTGTTTTCTGAATGCTGCGAGGCCAAATAGGTTCTTCCTTAGGTCCGCAATATCATCGTCCCAGCTGTACTTGCCAGCCCACCCTTGCACTGGATAACTCAACACCTTCTGTGCAGCCAGTACTTTGACCTCCAGCTTCTCCTTTTGTTTAGCCAGATGTGCTTGTCGCTCCAACATGCGCCCGACACTGTCTGAAACAGAGCGAGACGTATCAGCAACATACAGTTCTGGTGTCTAGGAGTCTCATCCCAGTCAAACTCTTTGTATGCGCTCAACCATGTTACTCTATTATAAGCTGAAGCTGCCCTGTCTTGATCAAGTCATCTTACAAGCGATAGAACAGCAGCTCAACATTCTGAAGGCTCACTCCTTATACCAAGCCCTTTTCAGATAAGGAGGTCGTTCTACAAAGATTGTCCAACCTTGAGCTAGACTTGAGCTGATCAGTTCTGATTGCTCACCTTCTATGGTCTTCAGTTCCCGGTTAATGCCAGCTATCTCTGCTTCTAACTTGCTAATGCCAGCTGCCACTGGTTCCTGATCTTGGTCCTCTTCTTCTTCAGAGTCCGGAACGTCCATGATTGAGGCCCCCGCAGAGAAGGCCTCTGTGGAATGTGTTGCAGTAACAGCACCTTACGATCAAGCGGTGGTGACAGTCGATCAACGCCCCACACATGCCATTTCACCAGCTGGTGTTGCTAGGCAATCTGCCACCAATCTGCCACCAGAGCATCAGAGTCCTTTCAGGTGTTTGCTGAACGCCATTGCATTGCCTCCGCTTTCAGTAAAGCTGCTCTCCACTCTTGACCAATTTTAGTGAGTTGGTTGACTGATCAACATCGTCTGAAAAGTCTGAACATCATCATAACAGTGATCGATTCATGCAGCGACTTGAAAGATGAGCGCACCACTCAATGTCATGTACGTCAATCTCACTTCCTCAGATCAGGTCAGACTTTGACAATACTTGTAGAGCAGACGCCATGGTGCCAAGCATTGCAAGCTTAGAGGGCGTGCAAGCTTTTTAAAGGCGTGCAAGTTCCATCAAGAAAGATTGCTGTCCCTGCTCGCACACCACCCTCCATGCTCCGGAGAGGTTGCTATCTTTATTGATCTTTGGTGCCAGAAATACCAATGCAGGCAGCTTGCTGCTCTGCCGGGACCATCGTGGCTCTAGCGCTGGAAGCACCGTTATGTGCCCAGAAGCAGAGCACTATGTGGAGGTAAGCAATCTTTCAATGGCGGAAGCCAATGCAAAAAAGGCGACTCAATCATGGGGCTTGAATTAAGCCCGTACTAGCCTGCATATAAACCGGGGCTTGAATTGACATCGAGCTCTTGAGACTTGATAGAAAGGTGGCGCTTCTCCAAAAATGAGACAAGTTGTTTGTTGCTTGTCTCCAGTGCCCCGTTCAAGATGCTTGGCAGCGGACGATTCCTCGTCGGTGACTTACAACTCCTGAAAGACCAGTACGCATCACTTGTGGTTTCCAGCAGGGCTTTGGTGTTAAGGCGTGTGCTGGCACCTTCTGGGCTGCACAATCCTCATTCCAGCCGGTTTACGCCCTCCCAGTTCCACATCAGCATTTCAAGACAGAAGTGCACGGCAGCAGTACAGACAGCGGAGATGGAACCGGGCCAGGAGAGAAGGTCAGTCTCTGTGTCAGAAGGGAGGTTCTTTCTAAACACACTACTTCCACTTTAGTGCGCATCTAAGGAAGTTGTTGAAGTGTTGGCAGCTGTTGTCCTTGTCAAACGGAATTGAGGAACTTAGTGGCGGTTTTGGCCCTTTTTATTGACCAAATCTGTGGGGAAACAAGTCTTGGTAAGTAAGATGATCGCCGCACCGTACCACCTTTTCTACACCACCCCTGTATCGAATGCGATTCTCCCTCAGCTAACACAATCCTCACTTGACTATGCGGAGTGTGTGCTCTGCAGGTATGCAATCATTGGAGCCGGGTTTGCCGGGGTCGCCGTCACCTGGCATCTACTGCAGGTAAGGGAACCTTGTGAGGGCTCTGTGGATCGCCAAAATCGTTCTTTAGTATTACAAAGTGGACGTTTGTCTGCGTGTGAAAAAAACAATTTCAAAAGTACTCAGGAAAGCTGCTGCAAAACTTGGCTGGTTCAAGGGGTTTTGGGAAGTTTCCGTCCAGAAAGTTGTTTCCGTCAGCAAACACACTATCGTAACCAGGCAGAGGCCGGACATAGCCTTTTCCCCCATCTCCTCACGGAGTAGGCACTTGGAAAGGATAATGTGATGACAATCAGAGTCAAAAGCATGACTGGTTAAAGTATTGTTTGCAGCATGCGACGAGCGCCTCGCCCATCTGCATTGACCTCTTTGATGAGGTGGGCATCGCAGGAGGGGCCTCGGGGGTGGCGGGGGGCCTGCTGCATGCGTTTTCCAACAAGGGTAAGGAGGGGGGAGGTGCTTGGTTCTGCCGCTCACTATTGTGACCATTCCAAAAGTCCTGCTTGAAGGGGCCATTGTCGATGTCCGGCACTGCTTTGAGTTAGCAAGCGTGAGAAGTGGAACGTATTTTAAGGGTTATTTGGAGTAGCAGTATGTGAAACAGGTGCGCCGTTGAAGTTTGCGCGAACGCCAAAATATGTCCGCAAGAAAAGGCGTGCAGTTGACGTACATCAATGGGGAAGCTCGTCTTGCTGAGAAGATTGATGCGGACACACATGAAGTCAGCGTGGAGGAAGGGGCTTTCAAACAGTGCCTGCGTCCTCTTTCCTGGTGCTGGCTGGGCCCCATCCTTTGATGAAAGTTGCTCGATCCTTCAAAAATACATTGGCAAACGCTCCTTTTGACTGGTCACGGATTCTCCATTGCAAAGCTCGAACGTCCGAATGACCGCTCGCTCATAGATCTTAGGCTTTGAGGGTTTTGATCTGGTGGATTCTCTTTGCAGGCACGAGCCTCTGGATGGGGCAAGAGGGCTATGCAGCCACCCTGCGGCTGTTGGAGGCAGCAGAGAGAGCGCAGGGGGAAGCGCCAACCGCCGAAGAGAGTTTGATTGCCAGGAGAAAGTGAGGGGAAGATGTCGGAGACTGCTTGTTACGGAGTGGACACGTTGTTATGGTGCTCTTGCTTGGGGCGTCTGCTTTGTATCTTCTCGTGCCAAGGCAAAAGCTTGCTCGTCGAACTCTCGAAGTGACTTGATCAGGCCGACTTGCAAAGTCGGTGATTGGTGCTCAGAGAGGAAAGGGAAATAGCAAGAAGAAGAACGAGCAAGCATGGAATATGGGCGATTTTCTGTGAGTGTCCTTTTCACCAAATTGGGATTCGCACCACTGACTCTGTGAGCGGTTGCGACTTTGCCCCTGAATAATCCCGTTTGCTCCTCGAATGATGCAGGGGGATCCTGCGCCCGGCAGTCGAGCAGCGGTTGGCAGACAACTACAAAAAGGTGGGGCTCGGAACTGGAATCCTCTTTCCTCCTGATCGTTGTTCTGGAGCCTGTTTACTGGTTTCGAGCCGTCCTTACGAGGTTTGTTTGTCCTTCGACTTATCATCCTTATGGGGCCGTTAGAAGCCAGAGAGTCTTTATTGTCTCGTTTTATCGGCTTGTTTCTTTATTTTTTACAGTTGAGCAACTATACCCGGGCCTTTGACTGGGGTTCGACCTCAGGTCTTCGTCCCAAATCGCAACCAATACACTTCCGTCCAAGAATGATACAAAAGCTGATGAGCTGACGCCCTCCTGTTCCTCTGTCTTTAGACCTCAAAGGACGACACAAGCTTCATGTAAAGCCGTCCTCAATACAAAGGCCCGTTCATGCGGTATCCTAGAGGTCGACTAGAAGGGGAAAGTTTGCTTGCGCAAGAACTTGCGAGAGGATTAGTCGCTTGCGCGCAATACCTTGCGGATTACAAGCAGGGCTAATGCTACCTCCAGGCTGGAGCGTATTTCTAGGACCTGACCGAAAGTGGGTGCCTCAAAAGGTTTCCGCTCAAGAAGAATCTCGTGCTCAGAAAAGCTTCGTTCCTCAGAGGCGCTTTTCTTGCAGCATGCAGAGAGCGCCCCGCCAATAGACGACTCGCACGTGGTGGGCGGTCGTGCCGCCATTGTTAACGGGGAAACCGCCCGGAAGCTTGTTCCGGGCTTGGCTGAGCCTGTTGGGGACACGGCGCTCTTCTTGCCCCGGGGCATCACTATCAACCCGACCAGGTATCTTGAGGTGAGGGGACCAAGCCGCTTCAACGATTCGCACGATTTTCAGCGTCCTACTTTGTGAAGCTAAACTGATGCCTCCGTTCGACGGATCCGTTGCAATCGCCCACTTTGCGATTTGGCGCTGATAGTGGGTATGACCCAAAGCCGCTCTTAGAGAAAGTCTTCCAAGGGACGAAGAAGCTTAAGTAAGGAGGTGAAGTAAAGCCATGACCGAGAGGGTTAACCAAGGTGCTTTGTCACCGGGACTCACAGCGTTCACTGGGACTACAAGAAACGTTTCGGCCAGAAAGAAGATACTTCCAGCACCCTCGGTCTCCCCATCCTTGGCCAGTAGGTCTCCGTCGTTTTCATCTTCCTTATTCCTTCCTTGTTCGTGCCCGGTTGTGATTCCCCGGTCTTCTTCTCACAGGGCCTTTGGCGTGCGTGCGAGCAGCAAGCAGGGGACCGGGGCCCCGGCCGGCCACGCGCGACCCTGCACAAACAAAAAGTGGACTCGCTGGCCGGTCTCAGCCAAGGTGAGCCGAAGTTTTCACCGCAGGGGGACCGATCTGTCCCTTCCCTGTTACGTCTTGACTTGTTCTGTCCCGCAGAATGGAAAGCTGACCTTGAATCACTCTGACTTGGCGACTCCTGCGTCTGAATTCTCTATCAAGGGCTGCATGACTATCGGGAGGGTTTCGAACTGAAACTGAAGTCCGTCCCTTACACCTGTCAACTCGGGTCTTCGTGCGTCTCACCCGTTCTTGAGGACTGTTTGGATTGCGCTGTTTTGCGTTCGCTGGAACCCCACTTCTGAGCACACTTCGCGTCTCAGAACCTGCCTTTAGGCCCTGATCCTTACTTCTTTTTCTACGTCAGCCGGCTACACTGCTGTCGTCATCTGCTCCGGCGCCGCTGCGGTGCGCTTCCCGGAGGTCGCCTGCGAGCTCCACCTCTCCATGTGCCGTGGGCGGGTGGTTGAGCTCCATCCGCCATGTGGCACCGCAAGCGACGCGCCACGTGTCGCTTTCCCGGCGTCCTCTCCCAGCCTGCTCGGGCCGGCGTGGATCTCCGCCCAAGGCACGGAGACGCTCCTCGTGGGGGCGACAAAGGACTGGGAAAATGGGGATCTTGAATCCGGTGTGTCCCCGCAAGAGGGGGAAAAAGTAGCTGAGGAGCTGTTAGCGAAAGCAGAGGTGATTTACCCCCCAGTCCGAGAGTGGCGGGTCGCGGCAGTCCGGTCGGGAGTCAGGGCGTGGGCGCGACGAACGTCCGACGGAACGGTGCCCATCGCCGGAAAAATACAGGGCAGGAGTTCGGAGGACGATCCGTCGGCCTCGATGGCTAAAGACGAGGATAATGGTGCTCCAGACCGCCTTGCTTCGGCGAATAGTGATGAGGGTTTTGCTCGCGACGTTTCTAATGGAAGGGGTGGTGGTGAAAGGGTCGACTCGGTAAATGAAGGCTCTGGTCGGGAGAGTTCCCCGGGGGCATGTGCGTTGTGGGTGGTGGGCGGGCTGGGGGCCCGGGGGCTGGTGTACCATGCGTGGCTGGCGGAGAAAGCTGCGCGGGCAGTAGTCCACGATGACGAGGCTCTGCTGCCGCCCGTTTTGAGACGGTGGCAAAAGGGTTTTGTGGATGCTGCAAAAGCAGAGCGCAAGCCAAGAGTTAGGATACGAAACAGGAACAAAGTTCGGGGAGGAGTTTGACGTTGTCATGCATGTCACGTATGTATGCTGGCTGTGGGAGATTAGGCTGGCCTGAGATGATCACACTCATGAGTTCAAGACGGCATCGATCTGTTATTGGTGTCAAACACTTTGACACTCCTTACATAGTCCACTATATACCCGTCTGCACCTGCACGACGGTGCATGTTAAATGTGCTCGATCAGGTCACTTTGCGCAAGCCACCATGCAGCGCAATGTGGACTCGAGCCACATCTGCAATTGCCAGCCTGGCATGCAATCATGGTTCTGCATTTGCGTAATCGAAGGTACATGTATTTTGAAGGAAGTGAACCGCAGATCGCCACGCCAGTGCATACATATGGATATGACAGTTGGAGATCGAAGCGGCCTTTGAACTTTGAATTGGCAATATTAACGTCCGTGAAGTACATTGTACATTTCGCAGCCGCTCAGTGCACGACGTCCAGAAATGCATGTGACAGCTACTTTAAATTTCGGCCCACCAGAAGTCAACAGCTGACAATTATGAAGTTCTGAATGAAGTGAGCCGTAAATATGAATCATGAAGATGCAGACACATGGCCGCAAAAGCTACAATCGAGAAGCGGCATGAGCATGTGCACAGAACGAGGCTGCAATGGTAATGTGAATTGAGCACAGCACAGTCCTTGTGACTTCCGTTTGAAAAAGTGCACATCAATACACAGCGTTTTGCACAGTCTTTCTTATCCACTCGACTACAACAATAACTTCTGCCACAGGGCCCAACGACCTGCACAGAGCGCCCTTCACCGCAGCCTAACTCTATGAGTAACACAACCATTCGACCTCGCTTCTGACGCCTCCCTCAACCAACTTTCAAAGTGCCTCGTGCCCGCGATAGTAACCCTCAGACCACACCACACCGCGCTCCCTCTAGAGCTTGTCCTCGAAGTCGGAGAGCGGCGTCGGCGTCTCCTTGAGCCCCTTCCTCTTCCTGATCTGGCTGACCAGCTCCGCAGCCTGGCTGCCGGACTCGAGCGGGTCGGAGCCCATCATCTCCCAGTGGTCGAACACCATCTGCGGGAACGCCTGGCCCGACGTGGCCGCACGCAGCACGGCCGTGAACCCGAACGACTCCACGACGGGCAGGTACGCCTTGATGTTGTACAGGGGAGTGCCGATACGCTGCTGCTCCTCAAACACGTGGCCGCGCTTCTGATTGAGCACGGAGTAGATACCGCCGAGGGCGCCCTCGGGGGCCTGGATCTCCACCAGGTACACGGGCTCGAACAGGCGCGGCTTGGCCGTCAGCTGGGCCGCGTACATGACGCGGCGGGCAGTGGGGATGATCTGGCCACCGCCGCGATGGATGGCGTCCGCGTGGAGGACCACGTCGCACACCTGCAAGAGGAGACCGCGCACAGCATTAGCGACTAAATACGAGGGAAAATACCAAGGAGGAAGGCCAGTGTAAAGAAGGGCCAGACATGCGCTGCAATTTGGCCCTGCGGAAGTCAGGACCTTCTCAAGAGCGAGGACAAGTGAAACAAGGGGCAAACTGCTGCTCAAGAAGGCCTCTCTACATTCCAACCCGCCAAGAAAATTTCAGCAAGGGCCGAGACAGTCTGCGTAAAGAGCTCAATTCAACATGACGTTCCTGTTCAGCCATTCGAACACATATGCCTTCTCGACAAACCTCACACACGCCCTGCCTGGCTTCTGCAATACTCTGCTCCGCAATCGCAAGTTCTTCCAGCTTGCACTGCACCACACCCGAGACCCGCAAGGTAGAAACCACCTAGCCCTCCGCTCCGAAACAAGCTCAAACCCCTGCCGTTACGGGGAAAGCGAAGCCCGCTGCACTCACCTCGAAGCAGACACCGCGCATGTTCTCCTCCGAGACGGCGCCCTCCTTCATGGCCCACTGCGCGGCCGCGACGACTGAGTCCTTGATTTCGTTCAGGTACTGCACACCCTTGCACATGTCAACCACCATGTTGGGGCCGTTGGTGTCGGGGCCGAAGCACCAGATCTTCTTGCTGACGTCCTTGTCCCAGCCGAAGTCCTCGCTCAGGATCTTGGTGCGCGCCTTGGGGTCGTCACGGGGGCCGACCTTGCCCTCGTCGATGGCCTCGGGGAGGCCGGACTCGAGGGGGCGCGCCTCGAAGTACAGGCGGTTGTGCTTGTTGGGGGACTTGCTCATGACCGTCCGCGAGGACTTCTCCAGAATCTGGCAGGGGGAAGGAGGGAGGTCAGCTCCGTCAAAGTCCGACCAGTTTGAGGACCAAGGACAGAAGACTCCGTATTGAAGTGTAAAGTGGGGGGTGCAGTGACCAATCACTTATCATGAGCGAGAAAGGAGACAACCGAGCATGAAACTTTCTGCAGAAGAAAACTCGAGCCCACTCCCAAAGAACGGCAAAATGGAGGGGGATAAGCATAGGCTAATCGAATGGCCAGGAACAACCAGCAGGGAACCAGGCAGATTCTGAAATACGGTTATAACAGCCTTTGCTTACAAGAGCAATCGTCTAACTCCTGCCCTCTGATTCCTACCAGGAAGACCCCAGGATTGCAATGCGCATAAAGCCCACTTCTGTTCATGAGAAAAGCAGCATGCGAAACAGCAACCTTCTGTAGATTGAAGACACTTTGGCCCCAGCAAGTGCTCACCGTCTCACGGAAGGACACGACGGGATCTGAGATCCTAATCTCAGCACCTCCCATGAAGTCGTCCTGCAGATCCTTCAAGCAGATCTCCAGATGCAGCTCTCCAGCGCCGGCCACAATGTGCTCGCCAGTCTGCAAAGGAGAAAATCACTAAATCAGACAGAGCACCAGTTATAAAACTACATGCTGTCGTCGAAAACCAGGCTATTGCCTAGCTGTGGGTTTCTGTAGCTTGGGGTCACACATACTGATTCCTATTACTAATCTATTGGGGAGATTCTCTGGTTGCACCTGCCTTTTACGGCAGACATCTAAAAGAACACCAAAAATGATGACAAGCAGAATGATTCAGTCTAGACAACGTAGTCCATGAAAGGAAGCCTGAGATCGGCCCCGAAAACAGAACCCTCCAACAGACAGATATGGAAGTTTGACCGTGCCAACACGAAGCAAGACCAATCTCAATGATTGTTGAACGTGAAACCATGAGCATGTACAGAAAAACAACTAGACTGGCTTGAGATGAGCGCGCAAACGAGCAACTCTGTACACTGTCCACCAAAACCCTAATACTGGCAAAAAACCCTTGCTTGCAAACACACAGCTCACAGCAAAACCCAACGTCCAACGCACTGGCCTGGAAACGAACCCTCTGAATTGCAAAGCAGGCTCCGACCTCAATACAAAACTCAGATACAAAACTCAGAGCCTGAGACCAAACCACCAATCCTGGAAACAAACCCTACTTGCTACAAACCCCAACCTCGATCACTGTTGATCATGCAAACCAACTGAATAACCTCGGAAAATCACCTAACCCTGGATTCAAACCCCATACATAAAAGCAGAAGTCCAGATCCTCACCTCCTCGATGATACACTGGACCATGGGGTCGGACTTGGAGAGGCGCTTGAGCCCGTCCACCAGCTTGGGCAGGTCCGCGGGGTTCTTGCACTCCACGGCGACACGCACGACGGGCGACACGCTGAACTTCATGGCGCGGATGGGGTGCGCGTCCACCTCCTTCTCCTCCGTCAGCGTGGCGTTCTTCAGGATGAACTGGTCGAGCCCGACCAGCGCCACCGTGTTCCCGCACGGCACGTCCTCGACCGACTCCTGCTTGCGCCCCATCATGAGCACCGTCCGCTGCACCGACTTGACGAACAGGTCCTTCTTCTCGCCGGGCACGTAGTTGGGCCCCATGATCCGGACCTTGCGCCCGGTGCGCACCGTCCCGGCAAACACACGCCCGAAGGCAAGGAAGCGGCCCTTGTCGTTCGCGGGAATCATCTTGGACACGTAGAGCATGAGGGGGCCGTCGGGGTCACAGTTGCGGATGGCGTTGGCGTACTGGTCGTCGAGGGGGCCCTCGTACAGGTTCTCCACCCTGTACCGCTGCGCCTTGGCAGGGGAGGGCAGGTGATAAATCATCATCTCCAGCAGGGCCTCGTTGGCGGGGAGCCACGTCTGCATCACCTTCTTCATCAGCGCCTTGGTCAGCAGGTCCTTCTCCGCGCCCTTGAGCTGCACGCCCAGCTTCTCCAGCAGCGGGAACAGCTTCTCCTTCTCGTCGTTCATGCACAGCCGGATCACCTGCTGGATGGGCTCGTAGATGAATTGCACGAACCCACGCTTGCACGTCGGGCTCCCCGTATTCTTCTTGGTCCACTTCTTGGTGGAAGCGTCGAAGAAGTTCTCGCCCCACAGCCGCTCCATCATCTTGTTCTCGGCCACCCCGAACTTGGTGGCGTACTTGGCAGCAAACTGCGTAAGCGTGAACGCCCACCCGTGCAGCCCCGCGCTGAACGCCACCGTCCCCTTCTCGGGGTACACCTGCGTGTCCCCGAGCAAGTCGTCCTGGTACGTCGCCATAATGACGTTGGCGTTCTCAATCACACGCGAGTACGCCTGGTAAGCCTCCTCGGGGTCAAACTGCAGCTCCAGGAAGCACCGGTCCAGCTTGTTCACCGTCAGCACCGGCCGGATACGCTCTCCCAGCGCCTGGCGCAGCACCGTCTCCGTCTGCACGCACACCCCCTCGATGCAGTCCACAACCACGAGCGCGCCGTCCGTGATACGGAGTGCCGCCGTCACCTCGGACGAGAAGTCAACGTGCCCAGGGGAATCAATCAAGTTGATGAGGTAATCGTCCCCGTCGCGCTCGCCCTTGAGATTCTTGAGCGCCTCCGGCGTCATCTCGTAGTAGAGGGAGATGCCCGTGGACTTAATCGTCACACCACGCTGCTGCTCGTCCTCGCGCGTGTCGGTCAGGCGCATGTCGCCGGCGGCGTCAACGCTGATGATCCCCGCGGCAGCCACCAGGGAATCGGTCAGGGTGGACTTGCCTGCAAGAGGGGTCAGGAGACATGGTCAGCAACACAGCATCTGCAGTGTGCCTGCGCGTGAAGCTACACAACTGAGGGACTGTCATTGCAACTCCCAATTAAGAAGGATTGGATGCTCTATTGGCCCCATGAAAGATGTCGCAAACTAAAAACCAGAGAGCTTGTCAATTTTACAAGCAAGTACAGGGAAAGATTGGAGAAAACTTCAATGTGAATACCTGGGCTACCTTGAATAGTGTTGCTGGTCTGATTCACTGCAAGATTCTTGAACCACCTTCATCATGGAACAGCATCCTCCAGCAGACTACCACTGGCACCAGAATCAACCCCGCTGCTACTTGACAATCCAGCAACTAGATGTCACACCAGCTTTTATTCCTAAAGTGGGCGTCGAATTTCAAAGCCGGGAAATGCACACTAGTGAGTCCGAGTCCTGAGGAGAGCCTCGAGAAGGCCAACTCTGAGCCGTCCAATAGATTCAACTCGGACGTTAAACCGTCCGATGTCCAGGTGCACTCGCGAGTGCAGACGCCCACTTTAATGAAAAGCTAGAACAGTAAAAGGACAGCCAAAGTTGTTAGGAGGCTCTTGCAGCCAAAAACCTTCATTGCCTTCACGAACTCTGGAAGTCTGAAGCAGAACACCAACAGAATGTCCTTAGGTTGCTGTCACAAGTAATCAGCCACATCTCTGAGTTGAACTAGCTTTCAATAGCACGTTCCATCAAAGCAACCCGCAATGGCACGAAGGCTCCATCCGCAGGAGTACAACAGACGCAACCAGCAATGACAGGCAGAATCCTTTTTTGCAAAGATGCCCGTCGACAGACCATTACCAAGTAGCATGCCCAATGCAAACACAGACACATCATCTGATCAACATGTCGATACCTGTCAAATGCCAACCAAGCTGACAGCGCAAAAAAGTAGACCCGTTCCAGACTCCACCAGGCGCCCCCAATTCAAACATAGACAACCATTACCAGCAACCTCGGTGCCAGCTTCCCTTCCAACCAAACGACACACTTACATCAGGACACCCCCATCACTCTTTGGAGCCTACTGACAGACTCATGCAAACCTGACCAGAAGAGGCATTCCCACTAGCGCGTAAACCTGCCCCATAGAATGTCCACCAAACACACTGACAGATAGCAACAAGATGGTGTGTATTGGTGCCATCCGGTAAATACCTTTTGCCGCCCAGGTGTTGACACCGACAGATGAATCACGGCCCTAGCTCAAGGGACAAGAGCAAACTCATACTCTCAGCTTGAAAAGAGACAACACCTACCGTGGTCCACGTGAGCAATCACGGACATGTTCCTGATGTTGTTCTTCTTGTCCATGATCCTACGGATCTCTTCCATAGTAAACTTCACCTGCAGGCAGGTTGGCACTGACGAGATTGAGCATCGCACAATATTGTTTGAAGTAGCAAGCATACCAACAGAAAGAGCCTTGAACAAGCTACATCATCCAGCAAGCATACCGTCGCAACGTGACTGCTCCCTCCACACGGAGAAGCAGGAAAGGAGGAGTAGAACAACGACCCCACAAGAACTCCAAGCACATCCTGGCATAAGACAAAACAGAGTTGACGGGAGGCATCGCAGACACAATCCATCAAGAGAACGAGCAGACAGTAAGTACTACTTACCATCTTGGCAGACTTTGTGAAAACCTCAACAAAGAGTTGAAGAAGCGGCACTGCGCCGCAAACACCCCCCTAAGTGCTGCTGCTTTGTCTCGAGACAGCAGCAAATGAAGGTTGCTCTCACGAGCAAAATTGGTCGCAGTCACACTTGCATGAGCAGGCCAGACTCCAGTGTGGAATCTACGGTATCCGACCAACCCAAGATTCTAAACGTTGAATCTGAACCCTTAGTTATCAGAATCGACGATTGCCATTGGTCAAGGAACCGGGTTACATGCTGGTACCGGAGTCCGTACTCGGCCAAAGGCTTCCTGGTTGAATTGGTAACTTCGAGCTGTTACTTGATGATGCTAGAGACTATCGACCAATCGGAATCACGCTTGCAAGAGAAGTCAAGGTAACAGACTCTCCAACACGTACACGGTACGGCTTCCCCGTCGATTCCGTGTGGAGATTTTCCATCTACCGTTATAGGAAAGTAGTGTATCAGCAGATAACTCTTGGCGGTTGATTGACGTTTGGCGTGACCACTTTGGCAAAAACGGTGGTGATGGGGCTGCCATGGGTAAATCTACCTAGATGTTGGGTGGCTAAACGTACCTACCTAATACCGTAGAGCGCCCAAAACCGGATCACGCACCATTAGTGGATCACCTCCGCCCTAAACTGGACCTATCTTGATCCAGTCTCGTATTTCCAACTGTCCAAAACTGGATCAGCTCTTTTGTGCGTAAAACCGAGGTTTTTGACTCCGAAGCATGACCTAAAGTAGGTCAAATCTGGATCCAAGGGGCATCGGCAGATAGCCCTTTAAAAGTCTGGATATGTGGAGAAAACCGCACTTTAAAATCATAAATCCGTCAAACAATACTGCCAATAAGCGGTGCCAAAAATAAGGTGATCCAGTAATGGGCGCTCTACGGTAGCCCATATTGGCTCAGGCTATAGCCTAGAATGAAGCAAGGCTCTGCGCCTTCCAGATTCAATTTTACACTTGATCGTCGAGCTTCTTCTACGCAGAGCTTTGAAGTGTTGCATTCTCCACTTGATCCAGATCCTTGTTGCTTGACTTTGTGCTGGCCACCTGATTCTTCCAGAAGAGATGAGCAGCCAAGTGTCTTCTTTTCTCGCCAGCCGCAGCATTGCCAGTGTGCATCTTGCACAAGGCCGCTCGAAGGAGTCTTTCCGGAGTAACCAGTGTATTGTACTAGCAGGTTGTAGCCCAAGATCTTCCCGCTTCCACGCGCCCCGACGAACAGAAGTGCGGCCCGCCAATTTGCCACAACTTCTGACCCCATCGAGGCGTTTGTTCTTGACACTTGCTGGGGGAGTAGCTGCAAAGAAGGTTTCTGGGTTTGGGAGGCAGCGGGGCGGGTTTGCATGTGCAGCGATGGCAGTTGAAGTAGCAGTGAAAGCGGCGGTGGGGAACCCAGACATTCTGGGAGATTGTGAGTGTACAATGCTGAGAGATTCTGCAATGACCAATAGGTGCAGGATAATTGCGAAGTGACAATAAGCCAACTTTCACATGCGCCTGCTTTTAAAAGGAAGATCAGCGGTTGTCTCAAGTAGTTCTTCTCAAACACACCGGTTAGTGCAACTTTGATTCTCCAGACTATCAGTTGACCATGAGTTGCATCCAGTGGGCTTTCTAAATGCTTGATAAGGGATGTGTCATGGACGGATGCCGTTCCTGAAACTCCATCTCCTTAGGTGTCCAGATTACTCAGAATCAAGGTTCAACCGGTGATTGCCAATCACCTTTTCTTTATTTCTCTCTTTTGCAGGTCCATTCTCTCAGCGTGTGCTCATCACCCTGGAGGAAAAACATATTCCATACACCAAGAAGCTGATCGACCTGTCAAATAAGCCTCAGTGGTAAGGCGTGCCGTACCCAATCCACCTGTAACTCACTTTTTGAAGTACTGTTGACACCTTGCATTGCAATCGTGTGATGAGATTGTTGCAATGGATTTACAATGGGGATAACAGCCTAAGATATCGAGGCCAACCTTTAATCAAAAGGGCAAGACCTGTTTACAAGACCTCCTGAGCCTATGAGTTGGATCAGATGGTCTGATTTCCTTCTTTTACAACCTAGGCCAACCTGTATGTTCATTCGAAATGCGGTTGTGATCGAGCACTCATGTCTTTGCCCTGGATTCAGGTACTTGGAGGCCAACCCAGCTGGCAAAGTCCCTGCTCTCAAGACCGCGGACGGTTGGCTCGCAGATTCAGATGAGATCACGAAGAAGCTTGAGCAGGATTACCCTGAGCCCTCCTTAGTCACGCCACCTGAGAAGGCCTCCGTGTAAGTCTTGCCCTTGCTCTTTCTGGTGCGATACTTGCGAGGTCATTGACTTGTGGGAAAACCCCCACATGAGCATTAAAATCGATAGGTCTTTTGAGGTCCTTGCCATTTTTCAATCCATGCTCCAAACAGTGTTGAGTCCAAGCCGTAGAGTCCATTGGGGAAATAGAGGACACGGTAGAGTGTTTCCAAATGTTTCCATGTTTCCAAACCTCAGTGACTGTGATTCGCACTTTCTGAAAAGTTGCAGGGGTTTGGAACCTGCGCCAAAGCTTCGACCGCACGTTCGTGTCCTCTCGTCCTATTCTCAAGCAACCCTCCAACCGTCCTTGCAGAGGTTCCAAGATCTTCCCGTCGTTTGTTGGCTTCCTCAAGTCCGACGACCCACAGGATGGGAAACAAGAGGCTCTGCTGACAGAGTTGGAGGCGCTTGACAAGGCGCTCAGTGAGGGAGAGGTCAGTTTTTATTTCCATGCAAGTATGATTCAAGAGAGTGTGTGATTTCTCGGTTGGTCGATCTCCTGCCAGATACATGTGTCCGTCAAATCCTGGTGGTGAACTTTTAACGCTCAAGATTGACACAGACAGATCTGCCTCGACTAAGACAGCGCTATCGTTTCCGCGTGATTGAAGTTTTTAAAGGAATTCCGAACCGAGTATTTGTTGACAAGTAGTGTTTAGGGAGATCGTGCAATTGGGTATTTGACCACAGTAGATTAAAGTTAGTCGGGGAAGGCAAAAGCTTTTGTGACATCAAGGTTTGCCTGCAGGGTCCGTTCATTGCTGGGAGCAAGATCACCCAGGTTGATGTAGCTCTGATTCCGAAGTTGTACCACACGAAGGTTGCGTTGAAGGCACTGAAGGGGTGGGAGATCCCGGCGAAGTTGGAGAACGTGCACAAGTATGTTAAGGTGAGGGCGAGCTGTCGAGGCAACAACCTGCGTTTGTGGAGCACATAGCATCCACGGCGTGTATGTGCAAACCGTCTGTACTTTCTTCTCTTCGTTCCCATTTCGAAGCTGTGAGAAGCTACTACTTGAGGCATCCGTACTTTGGAGCTGTGAATATATTTTAAAACGAGTCACGAGACAAGGGCATAAGAATGAGTTCGATGAGTGACTCGTTTCCTCCGCTTGCAGGCCGCAACGGAGACTGAGAGCTTCCAGAAGACAACGGCGTCTGATGACCTCATTGTCAAAGGCTGGCTTGCTCACGATGGCGTGAAGAAGCAGATCTGAGTCGATCTATCTACTACTAGCAATGGTCTTCGATCGCCCAATTTTCCATGTTCGACTGAAGTTCACATGACTGAGACGTTGTCAAGACTTGGGAGTTTTTCGATCTTGGGGCCTATGGTTTTTTGATGCATCCAATATCCTTTCACAAAGGATGTTTGAACGGGAGGACCTTTTTGAAGTGTGTAATTATGTAGAAAGTGTTTGACCAATTGCGACTTGTTTGAAAGTCTATGTTGATTGAGACCGAAATATAACGTCAAATGCAGAAAGTGGCATCGACTGGATACATCTTGAATTCATCTTGGCATTGAGATTTAAGTATTAGTATGACGGTTGCATCAATTGTGTAGCAAGTCCGGCCAAACTTCAACACGAATCTGTAAGTTTCATTCAAAACACAACAAAAGTAGCGGGCATATGACAATTGACATATACATGCCCAGGCTGAAGCTTTCCGTGACATCTGAACGTATACTACCACATCCCGAAGTACGTCCACGTACGTTTATAACCCATGTCTCAGTACATTAGTTTTCCTAGGCAACTGGCACATGCATGCCTCTTCGTGTTGCACCACGTGTACGTCGATATATCATCATGGCGTTCATGAAGTACCTCTAGGACCCGCCCCTATCTCCTGGCTCCACATTGAAAGTTGGAGAAGATTCGATCGCAGCCTAATCCACCTAGAACCGTCGATACGCCAATCGACGGTGTGCGCAGGCCTCAGCCAAATTGATGAGTGTCAATCGCGGTCTGAGGTACAGCAAACTGTACAGAATGAGTACAAGCTTGGACCGCCGCACGCATGTATATTTAATATTTGCCAGATGTCGCGCGATGAAGTAAACCACCTGCACCTTCAATGTCAGAAGCCTGCTCGCACGGTACGGTCGATCGAATTTTACGGACGGACCTCTACGGTACTTTCGAACTAGCGAGCCGTTGTCCGCGGTCAAATCTGAAGTTGCGCAGTAGTATGTAGAGGACGCCGTCGATTCAAACTCAGCGTACGGAGTTGTGCACTGTCCAGTATGCACACTGCGCAGTGTACTCAGTGTGCAGTATGATCACAGATGGGCCGATTGAAACAGCACGGAAGAATTTGCACCGGGAGTCCTTCTGAGATAAGGCGACGACTGTAATAGTGGCCGGTTGTATAGCCGGTAGATATAGTACTTCCCCGGTACCTGCAATGGAGCGCTCATCGACACTGCGTTTGGACCTAGGGCAGGTGGCGACTTTTGACTGGATCTTATCCTGCGATCGTATCTTGGTCCCAAACTCCCGGTCACTTCTCCATCAAGCAACCGGGCACTTTTAGGGGCGGGTCTGCAAGGTTCTTCATGAACGCTATTAGTATGTGTGCAAACGCAATTATGTTTGTAGATTACATATTTCGATGCGCAATCTGCAAGTTCATCTTGCGGCGCCGCATGAAATTCATCCTGCCGGTTTCCATGTCTATCCAGATTGAGGAAAGATGCAAGTTTCAACTGGTGCGCGCGATGATTGCCCGTCATGATCATTGTGCGATCCATTTATTGAACACATCATGTTAGTGCTCCAACAACGCCATGATGTGCACTGAGCTTAAACTTCCAGCATACAGTATATCGCATCTTCGGATTCAAATTTGTGGGCGGCGGCCAATACAATCAACACGGAACTGCATCTACAGATCGGATGTTTGAAACATATAAACGTCCGGACGCCAATGATAGAAAGGAAATTGATCGTCATGCTCACAAGCTAGCGGGCGGCCCTTTGTTACTCCACTCGGTGAAAGCTCGTGCACTCTTTTAGCAAGGCTAGCTAGCTAGAATACTCGGGGACCAGTGATGTCTTTGACACCAAACTTGCCTAAACCCCGCCTGATCTCGCGTGCTCGAAAGATTCCGCTCCGGGCAGTCAATCTTGAATATCAAGCCTCAAAGAGCCTGCATCGAACTACCACTTTGCCGTCTAGCAATGTTGCTGCATCTATTCCGACTTGTTTCGTTTACCTTGCAAGCTGCTGTAGCAACATCTCTCGCAATTCTTCTACGTTACTTGGTCACCTTGGTCATGGGAGCAGAGCTCCAAACTTCTTTGCCCGTGCCGTGAACAAGCAGAACCCTGCTAATTCCAGCAGTCAACTCTTCGCAATAGCCCATGTATTGGTCGGGATCCATCTTCATGTGCGGATCAGGCAGGTTGATCAACACCAGTCGAGCGCTCTGCGGAGACGAGAATGAGCATTATTCACAGGTGTGCATATGGTACACCTATAAACGAAGTGCGTAAGGACCCCGGTGAAGAAGGCTCGTCGAGGAATTTGATGCTCAATGCTTCAAAGAAGACTCTTTGTAGAAGGCGAATCTGAATTTCACTGTTAAACACGATCACGACTTGAAAAAGCACAAACGAAGTTCAACCCTTCCGAAGATACTTCCACAAGTTCCGTCTCCGTAAGACCTGCATGGTGGCTCTGAAATCGAATCCGCTGACTCAACAGATACATCCGCACTCAAATGCAACGCCTCCCCTGCTGGCTGCATCCCTTACCTCCGACTTCTCACGAATCAGGTCATTCAGCCTCTTGGGCGTGTGTGCTTGCGTGAACGTATCCCAGGTCCGCTCGAGGGGGTTCGGCCGCTCGCGCGCCGCCGCCTGCATCTCGCGGAGCGCCTGCTTCACCGACTCCGCAGCCAGGGTGGTCCCCGTCATCTCCACTTGCTTGTCTTCCCATTCCGGGGGCCCCAATTTCGCGATCTCGTCCGCAAACCGCGTCTGCTTCCCATCCCGCATCGACGCCCCGGCCGTGAACGAGCCGTTCGACACCGGCCCCGCGCCCGCGCCCTCGCCTTCCCCCAAACCCTCCCCAAAGCGCGACGCGCGGCGGCTCTCCACCTGCCCAAACCCGGCCATCTGCAGCGCCGTCATCGACTCCGCGCGCCGCGCGCGCGGCGTGGCGCCGCCCCGGTTGGGCGCCCCGAGCACGGCGTCCAGCTGGCCGCTGTTGCGGAAGCTCTCGCGGCCGGCCGCGCTGCCGAGAGCGCGCAGGACCGGGACGCCTTCCACGACGCTCCGCCTCCTCCCCGGGTCCTCTGGGCGGGGCAACTCGTCGTCGCCGCTGCTCCCGGTGCTGGACCGCCGGTTGTGGACGGAATGCCCTGGCTTCCCGGCTTGGATGTCGTCGATGGTGAGCACCAGTTCACCGCTGCGCCGCAGGCTGGCCTGCCGCGACACGTGCGCCGCGCCATCAACCATGTGCAGCTCCTGCAAGGCCGCGGAACGGGGTCAGAAAGTGCGCGGCGAGATAGGTTCGCACTTCGCGCGGTGATCTGGGGCTCAATTGCGCTGCAAAATAGGGTCATGATCAGCTCGCGCGACGAGACGGCGTCAGGAACAAAGCGGTTCCAGGAATGGCCGGCACAGGGTGCAAGTTTTTGCTGGTATCCTGATTCCTATAAATCATGCATAAACATCGATCCTCCTTTGATCTGGTTTGAAGTGGTTTCGAACACAGCGATCAACGTTACCATTTATTATTGCTGAGCGTCGGACGGATTCGGAGTTTGTCGCAGGGAAACCTCTGTATTGCACGTTACGAGTCTAGTAAGACAGTTGAGTTGAGTATGTCACTCCGTTCACACGCCCAGAATCTGGTGATCTTAGCCAGATGGTCGATCATCTAGACGTCATCGACAGAGCAACCTCTACCACGCGCTCAAGTCCCAAAGACGCGTCATCCGCCCCGCCTCCTCACCTGCGGAAAGGACCGCGGCAGCGGTCCGCTCTTGGCCCGCATGCTGGCTGCCCGGGGCGTCACCCCGCCCTGCAACGACCCGATCCCATCGTCTGCTTTGCCAAGCTTGAGGTACGCCTCGGGGCGCCGGGCAAACGACCCGGCGAATGAGCTGGTCTTCTCCAGGCCCGCGGGCTTGTCCTTGCGCTGCGCGGCGAGGCCTTCCAGGTGCGCCTGCGCCTCCTCGAGGCGGAGCGTGTAATCGTACGTGTACGGCGCCAGGTCCTCGTCCGCCATCTCGACGACCTCGACCTCGGCCTCGATGCGCACCTGCAGGGGAATGAGGGTGTCAGGTTGGTGAAGGGTTTTCGTAACTTTAGAGTTTTCGAGTTTCAGGATGCAAAAGCTCATTGCACAAAGGTGGCGGAGAAAGGTGAAATGTCACTGGCCCTGGCTGTAGTCGAAGAGGGGTCCGCGCTGTGAGATGCACGGAATGGAGGTTGAAAGCATGTACAATCAGAAAAGGGTCCTGACGACTCAGATCTCAAACCCGCGGAACGAGAATCGGACACTTTGTGGGGGGTTCTTCGAACAGGAGAGGAAGGAGAATGATCACGCTTCCAGTAGAAATGACGAGATAACAAGCAGTTGTAGCAAATTCCTGAAATCAGCTAGGCAGGTTCGCATCGTAGTCTTTGGAGGATTGGCAGAAAACGATCTCTCTGTGCTGGCAGCTCCTCCAAACCTGGGCCAAGTTTGGCCTCGGGACTGCCCAGTCTATGCAGATTGGCATTCTGATGGTGACTTGAACGGCATCATTTCTTCTTCAAAGGAGGCAGATCAGGCAAGCAAAATCAGATTTCCGACTCGCGCAGGATATACCCGGGAAACAACCGCATCTGGACATGAGCAAGATCCTGACCTGCTGTAGCAGCGCCTGCAGGTTGGCTTTGACCGCCACCGAGTTGTCGAGCTGCTCGGCCACGGTGTGAACGCGCAACTTGCAGGATCTCCAGATACGGTGCTGCAGAACGACGGAAGAACACGCTTCTCACACATTGAGAAAACCGGACAGCTTCCGGAATTGATTGCCGTTGTGGGTAGAGCAAAGGGTCGAAGAAGAGAGCGGCAGGTGGAGACACCAATGAGTGTCCGGGAATACGAATGACCCCGCCGAGCTGCTGTTCACGTTTAATCAATTAGAATGCACTTGGCGGTGTTTACTGAAATCCCATTCCACCTCGAAAGCTGACCTCCGCCTTGAAGTCTGCCCCGAAATCATTCAGAAAGCGTGTACGGTGATGATGTTCAGCAGAGAGCGAGTTACCTGAGAAAGCAGGTGCGCCAGCAGCAGGAGCAGACCGCCGTCGTGCACGATCCACCAGACGTCGATGAAGCCGTGCTGCTTCTCATTCGCGCGCGGGAAGTTCTGGATGTGCATGCAGATGAGGGCCGCCTTCGCGGTCGCGGTGCATTCCGCCAACGTCTCCAAGAAGATCTGCGGACGGAGGCAATTCTTTTAGATGGCCTTAAAAACGCACTTTTGGTTCAAAGCACGAGTTCTCTCAGCCGTGACTGAGGGTGGGTGTTGCCTACCCTCTTCAGAATTACACGTTTGTTCTTTGCTTTCCGTGTCACCTTTTTCCAAACGAAAGCGAGCCTTCAGATATCTGCAAAATAAATAGTTTCAAACGCATAAACTATAAGACGCATTTGTAGCGCGGCAGATGCTGACCTCCCCCGAGTCGCGGTGGCCTGTTTCCTGCCACTTGTCGGGCCATCCCAGCAGCAGCGTGTTGGGTTCCAGGCTGCCCAGGCCTCCAGTCTGAATGGCACACGTCTTCCCCTGTCGGTAGGATGCCGCCACCAGCGCGCGCGCAAAGCCAGCTACCTTCTCATGCTCCATGCGAGCTTCTAGGTCCTCCTGCAAACATATGAGAAGCATGAATGAGAAAAGTGACCAGCAGCGGAAGTGGATCCTCAAGCCTGTCCTTTCCTGCTATTTTGGACTTTGAAAAACAAGAAATGTTGTAAAGCTTCCCTTCAATTTCGAATTTCCGCTTAGAGGAAGCATGTCAGGAAAGGAAACATTTGCAAAGCAACCCTCAAGCAATCCTCGATTCTCCCACGCCAATGAATCGTTTATAGAGTTCAGGAGTCCGTATATCTTTATGACCTAAAATTGCGGATTGTTTTAACAACTTGCAACGCGCCTGACCTGAGATTCGCACGAAAACCCTTTCGTTTCATCATCAAGCTTCCTCGAAGAGGCAGGAGCACCTTAATTTCTGGGTGCTGTACACAGCAACCGTGCCGACGTACTGACCTGCTCTTGTCGTGCTTCGGCCGCCAACTCCGAGAGCTTTCCCTCTAGGATGACGTTCACGACGCAAAGGCCCTTACCCTGCCACCAGAGAGCAAGATGTTGAATCCTGAGCCCAGCTCACAAGCTGAAGAGAAGGCAGCTCTTGCTTATTGCCTCCGTCACACGTCGAACGAGCATCTTTACGGGACCGAATGTTTAGTCCAGAAAGAGTACCTGATAACGAAGCGCTGAAGCAGAACACTTGTAGTAGGACAGACCTTAAGTGTAAATCGGCAAAGGCGTCCCAATGGTGCGGTAAGAGGCTTCTGATTTGAGGGTTACCTTTTTGAGCTGCGACGCGAACGACAGTATCTCGTTGTCAGTGTTGCGGCTGCCTTCGTCGTCCCACTGCTTCTGCGGCTTCGCCAACACCAGCAGCTGTGGCCGCCAGTTGACCGAAAACTTGCTCTGTGAAAAGAACAAAGTACGTCAGCCTCACGTACTATCATGGTCAAGCATATAGCCATGCCTGTTCACCTACCGCACTTTCACCGGTGAAACAATCTACTTTTCCACGGCAATCCTTGGGTGCGCGCAGCAATACGGACCTTCATAGAGATGGAACCTCACGAAAGCGGAGGAGCATATCTAAACTGGAGAGTCTGCGCACCAGACAGTGTGGACGTTCCCGTTCGAATCTAAACCGGACATATTTGTATCAAGCAAGTCGTCGAACGAAAAGCGAGTCGAGCCCGGCGCTGACCTCCCGGCCGGCGCTGAGGATGGCCTGCACGGCGAGCTGCAGGCGGAGCCCCCCCAGGCCGGTGCCCCAGTCGACCTGCACCTGGCGGTAGTCGATGTAGATGTACAGCAGCGCCGCCAGGAAGATGGCGGCCAGCGCCCAGTACCACACGATGGCGAACATGAGCGCGAAGCAGCCCAGGAAGCCCGCCAGCGCCGTCGCCCAGCTGTAGTACCGCCACGAGGGGCGCCAGCTGCGGACGATAGGGCTCTAACTTTCGACATTCCAAAAGGCTGGCCTTTTGGTTTTAGGTGCTTGCCTACACGAGTATCTGCTTGCCTGGATTTGAAAAGCTGAATAAATCAGAGACGTTGGAGATTGCCGTGAAAGGCTTCACAGTGAGGGGAGAATTTCTAGCCCTTGCCAAGAGGAGATCATGTTATTAGGGGATGGATGTCTGGTTTGAGACCAACGACCGTCAAGTGAAGTTTAGTACTTGAACTTTCAACTACTTTCAAAGGGAACGAAGCCAAGCAGAACTTTCAGGCATGTTCCAAGCGGGCACTCCATCTCTTTTTCGGTTCAAGCTATTGCGTGCTGACCTGGGGGCTTTGAGGACCGTGAAAAGGAGGCACGACAGGTTGAGCGCGGCGTAGCAGGTGAGGAAGCAGACGGAGGTGAGGGGCGCCACCAGGTCCAGGCTGCCGATCATGGAGGCGCACACGCAGAAGATGACCGTGAAGATCAGGGCGCGCTGCGGTTCGTTGTTGCGGAGGCGGGCCAGCGGGGCCAGGAACGGGACTACGCCGTCTGCGGAGATGGCCTGCGAACGAGTGTCGCGTCAAGGACGGGTAGGGAAGCAAGGAAATGGATCTGAAGTTTTGAGTGAGCGGATTAACACCTGCTTGCTGCAAACAGGGAGCGCAGGCTCAAGAGCTCATGATTATATAGAAACAGTCACCCGTGGCGGTACCAGAAGGCCGCCAAACTGACAACTGCTGGGTACAAGTTTGAAATCTGTGAACAATCTCCCAGGATCTCAACAATTTTTCTCAACCTCAAAAGGTACGACGTCCTGTGTATCTCTTTCGACCGGGCAGAAAGTCGAGATGCGCACCTGGATCAGCCGAGGGGCCGTCACGAGGCACTGTAGCGCTTGACTGATGGACGCAATGATGATGCCCAGCTGCGTGACGATGGCAGAGGGCCACACGATGTCGGCGACGATGGACGCGTCGCCATGCCCGCCGCCTCCAGTCGAGAGGTCGCCCCGCAAGTACGGCCGGAGAGCGACGGCGCCCCAAAGACCAAAGTAGGACAGATAGATTACCTGCAAAATGGAGAACCGGTTCAGAGGACTCATCTCGCAGGTCAACCAGCTCGATAGCGAGGCAATCTTGAACATCTCAGAAGCAGACCACTGCTCCAAACAGAGGGAGCGAGATCGATTCAATGTGCCGGTTTATCCGAGAACTGCGATGCATTTACTGAGTTACAGACCAAGAGCACTTGTCACTCACCAGACTGACGCAAATGGCCCCGAGAGTTCCAATGGGAATGCTTCTTGCAGGATTCCGAAGAGAACTGGCTCTGTCGGCTCCGGACAGGATGCCAGTGAAGCATGGAAAGAAGATACTGAGAGCCGCAGAGTAGTCCATGCCTGCGTACGAAAATCAGGACTGCTAATCAGATGCTGCAAATGGATGACGCGGCCTGTCTTTGCGCCGACCGCATCGTTTACATCCATTGTCTGCTGTTCAATTATCGTTTCGGTCAGCACTTTTTGCCTTACCTTCAAAACCAGCCTTCTTGAGTTCTCAATACTCGGACACTTTGACTTGAAGAGACAACAAGAAGGGTCATGCTCCTTCTCAAGTGAGACCTCATACTGCTACCTGGCCAACTTTGGCAACTTTGGCAACCGGTTGGTGGTGTCGAGTGAGACTCACCATGCGCATAGCCAGGGTCCCAGTTGCTCCTAAGAGTTGAAAACGAGAGGCCAGTGACCTCCGCCGGGAGGTTGTGCTTGGGAGCTAGTGCAAGTCCAATGTAGAAGCTGGCCATTGTGTACAAGCAGACGCCGAAAAAGACGACACCCAGCCGGCTTACAAACTTGATGCCACAGAAGACCTGTATGGAGATCAAAGAAAAGGTTTTGAACCAATATTGATTTGATTTTTGGCTAAACGTAGCTGGTAGGTGCCGAGGGATTCCGAGTAGAACGATTGATGCACTATTTTGAAGAGATGAGCGGGGTGGACCATCCTGTACGAAGCCTCTTCAACGATCACTCTTAGCCTGATCGATTTGACCGTCTGCAATTCGGATGCATGAAAGAGTCTGTACCCTACCAGGATCCCCAAAGCGATGAGCAGGATGGCGCTCAGGATTCGAGTAGCCGCGGTTATATGGAGGCTGGGGAATGTGAAGAGAAGCATCTCTATTGCGCCAAGCGTCTCAAGGACTGCCAAGAGGGCAACTCCAAGGTAGTACATGCAACCGACTGCTCCGCCTATTCGAGGGCCCAGCGCTCGACTGATAAGGTAGTAGGTGCCACCTTCTTCCTGGACAATCCAGACGATCAAAATCAGATTGTGCATCCAGTGAGAGCACTAACATGAATTAATGGTCCACCTCCAAAATGTAACATCCAAAGAGAAGAGCAGCTGTGGATTTCGTGTCAAAAAGACGAGCAAAGACATGCAGTTACATTGAATGCCGAGCTTCTTATGGAAGAGTTGTTGTGCACTGACGTTGAGACTAGTGCATGATAAGCTGGCCTTAATGTCCGCTTCGCACTCACCGCTTTTCCATTCGTGGCCACTGCGCTCAATGATAGTGTTGTCAGCAGCGAGCAGAGAAAGGAAACCAGGACTATTGTGAATGACTGCAAAGAGATGGCGAATGTCAGTGTGGAGGAAGGATCAGGAGAGGCGCAACCTCAATTCGATATTGTGTTCTGGTGTTTGGGGCTGTTCTGACAGCAGACATGGCAACAGATCTTGGATGATGAGTTTCCTTTGCGCAGTTTCTCTTACCTGCCAAACCCCAGCATTCCCCACCACCGCGTAGAAGCGCAGAAAGATGAGAACACCCCACCTGCATTGACAAGAGCGTAGTAAAGGCATAGCAGGTAACCGGAATGAGGTAAGCCTCAATGAAGCCTTCTTATATTGGTCAGAAGGTTGCGCTACCTCCAGCCACCTCTGGTATACTAGATCTTTTAGTCAGCTGCAGGAATATCATGTTGACACTAATGTTGCAAAGCTTCTGTACCAAGCCGTAACTGAAAATAATATCCAGATGGAACTTACATATTCTCACAAGTGGGGATGAGGACCCCATTCAAGGTTCCAAGATGGCCTGTTGAGGCCTCCACCCCTGATGCTGTCATCGAGTCTTCTCGTCCTCGCTTGCCGCTGCTACTTGAGGTCCCTTGGCTCTCCATTCTGTTGATGGAAGAGTCTACTGCACTGTCCAGCGACTCATTTGATAGGCTTTCATTCATGGTCGGCTTTTGGAGCTACCAACCTGAAGCACTAACGTCAAGGTCCGAACCACATCAATGACGTTGGAAACCTAGTTTGATCAAGAGGGTCAGGCAGCCCAGACGGTGTGTGGCCAAGTCTCTCAAGTTTTTGCACGCCGAGTCAATGAATGCAGCTAGTGGTCAGGTTGCGTCTCAAGAAACCCTCGCTTTTCGAGGTTGTGTATTCATACATAACCGACTTAAGCCTTATCATCTTAAATAGCCCAGCTGCTGCAGCTCAATTTGTGAAGCCATTGAAGCGAGTGACGCGGTGAGCCAGGAACCATGTACTGGTCTACCACCACTAAAAGTTAATGTTTCTTTCCTGTTCTTTCCACCTGCAAAAATTCAACTTTGAACAAGTGCATTGTCTCGTTGTTTGGAACTCAAAGACTGATCGAGCTCCAAAAGAAGGAAGCGTAAACCTGCTGCTGTTCAATTGACGGCGCAAGCGCGATTGCAGCGCAAGCTGCTTTGCATACCGGCCATACCGTTGAAGGTCGAAGAGCAACTGCCTTGAAAGTTAGTTGGATCGGACGGCTGTGGAAAACGTAGTCGGACTGCGGCTTATGCGATCTCGACACGTGGCGAGAGAGTGATGTCACAGTGCACCTTTGATCATGCCAATGGTCCGCATCATGCATGGACATTGTGATGGGCAAGCCGCCATAATATCCTACATGATATTTTACAATCTCGCATGCACCCTGATCAAGCCTGAGCTTCACTGAGGAGAAGAGAAAGCGCTCCGTATGGACCAGCCTGCATTGCCTGGCAGTAGGTTTCGATAGAAATGGCTACCAGTTTCAGCTTCCAGACTACTTTTATCAAGCACTGCTTCCTTCCTCCGACGCCAGGGAGAAGGGAGCAGACTCAAAGTTCAGGCTTCAGCGCTGGGAAAGTACGGAATCCCAACATTCATCGAAAATTTGCAAAGGTTTGCTCGCTAAGGAAGACATCGACACAAGGTTCAATGGATTCGCAGTCATCCCTTCTTGGGGCGAAGACATGGAGTTTGGAGAAGCGCAGACCTTCTGCACGGGCCAGAGCTGAAAAGCAGGTGTGCTTCCATCAATTGCTGCAACCGTCGAGTCCAAAGAATGGCATGATTCATGTGTCACAAGTGCAATGTAAATGGCGCAGAACTAAGCTGATTAATCCAGCATGCAATTGGTCAAAGCATCCTTGACAAGATAATGTCATGTTATATTCAATCACACTTAAAATTCAACAGGTTTTCAGTAGTGAAGGCTGGAAATAGAGGGAATGTCTGATTGAACGTTGCCCAGTGGTTAGTCTCGGAGAGTTTATCAAAACCCAAGACATTTAAATGCATTCCCCATTCCACAATCAACTTTCTCAAGGACCGTCCGTTTGACCAGATTAATTCGTAGAGATTTTTGTCGAGATCCTGATGAGTCACTTTGGGTGGTGTGGTGTGCACAAGTTTACTCACTAGCAGCATTTTTTCAGGCATTGAGGGACGTCTAAATAAAGCAGGGCCTATGCCAAACCGCTTTAAGTTATGGTATTTGTTGCAGGAAGGAGCTGTCCAGGTTATAGATGCAGAGGATCCTGCAACTGAGCCCCCTAGCCCCCCTCCGGAAGATATTGATTGGAGTGCCGTCGCGCTACCGTAAGTGTTGCGCTTTGTGAAGTCTGCCTGCCACATTCTTAAAGAATGCGGAGAAGTTCCTCATCAGTGTATAACATTCCAATTCTGCATACAAGTCAGATCACTTGCACTATGCCCGGACAAAGTGCGACATTTGAGAAGTGCAACAAACACTCTCGACAGGTTCGTTTTTCCGGCCATTGGGGGGGCGCTGTTTGGCTACGACATTGGCGCCACCAGCGGGGCAGTGATATCGCTGAAGGTGGGGGGCGTCAGCAAAGTCTCTCTCTGTGTATAATTTCTGATGAAGATGCTCAAGCCAGTCTGTATGACCACCCTTTCCTCCTTGCTACATCAAGCACATTCCTGCACGCTTGGTCAGTGGCATGTCTTTCTCTGCTAGCTGCTCCACTGTGGTATCCCCTGCTTCAAAATGCCAGTATTCAGAATGTTGGAGATACTACCGCCGTTGTTCGACGTATGCTTGAAACTTTCCAGCAACCTCTCCGCCGCTTATTCAGTTTCACTGGTATGCAAACGTTTCGCAGGACGCTGCCTTGAGTGGCACCACCTGGTTCGACCTTTCCCCCCTCGCCACCGGCCTGGTCGTCAGCGGATCGCTGGGTGGGGCGCTTCTGGGGTCCATTCTGGCATACCTCATTGCCGACCCTATCGGTGAGACCGAAGGCAACCCTCACCCCTGCTCGAGACCCAAGCCATGGCTTGCCTTCCCATCTGCCATGTCAGGCTAACCCAGAAGTGTCCAGAAGTGACCTCTCCAGTAAGGACAAGGAGACACAGTCCTACAGCACATGCAAACGGCTATTGGTGACGACTACGTGCCTGCAGAGCTCTGCGCTACTGTGGCTCGCACGTTCGAGACTCGCGCACTGCCAGTGTCCTCGCTTTTGCAAAGACAATCTCTTAGGAAGAAAGACCATGTGGAGAATAAACCCAAGGCACATGCAGGGCGGCGGAAAGAGCTGCTTTCTGCGGCCGCGCTCTACTTGATCGGCGCGTTGCTTATGGCGTTTGCCCCCTCGCTTCCGGCGCTGGTCGCGGGAAGGGTTGCATACGGGTTGGGGATTGGGCTGGTGAGTCCTTTGGGTCGACTCTCTTCAACGTTCGACCTGGAGCCACTTCATGAAATTGGGCTGATTACCCTGCCGCTCTTCTTAATTAATCTGGGTTATAGTGCTGGTGACTCCTGAGCGGCTCTCTTCTACATACGACCCATAGCCACCATTTCAACACGACTCGCCAAAACCTGTTTCGGGAAGAAAATCGTGCAACCACTTGATCGATGAGATGAGACCGCGCACACCCAACACTTATGTTGGTACACTTGCACAGAAGTGTCCAGCCCGATTGGCCCAGCAAACTATCTCGGCCTGCTTGTGCTTTGGTTTGGGTTGTCCTATCGTTCGAGAGCACTATAAGGAGGCTCAAGAAATTAAAGATGTGGAGAAAGCTCCTATTTGTGGCTGGATTCTCTCAAAACCGACGTCCCAATTCGTGGTGACTGCTAACTCGCCTCACTGGAGTTGTCTCCTTTGCAGGCCATGCACGGGGCCCCAATGTACATAGCAGAGACGGCGCCCAGCAAGGTGCGCGGGACGCTCATCTCGCTCAAGGAGGCCTTCATCGTGGGGGGCATCCTGGTAAGTCTGCTAGCTTGCCTTTGAGATTCGGTTCGTAACTCGTACCCTTCTGTCAAACCTTTGCCCATTCCACCCAACGAGTCGGAGCCCAGGTAAAATAGAATGAGTCTCAAGTCGTTCCTCGTGTCGGCACTTCGTAAGCCAGTGCCGGCCTTGCGGAAGGCGACTGGTTCCCGTGCTTCAGCTTTGCGCGACAGGTTAGAAGACAGGGCTGCCAGTGACTGTCGTTTTGCGATAACCCATCCGGCGTGCAACCTCGTTTCCTCAAGCTTTACACTCTCTTCGGCTCTCTTCTCCGTCCACTGCAAAATCAAACCCGTTCCTACACTTGACTGAAACCATCTCTGGCAACACAACCGTCGCCTACCCTTCCCCTTCACGCTCAAATCTCACGCCCACCTACTTCTGCAGTTGGGCTATTTGGGCGGCTACTTTGAGATCGGCGAGGTCGGCGGCTGGCGCTGGATGTACGGCCTTTCCGCTCCGGCCGCCGTTCTGATGGCCGCCGGAATGCTGTGGCTGCCCGAGTCTCCCCGCTGGCTGCTCCTGCGGGCGTGCGACGACAAGGGGGATCCCTCGCAGCTCAAGGGGGAGGCGCGCACATGCCTGAAGCGGCTGCGCGGGGCGAGGGCGTCGGACGAGCAGGCGGACGAGCAGGTACAGTTGTCGAGGCTTTTCGAAGTTTGATGGTCGTGAGGTGTAAGGGTTTTAGGTTCTCGAATTGTCTGTTGGAGAGGTGTGAGCTCGTGCGGAGTGGTCGGGTTGGTTGCGGAAGCGAAATTTGGCAGTAAACGGCTCCTCTGGCGGAGGAAGAGACGGCAGGGCATGTGAGACTTGCCCGGATGGATTTGAACAATTGAGGAATCAACTGCTGCTGCAAGTGAGTTGGACCGCCAAGCTTTGGGGGCTTCAGACGTGCAAGGAAACCCCGAAGAGGTGCAAGAATCTGAGGACTTGAAAGCGGGCAGTGTCATCTCCTTCTCGTATGAGCCGGAGTGCTCATTTGTGAGGAAGAGCTCGACCATTTCGTCAACCCGCATGCGGCTCCATTCCTCACCAGCTCGGTGAGGCCGAAGTTCAAATCCCCTCATTCCAAAAGCATTCCATAAGGATGCCATTAGCAAGCGTGAATTTTCTTGTTGAGGCGACTGATGGGTCTTTCTCTTGGCCAGGTGGCCGGCATTCTGGACGCCCTGAATGCGGACAAGGGCGAGGACCTGGGCGCGGACGCGTGGAAGGAGCTGCTGACGGGGCCCAACATCAAGGCGCTGACCATCGGGACGGGGCTCGTCTTTTTCCAGCAGGTGACACCCTTCTTTTCCAAAACGTCACCTTTCGTGTGCAACAGGTTGCGATCTATCAATGTACGTCTATGACCTGAAAGAGGGTGTTGGCGCGCTTGGTCAGTTGGTTACGCCCCTGAGGAGAGAGACCAGCCGGCACAGGTGTCAACGTTATTCGGCACTCAGCCAGATGCTGATACAATCAAAAGCTCCGCTGCTGCTGACGCAGGCAATCTACATCCTCTTGTCTTGCTCTGCATGCGTTCGCTCCCCTTACCGCCAGCTGTGCACTGCGAATCTCATCAGTGAATCAACGCAGCGCAGCGACTTGTCTGTGTCCGTATTTAGGGCCCCGTTTGAAAGCCTTCATTGGCTCATCTTTTCGCCGGGCTTCTCTCACAATTTCTCGTCTCTTTGCAGGTCACGGGCCAGCCCAGCGTGCTCTACTACGCGGCGACCATCTTCAAGGTGAGGCACAGCCGCCGTGTCGCCCCTCGAGGCGTCGAGCCAACCGAAGGCAAAATCTTGTGCATGCTCTGTGTACTGCTTACGACAAAAGCTGTACCACTCCTTTGGAGGCACCAAGCATCCGCACCAACGAAGTACTCTTCCAATTCAGTAGCTTTACACGAAGCCGTGTCTGGTCGCCGAATCTGCCGCTCAGAGTGTCGCCCTAGTTGCTCGTCTTCGCCGCGAATCTGGAAGTCGAGGAGAGCTCGCAATGCAAGCGTTCAGAAGGGCGAAACTTTAGAACCCGACATCGCCATCGAGTTGGAAATCGAGGGAGGTCGCAACCTGAGCTTACAGACAGGTGTTACAACGCTGGCACTAGAGGAGGCCCTTTGGCAGTCCGCTTCCAAATCACCACGTAGATGATGCGCACCTGAAATGTCAGCGCGTGTCGGCTCTCACGTTCCGCTGTGACGCTCCTCGCAGGACGCCGGATTTGCGGAAGCGTCTGAGGCCACCAAGATCTCGGTGTTCCTCGGGAGCCTCAAGGTGAGCGAGGGCCCAGTCCGTGTTAGCCCGCAACACTCCGTTCCGTCGTTCCGGCCGCCGTCATTTTTGGATCTAGTGCCATGGGGTGGCCGGAACACTGGTATCGGGTGTTTGATGGGCACGTTTGACCCTAGTTGGCCTGCCCATTGCACTAGGTTTGGCGAGAGCAGCTTCTCAGCAGACGAAAGAGAGGACGCACCCACAAACCGCTCGCAGCTCTCTGGAGGCAGTCTTGCATTACGCTTTCGGGAACAAACGTTGACTATGCATTCACTCCCACGCATCCCATCCCGCTTACAAAAGCGTAGAATCCAAGAAGCAATTGCCTCGAAAGTGTTCTCAATTGCTCACCTGGTCGCCCCTCCTCCCTGGCAGCTGGCGGCGACCATGCTGTCGGTGGTCGTGGTCGACAAGGCGGGCCGGCGACCGCTGCTGCTGGCGGGCGTCTCGGGCATCGTGAGTGCACGGCTGGGAACTATCTGCGCTGCTTTGGATTGTGGCGCGTTCGGTAGTCTCCCCTGTACTCTAGGTTCGGGTACTCTGCAATGGTCGAGAAACAGGTTGTTTGAGGAGCCCCTGACCTTTGCGCTTGCCTTCGTGCGCCCATTCCGCGTTTGGAAGCACACCCTGCCGCGAACTTTCTCCTCGTCCCCACTGAAAACCCCCGTGTTCCCGAAAAAGCGAGAACGTGCCGATTGTACTCGCCTCGTCGGGTGCCCACGAGCCAAGGCGGAGTTCTCGTTCCTTTTCTGTCTGGTCGCAGTTCCGTGAGTCTGCTGCCGCCGATTGGCTTTTCCGCACAGTGCGCCGTTCTGCAGCCCCTCTCAATCCCCAATCGTTCAATTAAAATCCACATAGCTGTCTAAGAGGAGGGCTTGCAATTGTGGTCTTTCTTCGTTATTGACTTAACGTCTTTTTTATTGCTCGCAGTGCGCGAGCCTGCTTGCGCTGGCCGCCTACTACTCCTCCGGCCAGAGCGTGCCCATCGCCAGCGTGGTCGCGCTCCTCGTCTACGTCGGCTGCTACCAGGTCCGCGTGCGCTACATTCCGCATGACGTCACATCTTCTGCTAGAACTCAGGCCGCACAGTCTTACCCGGTTGAGCTCGTCTTTCCAGGGATTGTTGAGGCCGTAAGAAGGAGGCTTTCAAAGGTGCCTTGGCAACGTAGTTCGGAGTTCGGGGCTGTCTCCACAATTTCTTCGCTCGGCGCACTTTGTCTCGGATCGTTACGTCCACTACTCTGGGAATTTGTAGGGATGTAGCCGCCATGCTTCAACAGCTCCCACAGCTCTGCCACGTGCATCTTTTTGCAATACAGCTAGCTGTCTCCTTGATTTCATCCATGGCCCTCAGGTCGAGACTTCCTCCGACGAGCTTTTCCTCACGAAGACCATCTTAACAACTCTCCCATCCTCTTCATCTTTCTCGTTTGCAGATCTCGTTCGGCCCCATCTCGTGGCTGATGGTATCCGAGATCTTCCCGCTGCGCGTGCGCGGGCGCGCGCTCAGCCTGGCCACGCTCGTCAACTTCGGCTCCAACGCGCTCGTCTCCTTTGCGCTGCCCACCGTCCAGGTGAGGGTCCCCGTGATAAAAGATAACAAAACGAAAAACGAAATGAGCAAAAGCAAGAAAAGAAACAAAGAAAGAGGAAAGGAACAGACAAGCCTGAGTGAGGCCGCGCAGTTGCGAGCTGACGTTTCGTGTCCGTCTCCTGCGGTCCAAGTATCTCCCGGAGTCGCGCCGCGTAGGCTTCAAGTGCGGTCTGGGAAGCTATATCAAAGACGCGGGTGGATCCTGAACGCCGAAGCCTAGAAAGGCTGTGTTGCATGAGCACCCAGCAAAGGTGGCTGGGTTAGGATCTCGCGTGATCGAGAGAGGAACCGTCCTGGACTGCAGAGGTCGGCCCCAACTCAGAGTGTGACTCGTTCGACGCTCTGCAGGAAGCCGTGATGAGTCTCTGAAATGTTCAGTCTTTGGATCATAACTTTTGGCCAGCACCCGTCTTTGTTTGCGCGTGCGCGATTCTCGTCCCCTCACTCACCGGACTTTGCTGAGGTCTTGTAACACGCGCACAGCCCCACCGCTGCTGCCGCGCTGCCTTCTAACGCATCGCTTACACGTTCTCCTTGTGCAGGAGGACCTGGGCCAGGCCGGCACCTTCTTCACCTTCTTCGTGATTGCGCTGGCGTCTCTGGCGTTCATTTACTTCCAGGTGCCCGAGACCAAGGGCCTGAGCCTGGAGGAGATCGAAGAGCAGCTGAGCAAGAGCTGAGCTGCTCGTGTGTCCCTGTGCGTATTGCTCTGTGATGTTGAGATTAAGCGGAGGGAAGCTTTCCTTCCGTTAAATCGGGTTGTTCGAGTTCGCAAAGACCAAGTTGTCAGAGTGATCGGCCCCCACTAACAATGGCCCCCACTAACAATGAGCCTTTTTCCGATCGTTGTAATCCGATATGCTGTGGCATGAACATGCCAAAGTAGATGTAGTTCGAAGCTGATCGACCATGCGTTAAAAACCTTCCGTCCCGCTTCAGCTACCCAGTCAAGCACCAAAGATGCAAGCTGACTTCTCCTAGTTAACACTCTATTAGCTTGATTCGAACGCGGCTTTTGACACAGCCTGCTTTGCTCGTTCCTTCCTTTCGAATGTTGGCCTGATGTCAAGTTGGACAGTTAAGTTATTGCACTGAGTCATGCGCTCAGTGTACTGAACCCCGGCAACTAAATGGCATCCCGTGGATTGTGGGCCTGACTGTCTCAATTGCAGCCGCGCTGCCAAGGCGCAGGGGCAACTTGCAAACCATGCCATAGACCATATTGTTCATTTAAAACCATTATGCAGCACTGACAAAAATACCAATACAACCATGCACTTTGCTATATATAGCTAGCCAGCAAGTTCCTATACCATCACGCACGCGGACCCCGGCCCGGCGCCCCATTGCGATCATGATCGTTACAGAATATACTAGATGCGTGTGTACGTATCATTATGATTTTGCAACCTCCCAGCCCCAATGGCTGAGCGATTGGAGCTATAAAAGATTCAATTAGGTACGCTAGGCTACAGTGACTCGCCCATGAGGCTCCGCGTCGGATACAACCTACATGCTGCAGAACATGATCGATACAGCTCAAGATGCTAAATGTCATGAGTTTGCCGCCAGATTACAGTCATTCCGTCCACAGTTATATTGTGACCTCGCATGGCATCATACATCCCTACATTTATAAGAAGCAAAGTGATCGCACATTGAATCATGCAAGCACTCTGAACAGTGTGACATGAAATCGGACTGTGATTGTCAACCACACAGAAGATTTGTACAAGAAGACGACAGCTGAAAGGCTTGCCAGCTGGTGCTAAAAGTTCCAGATTTTTTTGACGGAGAATGCGACAAGCTAGCTACGCAACTAGAGACCCCAAAAAAATACCGAGTATCCTTGTAACAGCAGCAGCAACCAGTCGCGTACGTACACCATTCCTGCTCTTATGCTGCCTTGCCATCAACTCGTGACAACCATTCTCTCCGCAAGTCTACTTGCCAAACATGCTCAGGCCCTTGCCAATGGCTCCCTTCACCGCAGCACTGTCGCCCAAACCGCCTGGTAGCTTCGCCGCAATCGAGTCCGCGGTCTTGTCGGCGGGCGGCTTGGCTGCCGGCGGTGGGCCAACATCGCTGCTCGCGGGACCGGTCTTTCCCCCTGGTGCTACAGTCGGCAGGCCTGTCGAGTCGGGGGTGGGGAGAGCGGCGGTGACACCGCTGTCCGCCACAGGGTGCGTCTGCTCGAGCCCAGCCGCTGTAGGGACGGTGGCGGGGGGCGCAGCACCGGCAGTGGGGGCGGCGGGGGTGCTAGCGGGGGTGGAGGTAGCAGGAACAGGGGTTGAAGCAGCAGTCTTCTGGTGGATGCCGAGCGCACCGAGACCCTGGTTTACGATAGACTCACTGACTCCTAGCTGCAGAACAAGCAAGGGGTTTGCTGTTTAAGATATTGTATGGGGAGCGCAGGGGTAGGCAGGTCGGTGATTGTGCTGCTGATCATCTGGCTTGTGTAAGTTTCCGGTGTGTCGGATAAACATGATTGCCGCTGCGGTGCCTAGTTCTACCATGGTAAAGTGGATACTATGCTGCTACAGCACTGGTGAATTCATGGATTTGTGCGATCAGGGCAAGGTGCAAACTGCATCCAAATCGGTGCGCTGCAGGGACAGCTAGAGACACAGGCACAGGTCAGAGCAACTCCCTGATCCCTGTTCAAATCCATTTTAAATGTAAACAGATTCTGCATTCCTTATGCAAGGATACCTTTGCTGTATGCAACGTTTTCTAGGCGCAAATCGATACAAAGGCAGTGCACTTTACCACACACATAAAAGAACAGACCATGAAGGACGCCTCTAACTTCAATTTTGAGGAAAACATAAACCCTAAAGATTTTGGACTAGATACCTGCAAACTCGATACTCACAAACAATCTGCTTCGCAAAACAATGTGCTTGCGTGTGTCTACCAGTGGCTGACAACGCAGCCTGTACTCAGCCTTTTCCTTTATTCAGCTGTTATAGGGCACGATACTGTACCACACACCACTTCATTGCTGAAATGTGAATGTCGCAAGATCCCACTTCAACTTTCAGATCAAGCACATTGTCAATCTCACCTTGGCTGCTGCAGCCTTCAACTGAGGTTCAGGGATCTTTCCCAGAGCAGCCAACCCCTGATCAACAATGGAGCTGCTGATTCCAGCCTGTGCTGCAAACTGCAGAAACAAACAAGTTGGCCAAAGATTAGAATTGCACCTGAGTGGTGCTAAATCTTACGATGCAATTGGTGCTCGTACAAGTTCTAGAGGGAAGCCCTCACAGTGTGTGCTGCAGGATAAGTTCTTTGAAAGGGATAGTGCACAGGGCTTCCACATTTCCAAGTTCAACAACTTGCCATTCACAACCTCCCACCTTCAGAATGCATAAAATGTGATCATTGTTAGATCTGAAATGCAGGGTCAATATGCACAAGGAGCAGCACCAAGATTTTGCCTAGAGATCAAGGGTATGACAACCCTCTGCTCATTCCTCAAGCCGTCGAACGTTCACCGTGTGCATTTGTCATTGATTGCATGCTGGACCATCGACGAAATGCTTCTTCCAAATCACCTTGTGGATTGCGTCGTTCTTGGGCCCATCTGCTGCAAGTCCCGGAGCCACCGGTGCAGCTGTGGCCGGCTTCGGTGCCTCGCCAGCCACCGCAGCAGCAGCCACAGTTGCAGTAGCAGCCGCTGGGGGGTCCACAGGACCAGGGACAGTCTGCAAAGCAGGTGCAGCAGGAGGAACTGCGCCGGCCCCAGGGGCAGGAGCGGAAGTCTCCTCTGCAGGCTTCTTGCCTCCTAGAGCAGACTCTGCCTTCCCCAGGAGAGCGGCATTGGACCCAAGGAGACCTTCCGCCTTCTTGACCTGATCGTCAGTGACACCCAGCTTCTTCAGCTGACCGCCGAGAGCTCCAAGATTCATGATTGCGGCTGAATGTGTTGGGGGAAAGGCACCTCTGGAATAGATTGTGAGATGCTGCGTCCACAACTGTCTAGAGATGGGGAGCTTGATAGGATTGTTTTATGAACAATTGTAGAGCATTGAGCAGGATGACCACAACTTTAATCAATGCATGCAGAAGTCTCTGCTTTTCAGGGGCATGAATGCAGGTCCAATGCAGCAAGGTTTTCCAAGAGCTGTAGCCTTAGGACTGACTACCTACCTACTACCTAGGCTGCACTGCAGTGCACTTACCGCGAAGTTCGTGAACAGACATGGCGACAGAATCTGCGTATCGAAACTTTCGCATCGACGCCCTTGTCGAAGAGATCCAGGGAAAATCTTTCGATACAGCGAGGTTCCCTTTCAATTACCTTACCGTAAATCACGAGGTCAACGGTTCAAATCCTTCAATTAATGGGTTCCCATAGCGATCAGGTACCGGTATACGTGTGTGCTCTCCAGAAGTTTCGATCTTGACGTGCTCCGCTGTAGGCTGAGAATGGCTACCTAGTACCTAGGTACCGTATACCGGTAAGTGTTCCCAGATATAAGACCATTATGTTCTGTCGTCGTATGCCTTTTTCCTTTTCTGTCGGTACATTGGTACGGTAGCATGATCTACCAACTAGGATCCACACAAGTAAGTCACGGAAGGTGGTCCCTTTGACCTCGCCGTACCGAGTCCCCGTGCTACGAATCACAATCGGGCATGTTGACGATTCTCCGAGTCCGACGTGGAGATTGTTGAATCCTCTTCGTGACATGCACCAAATCTGGGCGTGTTGATACCTCGGTAAATGATAAGTTACCTAGGTCCCATCTACCTATCGGTATCTATACCTATTAGGGGAAGGTTACTTTGAAAGGGAACCCCCCCTATTTATTTGTGAGGGGTTTTCGCCAGGCCAGCCCTGGGTACCCCCCCCATAATGACACCCCGTGACAGTCAAGGGCCCAATGCCCCCCCCCCCTTTTTCATTTTTTTTGGCTCAAGGCCCCGGGTGCCCCCCCCTTCCTTTTTTTTTTGAAAGAGTCAAAAGGCAAAATTCTTGCTTATGAGGCTGGAAAAGATGGTCGAATATACCGGTAAGCGGTCAATAAATGACAATCTTGCGGAATGCCCAGAGAAATTTTGGCAAATCCTAGGGCCAAAACGCATTTTTCTGCCTGATTTGGGCTCAAAATCTACATTTACACTTGGAAAATGAGGTCTGGCATCGAGTCCCCCCCCCTTCTGCGGCCAGAATATCAAGATAGTTAGGTTCCCCCCCCATCAAGCTAGCTCGCTGTCGTAAGGGGGGTAGGCCCCCACCCCATGGGGACCTCAGGGCGGGCTTCAAGCCCCATGCTCCCCCCCCTCACAAATAAATAGGGGGGGTACCACTTCAAAATGACCTTCCCCTTACGTAGGTAGGTACTAAATTTATGGACCAGGTACCTACGGGTTGTTATGCACTGCGGCGGCCCTTCTAAAAAATCTTGCGGCAGAGGATTCGAGCTACATATCGCCAGGTCAGCGACTCCTCGGATTCGGTACGCACCACGGCCAGTGCAGTACGGTACCTGCACAAACACGACACTGGTATGCCGGTACATCATGCGGGGCCAGCGGCCAGCCGCACGCGGGAACGCGGCACAAGGCTGGTACATTGTATACCTAAATCACATGCAAGCACAACACAATTCGGGCTACCGTGGCTTCGACATCGGATGCGCCGCGCGAGTCCTTCAGAGCGTTGGCCGCCCTCATGCAAACTTTGAACTTTAGCTATTACCGTATTTGGTAGTGGCCGACCCGATCCGATCGATGTGCACAGACGCGTCAGTGGTACACCGAGCAGATCATTGGACTGGATGGAAGGCGCCACATCTAGATAGACTCACGAAAAACCACTTCATAACATGTGCAACTTAATGACACAGACGTTGCACAATCAAAAGCATACGTAGTCAAGTGCTTCAGATCGAAACCCATTGACCAGACGGACCATGCGCTGTGCACATAAGTTTCACAACCATCAAGCAAGGCTTCAGATCGAGGTTCTGGACACGCGGGAGGTGCGACTTTCACAAACAATACCTTCGAATACCAACCAGACCACAAGCTCCTGACGTTGTTTGCACAATGCACCTCCCAATAAGTAAATGCAAGATAAGCGGAGTCCCTCGTGGCATCCAATTCCTCTTCTAGGTTACACGGGACAAGTTGGGTCAGCGATAATGAAACCAAAAATGCCGCCTCCAAATTAAACTTACACTACTTACTTCACAAATTCACCTCGTGACCATCACCATGATATGTCAAGCTTAAACTATCTTGAGAGCTTGTGTCCAACGCCTCCTCAGCGCGACCAGCTTTAGGGGCTGGACCCAATGTTGCTCGTGCGCACTCGGCCGGTGCGTCTGCTTCCGGGTCGCAGTTTGTCAGAACTGTCACTTCGCTGAGGACGAGCTCGTTGCACGGCTCCAACTTGTGGGCGAACCTTGGCTCCTCAAGGCACCTGTCCGTCGGTGCTGCACTGGCGCCCGTAGCCTCGAGCGGCCTCCCAATGCCCTGCAGCATTCACAACCAGCCTAGCACTCAGTACGCAATCAAGGCCTTGACGTATCAAATACTTTGCCTTCGCAGCTTGGCTCTCTAGTCACTTGGGGGACCACTTTGATGCACACAACCCGCACGGATCGGATGTGCGAAGAACTTTGTGAAGCAGCATGACACACTTCTTTGCAAATCGCTAAGAAAAGCACCTTTCGTAAAACACCACAAAATGGCAGATGCTCCCGGCTGGCACTTCCGTCACATGCTTCCTCACCTCGTTCACGCATACTCCCAACGCCTGAGCAACCGGCCCGGGCAGGCCCCCCCGAGAGCTTTTCTGAGGCGCCTCGTCCCCCCTGTCTGCCGCAACCGGACCCCTCTTCAACTCCTTCTCCGGCTCGACGGCTTCCGGGCCCTCCGTCTGCTTCACCCTCCGCAGCAACAGCCGCGAGCCCTCGACCCTCATCACGAGCCTCCCGCTCTTCTCGGAACCGCTCCGCGACCGCGCCCCCGCCTGCCCCTGCGACTGGGACCCCCCCGAGACGGCCCCGCTCACCTCTGGCGCAGCCCCCCCCTTCAGTCGCTCCGCTGGTGCAATCAGCAGCTCAACCTTTTCCGGGGGTGCGCACAGTGGCTCATCTCCCGACGCCAAAGCCATTTCGACGGGCGGCTTGGATTTGCTCGCGGGTCCTTCGAACCCCTTCGTATCCCCCGTTTCTACCTTGAGAAAGGTCTCATCGGTCGCGACGCCCGTCGCTAGCTCCTCTGCCGGGTTGGAAATAGAAACCTTCTGCGCCGTCTGTGGCGCTTCTCCGGGGGTGGAGGCGCCTTGCCTACTCCTGCGCGACATTTGGTGAGTGCTCGGCCGCTCGACGGGGGGCGGGCCCCTCCTTCTCTGGCGCGGTTTCGAGGCCGCCGCCCCACCCGCTGACGGCACGCTGCTGCCAGGCAACGCGTTGACTGCCCCCTTCCGACTTCCCGCCTTCTTCTTCCCCTTCTTCTGCTTGGGCGAGACCAGTTTCGGGAGGAGCCCTGGTGCGCCTGCCCCGAGCGGTGCAGCCCCTTCCGCACCAACAGCTGCCGCAACCGTGACCTCTCCCCCCGGGTCAACTGACGGGGCAACCAGACTGGAACCAAGGACCCCAGCTGGCGGGGCTGCCTCCGAAAAACCCGCGTTCCTAGTTACACCGCCCAGTTCCGTTGCGGTGACTTCGACCGCCACGGGTGCCCCTTCTCTCTGTGCTGAGGCTGACGCCAACTGCGCCTCGCTGCTCTCATGAGACGGTGGACCGCACTCCCCCACTTCCTCCGAACGGTTGACGGCCTCCTCACCAATTGGTTGCACACCCCCCGTCACCTCCCGAACTGCTACTGCCTCCACCGGGAGCACAGTAGAAGGTCCCGCCGGGGACGCGGCTCTGCATGCGTCTTCAACGCTGCCAGGAGCCGGTGCAGCCGAAGGAACTCCTTCTGCTGCGCTTGCCGGCTCTCCTGCAACGAAACTACCGGCCTGCACCCCCGCAAAGTTGGCCTGGCCCAGCCCCCCCGCCGCAGCGCCGTTCAGTTCCGTCACACCATCCGCACCAACGCCCACAGGGGCCCCTTTCTGCCCGCCCTCCTTTCTACCCCCCTTCTTCTTCTTCTTCGACGACGTGGGCGCATCCCCGCTCTTCGACTGCCCCTCGCCCTTTCCCAACGCCTGTCCTTCTCGCCCTTCTCGGACCCTCTTCCTCCCCTGCAGCTTCGTCCCCGTGGGGGGGTCCTTGAAGAGGACCGCCAGAGGCTCCTCCACACCTCCCCCCCTCCTCGTGCGCACCCTATCCGACCCCCCCGCGCTGTCAGGCTGGGGTAGCGGCGTCGCCTCTAGCCCCCCCACTTTCGCGGGTGGCGATGCCCCCCCTCCAAGAGGAAGACTTTTCTGCAGTTCCGCAGATGCCTGCCCTGCCGCCCTTGTCGGCGCGCCCCCGG